TGACGACTATTGCTAACTTCATTTTCGTTTATTTTTAAGTGAATTCTACTCAGCTTATCAACTTAAATCTCATTCATTTTCAAGTGAATTCTACTCAGATTGCTAACTTCGCTCTCATTCATTTTTCATTGAACCCTAGCAATTAGATTACGTCACCCAACCACCTACTTTTGTAACTTTGTTTTAGTTTCTAACCGATTAACGCCTTCTAAATTACGCAATTTGTTGTCAAAAATTAACAATTGCATTAACACATCTTTGGAAATATTCCTTTTGTTGCCAAGAAAAATTACTATAAATTTGCGGTTTGTACAGCTTGAGAATGATATCGCCGAAAAGAGTAACTCTTTGCTGAACGCCTTTTCTTTTCTTCGGAATTTGCCTAATCTAGCTCCATTTCCTTGTGTATATCTTCCAGGGATCACAGGTTGTTGGTTGGTTCATTACCAGAGTTTTGTTGCCTATCCTTCTTGACTGGCAGTCGGACTTGATCTGGCAAAGGAGACAGGTACATTTCCATGCCGGAAACACTTTTGTGATGTGCGCGAAACATACACAACCATACAGCAACGTTGGAAATTGAACGTTCAAGTGTTCACTCAATTTGCGAACGGTGGTAACGCAGGTTCGCGAGATCTCATCTTTCAAGAAGCTAAAATTTCCGGGTTTTCTCACCTTTATCTGAATGCGCTTTCGATCCTGCTACAGTTTCTGTAAATTTGATTCTATCTTGCGATGACCAGTTGGAACTTAATCTCAACTTATATCTTGGATCTAAACGTGGTGTTGAGAATGGTATTCCTTTACTTCTCATCTATTAACGCTTCCTTTAGTAGTCACTGGGAAGTCTCTCTTCTTGTTTGTATTACGTTGTGCAATTCTTGCAAGTACTGTATAGCTTATCCCTGTATTTTTCTTGTAAATATACTTCCAATAATGTATTATTCATGATTGCATTTTATACCACTCTGTAGCTGTGCAGGATTTTCTCCTATTCCTGAAAAAGCGTTCAAGCACGTGAGGTCATAGTACTCACTCAAATATGTTGTTTATCGATGGGCCATTTCTATCATCAGGAAATGGAACGAAGTTTGGGTTGTCACTCAACTTCGATGGAGACCTTCGTGAAAGATTTAAAAATTAACAATTATAAGATTCTGTTCCGATTGCTTGTACTATAATTCAACAATTTGAACTTTTTAAAAAGTGATAATGTATGCTAATTCACAATTGTCATTCGTAACATAATTGATCATGCCTGTAAAATGGTATGCGTTTCGTGTATACGAAATATATATATTATTATTACATTATCTTTTTTTCAGAGAGTAGGTAACTACATATTGGCCGTATTAAGCCAGATAGAGTGCATGGAACATATTCAGATCCACCTCAGTTTATTATCCTGCATTACAAAAGATGACCTTGTAAGTAGAGTCAGAACGTCTCAGTCGAGTATTTCCTACTAGTCATAATAGTAAATTTCCTTAAACACTGCATCTTATATGCATTTGCTATTTTGAGGTGTCTCATTTTCATGACTTCACACAGAATTTCCACCTCTAGCAACGACTCCAGATACCAGCGAAATTTCCTCACCTCCTTTTTCGTCCAATAGCGTTTTTATTAAGAGCATGTGCGGATAAGCATCATAAGTTGCACAGTCACCGAAACGACGGTCAACTACAGCTCCTGTAAGTAAACGGTGTCCGACCAGTTCAAACTTTAGGCAACTGTAGACTGCAGCTACCAAACCCTCTGCAGAAAAGTACTTCTTTAACTAGAGCGATAATTTGTGATGATCGAGAGGGCTTTTAATACAACAGAAGATACAATTATATCAGAACATGAAAAATCACACTTTTTTGCACATATTGACATTAACCAAGAAAGTGAAAGTGTTACTGCATCCACTACTTTCAGGGAAGTAATTGAAAGAATGCTTAGTGTTACGGACGTGTAGTCCTTCTGGTACCGATGTCAAAGGTGATAGAAGGCCTGAAGGACAATCATTTCGAAGAACATATTAGTAAAAACAACATCTTACATGGAGCTCAAAATATGTAACTATACTGCTAGCGGCTCGGGGCAGCTGGACAGCATGCTTGAGCCAGAACATTGCAATCCATTTGTTATTTCTGAACTTAGTGGAAGCTTTTGAATCTGTGCAGCATGGAATCCTTCTCTACAAAGTGTCGAATGGCTTTATAATATTCTCACTAACTGTAGCAACTTAGTCCGCTTTAATGTTTGTGTAATGACAGGGGTCATAGTTTTTTCTATGCCATTTAGATGAAAATGCACATTATTTTTTCCTATATACATTATATTGGGTGGTTGTAACGTACTTGAACTACGTTGCCTTTACTGCAGTTGTGTTGGAAACGCTGGCTCAAAACTGATATCCGTACTGTGTGGTGGATTATGGGAGATAGTAAGTCGAAGAGTTAGATATATGTCTTACCATCCTCATGATACCATGCCGGTGTATTTGGCCTATTTAATGAAAATATTTTCACCACCATTCTAGTAGCTTTTAGCATTGATCGCATTATTACAGCGATAATCTCTCTTTTCGTGTGTTCAGCTCGGAATGGTTTCCATTTTAAGAGATGTCGCATGAGTACTAGGGAAGTTGATTTGCTTTTATTTATGAATTCCATTCATACTTAGTAACCAAAACTGAATACAATTGTGGGGCACCATGAATACTCGTCCTATTTTTATTTTCTGCACTAGATCAAAAAACCTGTGGCTGGGTGCAGGCTGACAATAATCTGCAAACAAATTATTTGAATGACAGTGGCAGATTTTTACGCTAAGTATACCAAACATTTATTTGATGAATCACATATTCCAGCACGCGTTGACACAAACAACGCGCTCATACTTCGAACTAGTGTCGAACAAAGGTTCTTAAAGAAATCAACCCGATGAAAGCCAAATAAACGTCAAAATAAGTCAAATAGAAATGTCTATATCAAATATGGCACAGTAGCCACGACTGAGATCAACCAGACCTCACAAATACCCGACATATAAATCATTTGGCGCCAAGTCAAACTGAGGATATGCCATATAGTTGCCCAGTTTCTAAGACAGTAACCAGCAACCCACTGCTGTACTTAATCGAGGGCGAGGGATTTTGCATTAAGCTGAATCTCAAAAAATTTACGCGCATAACTTATCCTCTAGGGTATTGCAAACGTTACCTTCCGGCCCATTCTTATATCCGATTCTCACATGTGATCTTCAGAACGAATCAAGCTGTGAGTTCCTTCTTTAAGGTGGTAATAATAATAATATGATAATACATATTTCGTATAAACGGGTAAGTTTACATGAAATGCATGCCATTTTTACAGGCATGAAGAAGTCGTGGAGGTTTGTGGAAAATGTAAATGCCCGGCCAGGAAGACCTGATCCTTGGTTTACCCTGAATAGCTGTAGCCATCAGATGAGTGTGGTAAATTTCTAGTTCAAGTTCACTACGTCGCTAACTGTCCGTCGATTCGTAACTTTAGAGCAGGCTAAAAATGTGAGGTCCAAACACATCCACTGGGAGTGCACTATCACGACAAATATTGAGTTTTATGAATCTGTTTACTTCACTATCTATCCTTACGTTTTGTATTTTCTCTTCCTCCCATTTTCCAAACTTTTCTTATCTCCACATCTTGTACATCCCACACTTAGTTTCCATGACAATATTCTCTTATTCTTTTCTACTCATTCTCTCAGTGTTTTGCTGTCGTATTACCGAATTTCCCAGTGTTTGTAACCGATTTAGAGGGTTTTCCGCATCAACGACATTTTTGAGTCCCAGCGGCGTCACTTCCAGTGTATAAATCATGCATATCTTTCGAAACAAGTCGGCGAATCTACCGGTGGGTGCAGTGGATATTGGACAACGAAGCAGGGAAAATAAGGAAACCAGCAAGAGCAAAGACTATACACCAATCCGACTCTTCCAGGCGAAAAGTGGCGTTTATTCTACAAAACAATGTATTCGTAAGGTAGATACTCAAAAAAGGATTAAACAGGGTCTGTTTATCTCTAACGTGCTGCAAATAACCGGTTGCAGTTTCTCAAAGGAGTGTCTATTGATATATCTAACAAATGTCAATACAAAAATTCATTTAATTGGCTCTATATCATATCATATCGGGAACCATTTACCATTCCAATACGTTTTTAGACGCATACAGAATCTTTCAATAGGATTTGAATGGGTTCCATTTAAAAGATTCATTAATTCATAAGAATGATTGACTTTATGGTGGATGTATCCTAATGATGATAGTTGCGAATAATCTCTCCACTCATCAGTGTGAATGGCAGGGCTTTAGAGGACTATAGTCTTTGCATTATTAGAAGTATAACATCAACAGTTCAGGCCTGGGATGCGTTCTACAAACCCTTTTCGAAAATTCGTACCGTACAGTCTCAGCAGCTAAACGTGATGCTCTCGTTGTTCTCCTACCGTGACTCATTTTTCGTTTCATTTTAGGTACTGTTTCGTCAGTATGAACGACGACGCAGGTTCCTCCAAGTACTGAGGTATTTGCGTTGATCATTTGTGAGGCAACGTCTCGACAGTGCTGATAGCACTGCGCTATTGATATTTAAGCATTCTCTGTTTCTGTAGCTGTAGCAGATACTGGTCGTCTAAGTAGCTGATTGTGGCAGAGTTTCGATTTCAAGAGGAAAGTATCTAAAAATCACGCTAATGCACAACTTTCCAACTCTTACAGTTTTCATTTTACACCAGTGATTGCGGTAGAAGTCAAAATCGAAATCTGAGTGGAAATTGAAAAAGATTACGAATGGCATCCACCTGCAAAACTGAGCGGCTATTTGATTGGTCGGTTCAAGGTCATTTGACAATGATGTCTATTGTTTACTCTTGCCATAAAACGTATATTCATAAGAAAAGTTTCAAATGAAATCAAAGTAATTGCATTAAGAAAACAAAGCTAACCTTCTGCTTGCAATCCTGTAGCGGCATTTACGATCTCTTCCTTCTTTCAAGGTCATTGTCCTCACAGGATTTTCACCATTCTTTCGGGTCAGTAAGACTTTTCTCTTCCATGCATATATTTTATTTAACTTTTCTCTTTGTCTAAAATAATTAGTTGTGATATGAAACAGTTCAGAAATAAAACTCAAATGGTATTTTTAAAGACATTATGTACATTTTATGCCGTCATAAAATTGCATGTATTTTTTATGCTCGGATTTGTAATTAACTGTAGGTTTTCAGCTTATGGTAGTCTTTGCATATTTAGGATTTGCACCCCTCAGCTACTTATCCGACCTAGGTTGATTTAAAATTAGGATCCATCTTTTCTGGTAGTCGGTGACTAAAACATATATATAAATAAAGGGAAAAGTTGTGTGAGTAACTTGATATGATTATGAGCAATAAATTGTGCTTGAAACATCATCAATTAATACTACTGTGTAACACTGTGTGATTTATCAAAATAAAATCTTATCCATAATGGATTTATACTCTACCACAGCGCTCAAGTTTTATATCAATAAAACAATTACTGGCCTTTCCCAAATATAACCAGAAATTATTACAATTAAGTTTCCTTAGGAAGTTTATTGGAGGACGTGGAGGAAGATTCAGTAGATCACAGTGATTCACCTGGTCGTTGGCTTTCTAATTGTTATACAGTGTCATGTTTGATTTTCCTACTCAGTAAGTAGGAAAAGTTATTTCTTAAAGTTATGAAATTCATGTTTACATTTGTCTACGTTTTGATAGTAAGAATATTATCAGTCTCAGTTATTTCTTGTATAACTTCACCATTAGTAGTAAGCATAGTGAAGGTTCTGTGTATTGTCCAAAATGCTTCGTGACTATGAGTTGTAGCTGCGCAAGTGTGCTGTAATTTTTAAGCCGTGATTGACTGTAAAAATGTACGTCTGAGCTGAAGAGAGAGGTTTTCGAACCGTATTCGCTGGCATGCTTGTACACTTAACTATGTTAACACGAAGTATTCATTATTTGAACTGAAGTTGTAGGGCATTGAGTACTGTTTACGGTGTGATTGTGTCTTATTTCCTAAAGCTGTTTTCAGTTGCTTAGGTAGAGTGAAATGTTAGATTTGAGAAGCCTGGGTAGTTTGTTCATATGCAGTAGAAATATTAAATTGCCGAGTACATCGCCTTATGGCACACTACTTTATACCTTCATTTATAAATGAAAGTTTGGGGCTGATCGGTACTCTGTATCTCCCACAGACAACTCTCATATGTATGTAAAATGTCAACGGTTGCAAGACATTTCAGGGAAATGGCATAAGGCACAATCAATCAACTACAGATTACTCGTCTTCTATAGACTGGACATATTTATTTTTCGCCGTGAGGTTTACCGGGCTGCAAAGGTTTCCTCGAAACCCATGCTACACGTTGAATAAGATGTTTCCCAGACGAGCCATAACAAATTTCCTTATCATTTTTTCCTGTATGTTAATATACCCAATATGTGTGTAGTTTAAAAGGTAGTGCTAGGTTCCTCCTTTGGTGATAGGAGTGATTTTTCCATTCTCACAGTCAAGCCGTAACACTCCTTGCTAGACTCATAGTCAGAAAATAGCAGTCAGTGGACCGGTTATGTGGAGTATCGACCCTCATGAAAAGCCTTAGATGAATTTTATTCACATCCGTCTGATTTCCAGGTATTTTGATTGCTTAAGGGTACAAACACGTTTTTGGTCAGTACTTACCGAACATATTCTGTTTTCTCGCGGTGCGACCAAATTCAATGCAGTATCTGGTAACGATTTGTGAGTGAAGATACCGGCAAAGTAATCTGTCATTACTTTTACTTTGTACTGGTCCTCCTCGATCACCTATGATGCATCTTAGTTATGGAGCGTTTTTTCCCCAAGATTAGCTTGCAGGAATAATTTACTAAGGCTTAATGCATTTCACACTAGGCCCATCTGAAATTTCACTGGTTGACTTATCCTCAGCTTGGAACTTTGCACCGGAACTCAGCAGTTCTAGTTGCCATATTGCACACGAAGGTCGAGAAAAGGAATTCAAAAGGAATATAATGAATTAAAATGTATGGTAAAAAGAACAAGCACATGGAAAATAATGAGAACCCTGTGGATGTGGGAGAGGGAATGTATTTGCTCCATTGAGAACAGTTTTGAGCCATATCATCTACAGTTTCAAGTCATTGGTTCTTACTGTCTCGAAGATCCCTACACGTGGCTTAGACTGACAGTTAAAGACTTCATGTATTGATGCTGGGTTTTAACTTGATCACAGCTAACTCTTTCCCAATGTTATCCAGTGTCAACTAACATCGCCCGATGAGGAAGGCGCTGGCTCCGCATATGTAACACTTGCCTTAGTCATTTCAGTCCGTGCAGCTCCATCACCTCGTCGATTGACTTTCACTCCTTATCCTACCTCAATATTACTTATCATATTATCCCACTTAATGCGTGAAGTAGAGTGCAAACATCTGTGGTTAAATATAGCTACCCTGTTCAGGTCTTTCACTTCCAACGGCCATGTTTAATAGCCATTTAAAATGACAGAAGAGCATGGTATAATCTGCAGGAACATTCATTTTAGCCAGCGTAGCTCGTTGGGTCATTACGATATGCACTCTTGATCACCATTCCAAGGTGACTGCTATCAGTCGGACTCGAATTTCATTCATGAATCTCGAATCGCTATAATCGAAGGTGATTTGTTTTATTCCTTTGCGTTCTCAGTGGAACATGGGACTTCACACTGGTGACTTGAATTTCGGGTTGCAGTGGTGCTTATTTTTACGCGATGGGGTTGCTAGCCTCATGCCCAACCTTCACTTTTTACCAGTCTTATCACTGGCTTAGCGAGGTAAAGGAAAGCGTCCGTTGGGGCTCGAACCCCGAACCACATGCATGGCTAGCGAACATTCTGCCGCTGTGCCACAGACGCTGGTGATAAATGTCTTCTATTACTTATGATTCTGTTTAAGTAGGCCACCATTGTTTCTGTTTATCTACTAAGGACAACGTTTCTATGCCTTAGAAACAGTTTATGGTATGTACGATTAGTGACTTGTTGTCGTGAGTGTTGCTTCATATAACCACATAAAACCTCTTAATATGTCCTCTGATCTATGGTACAGTCCTCTGATGAGGACACTGCAACAACATCAGTGAACTTGGAAGTAAGGACAGTGTGATCACTTCTTATGGTTAGGTAGAAACTTGTTCATCTTCATCGCACGAGGAAGTCACGTTTAAATTTGAGGAGTGTTGGGAATAACACCGTTTGGATTTACTGATATGCCACCTACATGAACCATTCTAACAATTTATGGTTGAAATCATTGTCTGAAAATATGTGTGCTAAGTTTTCGGAATCTACTGGTGGGTTGTATAGATAACCGGCTATTAGGCATCTATATTTAATGTCTGTATGTGTGATTTCTCAATGAGGAAGTCATCAGCTATGTAGTCATAAATATACGATATACCACGATTAAGTCTATGTCTTGTCCTCTACATTTCAGTCTACAGCGTATAAAAAGTGAATGCATCTGCGCCATCGAGAATGATATTGAGCAAATAAATATTAACAATTGTGTAGGAGTTGTCGGTGATAAGTTACATAGCTACACTGATATCACAAATATACGAATAGAACTTGAGAAACTATAAAAAAACACTGATGATGAGTAATGACTAGCAGTCAAATCCAAGATGCAAATTTCGTCCTGTTTGGGACTCGTCTGCTGAACGTACCTTCATTCCTTAGTGACTGATGGTGTTCCTGCTAAGACTCAAACCTTGTACTTATTGTTTTCAATGCCAGAGTGTTATCCACCAGACCACTTGAGTCACGAGAGCCACTTCTTGTGCAATGGACACCAGTCATTATTTGTTCTTAATTCACTTTTAATTTTCCCTTTAATTGATTGGACTGAAATGTTCTTCCTCAGTTGACATGTCGGCTTCTGCCTAGTGCGGATACTTCGACAATGTCTGAGGATTAACTTGAAGTCATTCGGTGATTGGTGACTAACAGTGTAATCCAAGATGCGCATGTCTTCCTATTCGGGACTCGTCGGATGACTCTCGTGACCCAAGTGGCCTAGTTGATACCGCTTCGGGGTTTCAAATGCTGTGTATCGGGTTCGAGTCTCAGTGGGAACGGTATCACTGATTGGAGAATGCAGGTACATCTGGCTGACGAGTCACACACACAGGACGATATGCGCATCCTAGATTCTAGCATTAGTCGGTGACTATACTGCATTGAAAGCACCGGTTCTCGTTCGATCACCGAAGTTAAGCAACGTTGAGCCCGGTTATTACTTCCATGTGTGACCGGCTGGGAATACCGGGTGTTGCCGGTCTTTTGTGCGTCGGTGGCACAGTAATTAAGACGCTCGCCGACTATGCACATGGTCCGGGGTTCGATCCCCGGTCGGCGCACACCTGATATCAATGGTTGGCCTGCTAAATTCGGGCTACCGATATCACATGCTGTAAATTCCATAGTTGTACCAAAATATTGTGTGTATGTAGTCAAGGTATAATAAAAAATTAGTCACCATTCACCAAACTACTTCAGGTTAGTCTTCAGATATTGTTGAAGCGTCCGTACCAAGTAGGTAGGAGCTTGCATGTCAACACAAAGGCACAACATTTTGGTCCAATCAATCAACGAGGAAATCAAAATTTACGCCGTCTCTGGCGTAGACGTGATATCCGACTATCGACCAAAGGGCGTGTGTACTGCTCAGCAGTCTGTTCCGCCCTCCTTTATGGCTGTGAGACCTGGCCATTGAGAGCGGAAGACATGAAAAAATTAGCTGTCTTTGATCATAGGTGTCTGCGTTCTATCTCCCGCGTGAAGTGGTATAATAAGGTGAGCAATATTGAGGTTAGGCGTCGAGTGCTAGGTAAGAAGGGGAAATCAGTCGACGAGACTGTGAAAATACATCGACTGAGATGGTTAGGACATGTGCTACGTATGCCTAGTCATCGCCTTCCTCGACTGACGGGCAATGTTAGCTGATATAGGGTCAGGCTGGAAAAGAGCTAGTGGCGGTCAAACCAAAACATGGCACCAGTCAATGAAATCTACAACAGTTAGTCTAAGCCACGTAGGAAGGTGTAGACTTCCTGACTTGTTGGGGTCCTCGGGACGGTAAAAACCAATGGCTGGAAACAATTGGTGACATGGCTCAAACTCATCGTTCTCAATGGCTGTCGCAGATGCATCCACTCCTTGTGACTCATGATTTCCAATGAAACTGTTTCGTTTTTGGTTATTACTATTCCTTTGTCTCACACCTCTGTTTACTGTCTATATTATGCATTTCTTCTACTTTCTTCTCTTGCTTTGTGTGCTACAAGGAGGGAGTGTGGCGACTTGAACTGGTGCACATATGTGCAAAGTTCTATGTCGAAAACAGACAGACAGACAAATTAAAAACAATTAAATTAGATATTGTTCAATTCAGATTTTTAGTAAAATCCGAAATTCATTTTAAACTAATTCGTTATAGTTAGTTAAAATGCGGTGTAATAAGAATTCACATACAAAACTTCCTTTTTGTTGTTGTTGTTGTTGTTTTCTATTCTAGGATTGTGAAAAGCAACTCAGTGAATGTGAAGCAATTTTCTATATATGCAGCAGTAACTACCCAATCGGTTGGTTGTAAATGATTCGTGCTATTCTGGTCATTAATAATCATGGAAAGCCAAGATTAATCAAATTTTATGAGCATTATGTATAAGTGTTAACTTAATAATTTATGCCTTCCCCCCTCACCTTCCATAGAGTGAAGATGAACAACAGAAAATTGTTAAAGAAGTTTTCAATCTTGTCTCTAGACGTGATGATGATGTTTGCAATTTTTTAGAAGGTGGCACGTAAGAAATTATCCTCAATATATATACATACATCATATTTTAGATTAGTCGGTGGTCAAGACTATCGTTTAATATATCGTCATTATGCTACATTATATTTTGTATTCTGTGTTGATTCCTCTGAAAGTGAACTTGGCATATTGGATTTAATTCAAGTATTTGTTGAAGCTTTGGATAAATGTTTTGAAAATGTTTGTGAATTAGATTTAATATTTCATGTTGATAAGGTGAGTAGTAGTATTTCATCATTCTCTATTGTTTGGAACCATTTTTTGTTTTTCTTCTTCTTTCATTTGTGAAGAGGTGACGTAACCAGTTGACTGTTTTTTTCCCTTCACGTTCCCCAGTGGAACATAACGAAGAAGCTAGTGGCTTGAAGTTTCTGTAGCAGTATTTATTTTACAGGATGGGGTTGCTAACCTCATGCCCAACCTTTCCTCTTTACCAGCATTATTTCTGGCTTAGCGAGGTAAAGGAGTGCGTCGGTGGCCGGGGATCGAACCCCAGACCATGTGCATGGTCGGTGAGCGTCCTAACCGCTATGCCACCGACTGTGCTAGCCAATAATGCGTGGATCCCCAGGTTCGAATCTCATTCCATTTACTTTAGTCTGGATGACTGACTGAGTGGGTAGTATAATCAGCTCACCTTACACTATTAAGTGTCACTCATACTTTGATTGGACACTAGGCAGTAAATTAAAGTCATGCGTTTAGTACGCTTGATGTTGTGGTAGAATGTATTCTATCAGTCAAGTTTGCGATGTGGCTACCGTGCTAGTTGGACCGCTACCACTATGCGGTGCACTGTGAATTGTTGTTTTGATGGTTGGAGGGGATTGGCTGAAAGCCTTGCCTGATCTAGGTATCGTGCTTGTTGGCACTTATCAGTCAGCAAGGCGTGTCTGCAATCCTGAAGGAACTCGTATCCTTTCACCTGATCGATAGCTGCTACCTTAACGTGGTGGTCAGACTTACATATAGCAATGACCAAACAAGCTACACTAGTTGGAGCTATTGCTCCTGCAGGTTCTACCGTGCCAGGAAGGTTGTTAGGATAGCGATTAGATTAAAAGCAGTGACATGCATAGTGTGAGAATTTTTTTACATTATGCTGGAGGTCTGTGGGCGAAGTCGTACTGCTGGGGAACAGGGGTGTAACAGCTGTAAGGTGTTTCCCTCAGATGACCAGCATGCCAGCCAGCTATGCTGTCTCTCTACTCTGGAGAAAGGGGGTTCTTAAAGGTCGACCCCAAAAATTGTACATCCCGACTTACCTTACGGTGGTCCGTAACCGGTGGTTAGTTACTAATACGGAACCAATCCAAAAGGCTAGTTCAGACAGGCTGTCACCGGCCTCAAGTAATCGTCCCCTGGGCTCTGCAGTCACGCAACACTAACTCTCTTTCTGTTTCAGGTACCTCGAGAAAAAATCGACTTCCACGATGTGGGCAGCCGGGAATTAACAACCACCGACACTTCCAAAAGCACACGAAGCCCTCCTGATCATCATTCTCCTTTATCCACATCACTTTCATCATCTTACTTCCTTACTACAGTCAGTACTATTCTTCAGGCTAGTGAGTCATCTTCATTTCACTCTGTGACCACAAACAACGATGAGAACCATAGAAACATCCCCGACAACCTCTTAAAGCTACGCCACCAACTTCATATAGGAGCATTCAACGTTAGGACGCTTTGGCGAATCGGACAACAATCAGTCGTACCCCTTCTGAAGTTCGAACTTGGGTCAGCCAGTGGGTGCGGTCAGGGACGTTACCACTATTGACTCTTCTGGCACTTTGATTAGGCACTAAGTAGTAACTAATGTGATGCGTCTAGTCTTTGGCGTCAGTGCAGACTGAATTTCAGTCAGTCAAGTTTCACAATGTGGCTGCCATGTCAAGTGGCTTGCCATCATCGTTCCAAGCTTCACGAGCGTCAAAAAGCTGGAAACCCTAGATCCAAGGCTACCTGCTGATTGCCTTCAACTATCTAATGAGGGGGTAACTCATAGCCTGGCGCTGAGTAACTGATTCGTGACCCCAAATGAGTACTTTCCTATCAATTTCTTTTTCTCTCTCTTCTTATAGGTACACTATATACTGAATGAACTTGTACTTGGTGGAATGGTTTTAGAAACGCATATCAATGAAATTACTCACAGATATGAAGAACAACAAAAATTAGAAAAACAAGAGGTAAGTTAGAGTGATTTAAAGTTTATTAAAAGGCATATATATCTACATTAATAAGACATAAACTTGATACACTATGGGCGCCAAGAGATGAGCTACACCAAATCTCGTAGTTTGTCTGAGGCCTCTATGATCCTGCCCAAATTCCCACATCGGTCGGTCGGTTTTCGACATAGAACTTTGCACATATGTGCGGCAGTTCAAGTCGCCACACTCCCTCTTTGTAGCACACAAAGCAAGAGAAGAAAGTAGGAGAAATGCATATTAGAGACAGTAAACAGAGGTGTGAGACAAAGGAATAGAAACAACGAAGAACAAAACAGTTTAATTGGAAATCATAAGTCAAAAGGAGTGGATGCATCTGCTCCACTGAGAACGATTTTGAGCCATGTCACCAATTGTTTCCAGCCATTGGTTTTTACCGTCCCGAGGACCCCAACCAGTCAGGAAGTCTACATCTTCCTACGTGGCGTAGACTAACTGTTGTGGATTTCATTGACTGGTGCCATGTTTTCGTTTGACCACCAGTGGCTAACTCTTTTCTAGCCTGACCCTATATCAGCTAACATTGCCCGTCGAGGAAGGCGATGACTAGGCTAGGCAGACGTAACACATGTCCTAACCATCTCAGTCGATGTAATTTCACAGTTTCGTCGACTGATTTCCCCGCCTAACCTAGCACTCGATGCCTAACCTCAATATTGTTCACTTTATTATACCAATATTGATTCCCACATTGAAGCTAGTTGTTATCCTAAGCAGTCACGCCACCAGCCTTTCACTTGAGGTCTAATCCACAAGGCAGTAGAGTAGCGTCAACAGGATTTTGAGCTATGTAACCAATTTAATTCAATTTTAGATTTTCCCGTCGATTGATTGGACGCAAGTGCTCGGTCTCAGGTTGACATGTCGGCTTCTTGTGCAGATGCTTCGACGTTGTCTGGGCATGTAGTTATAGGTTAATTGGTGGATGGTGACTAGCAGTGGAATCCAGGATGCGCATTTCGTCCTATTTGGGACTCGTCATCTGGATGTAGCTGCATTCCGCAGTGAGTGATGGTGTTCCCACCGAGTTTCGAACCCAGTACTCATAGTCTCAAATGCCAAAGCGTTACCCAAGAGAGCCACCTCTTGCGCAACGGGTCATATTGATTATTTGATTCGATTTTAGATTTTCCCGTCGACTCATTGGACCGAAGCAGGTACATCCAGCCGACGAGTCCCAAACAGGACGAAATGCGCTTCATCCTGGATTCCACTGCTAGTCACCATCCACCAATTAACATGTAACCAACTAATTGTTTCAAGCCATTGGTCCTTAGAATTCCGAAGACTCTAACCAGACAGCAGTCTACACCTCTGTTTGTGAGGCTGAAACTAACTGTTAGAGATTTCATATTGCTGATTCCAAGTTTTGGTTTGACCACCACTAGCTGTCTCTTTTCCAACCTGATCCTATGTCAGCTAACATTGCCTATCGAGGAAGGCTATGGTTGTATAAGCACCAACGGACTGGTTGGCGACGAAATCTCAGCACGGATCCAAAAAGCTCGAGCTGCTTTCGCTAACTTACACCATCTCTGTCGCAGGCGTGACATCCGGCTATCAACCAAGGGACATGTGTACTGCCCAGAAGTTCGCTCCGTCCTTCTCTATGGCTCTGAAACATGGCCAATACGAGTTGAAGACATGAAAAGGTTGTCTGTTTTTGATCATAGATGTGTTACGATCTCTTCCTCACGTTAGGTGGTATAATAAGGTAAGTAATATTGACGTTAGGCGTAGAGTGTTGGGCAAGGAGGGAAAATCAATCGACGAGGTTATAATGTTACATAGATTGAGATGGCTGGGTCACGTGCTGCGCATGCCTAACCATCGCCTTCCCCGACGGACGGGCATTACTAGCTGATATAGGTGTTGTGGGTTGGAAAAGAGTAAGTGGTGACATGCCAAACAAAAACATGGCCTCATCAATCCATGGAATCCTTGACAGTTAAACTGAGTCAGGTAGGGAGGGAGATGCAGACTTCCGGGTTGGGGCCCTCGGGACTCTAAGAATCAATGGCTGGAGACACTAGGTGACATGGCTCAAAATCGTTGTCAATGGCTTACGCAGATGTATTCAGTCTCTGTAATCTTTCACATTCCTTTTATACCATTACTCATTCTGTTTCATTCACTCTTATACTTGTCAAAGCTCTATTGATTCTCTTCACTCATCTACTTGTCTACGTTTGTGTGCTATTTGTAACGTGGCAACTCGAACTGCTGCACTTCGGTGCCAGGTTCTATGTTGAATCCAGACAGACAGACAGACATGTAGCTTCATAACCTCATTGATTGTCTTTCCCTTCTTACCTAAAACTCGACGTCTAGCCTTAATATCACTCACCTTATTATGCAACAACAGAAGGCAAGACACGGAAGCCAGAGTATATTTTTCATTAATCAAACCACTGTTTATATATCTACAGTTTTTACTCTTTAACCAATCACTGAACGTGTGATTTCGGTTTACATCAAACGACATGAAATAGAATGTTCAAATACACATACACAGTATTCTTTTATTAATGCAGTATATGTCTGTCTGTCTGGATTCAACATAGAACTTGGCACCGAAGTGCACCAGTCCGATTTGCCACGTTCCAAATAGCACACAAAAGTAGACAAGAAAATGAGTGAAGAGAATCAATAGAGTTTTGACAAGTATAAGAGAGTGAAACAGAATGAGTAATGGTAGAAAGGAATATGAAAGATTACAGAGACTGAATACATCTGCGTAAGCCATTGACAACGATTTTGAGCCATGTCACCTATTGTCTCCAGCCATTGATTCTTAGAGTCCCGAGGGCCCCAACCCGGAAGTCTGCATCTCCCTCCCTACCTGACTCAGTTTAACTGTCAAGGATTCCATGGATTGATGAGGCCATGTTTTTGTTTGGCCACCACTTACTCTTTTCCAACCCACAACACCTATATCAGCTAGGAATGCCCGTCGGGCGAGGCCCGACCGAAAGCTGCTACCTTGACGTGGTGGTCGGGCTTGAACACCGCGATGACCCAACAAGCTATACTGGCTGAGACTTATGTCGCTTGAGGTCCTACCATGCCAGAAAGTTTGTTTGGATAGCGGTTAGACAAAAAGCAGTTACCCAATCCAATCCTATGACTCAAACAAAATCACAAAATATCATGCCGGATCGGTCGGGGCCCGGATTAACAACGACCGCGCTTCCTGCTGCTGTGTCACAAGGCAGAAGTGATAAATATGCTACTGAAACACACCAAATAATGCAGTATATAACCGTGGGAAATGTCTTCTGTCTCTAACATCAAATAGAATGTTCAAATAGATATATCGTATTCTGTTGCTACTTCCGAATTGAACTATGGGAATATGTGAGAATAACATTGTCTGTATCACACCACCACAATTATACTACTTAATACGGGAGATAGAACGCAGGTGACTTATAATCAAAGACAGCTGGTCTTTGTATATCCTTCTTCTTTCAGTAGCCATGTCTCACAGTCATAAAGGCGGATTGAGTGAACTGCTGTGCAGTATAGACGTCCTTTAGTTGGTAATCAGCCAGCCAGTCGGATATCACGTCTACGCCAGAGATTGGTGTAAGCTGGCAAATGTCACACTCTTAAACCTGAAATGAAGGAGGGAAGGTTTAGACGTGAGGCTAGCAACACCATAGCTAGTGAAACTTCTAACCTTCTAGCTGTATATCCCATTCAAAGAACTATAGTGGAATAGAAAAGAACTATCTGGCTGGCTGGCTGAATTCAACATAGAACTTGGCACCGAAGTGCAGCGGTTGAAGTTGCCACGTTCCAAATAGCACACAAACGTAGACAAGTAGATGAGTGAAGAGAATCAATAGAGCTTTGACAAGTATAAGAGTGAATGAAACAGAATGAGTAATGGTATAAAAGGAATGTGAAAGATTACAGAGACTGAATACATCTGCGTAAGCCATTGACAACGATTTTGAGCCATGTCACCTAGTGTCTCCAGCCATTGATTTTTAGAGTCCCGAGGGCCCCAACCCGGAAGTCTGCATCTCCCTACCAGACTCAGTTTAAGTGTCAAGGATTTCATGGATTGATGAGGCCATGTTTTTGTTTGGCCACCAAAAAAGAACGATCGACAAACAAACAAGACTTCTGACTACTACATTTAACCATTCCGATTTGATGAATTTTGTTGTTGTTGTATTTCTTTACGTCCCCCCAGTGGAACACATAGGGCTTCAATCTAGAGCCCGCTTAAAGTTTACGTAGCAATGGTATCTATTTTTATGAAATAGAGTTGCTGCCCGCCTGGCCTCATGCTCGCCAACCTTCCCTCTTTACACCAGTCTTATTATACTGGCTTAGCGAGCGAGGTAAAGCAGGAGTGCGTCCGTTGGCCGCCGGGGCTCAAACCCCGAACAACTTAAGTGATTAGCGAGCATTCTACTTCTGTGCCACCGCCGCACAGATGTATTATTATTATTGTCGTTCACTTGGGTTCCTAGTGGAACATGGGGCTTCAACTGCACGTCTCCACTTGCTTCTGTCTTCTGCTGTACTTTTCACCTGCATCCATGTTAATCCATACTGTTTCAACTCCTCTTCACACGATCTCCTCCATGTCACCCTGGGACGTCCCACTCACCACTTCCCTTTCGGGTTCCACTCGAGCAATGGCCTGACGCACGATGTCACCCAGTGGCCTCCTCAGCGAGTGTCCAATCCATCTCCACTTTCTCCTGCATATTTGTTGGGCGATGGGTTCTTGTTTTGTTTGTTCCCATAGTTTCTTGTTGATGATTCTTTCCGGCCATCTGATCTTCAGTATAGAGCCAGTGAAGACAGGTAGTTGTTGATAAAGGTGTGCAACAGGCTATTGGAAATATTCTTTGTGACACACTGGTCAAGTTTCTGATCCGTATAGAAGAACTGACTGACTTGACGTTTGTATTAAGAATCTGAATTTTGTTGTTGATGGTGAGTGACGAAGATTTCCAGATTGGTATCAGGGTGATGAATGTGTTTCTCGCCTTCCCGATTCTCGATTTGATATCCTCGTCGGTTCCTCCTGTGGTTGAGACAATGCTCCCTAGATAAGTGAATGAAGTAACCTCTTTCAAATCCCTCCCGTTGATGGTGATTGTCTCTGGATGTTGCTGTTGTTGTTGTTGTTGTTGGTTGGTTATTCTCATAACCTCCGTCTTGTCTATGTTCACCTGGAGTCCTGTCTTTGCTGCTTCTTCGACCAGTTTGTCAGCTTTCGCTTGTAAGTCTTCGATTTTATGTGACTGATTGACTGGTTCCGAGGTTCGTCATTAATGACGACACCAACAATAAAGAATCTAAGTCATCAGTAGTAATTCCATACAAGGAAGGAACCTCGGAAGCCTTACGCAGAATTCTTAACAAGGCAGGAATAAAAACGGCATTCAAACCCACAAACTTAATTAGAGACAAGCTTTGTCGGTTAAAGGATCCTGTAGAACCTTTAAAACAAAACAATTTAGTTTATCTCATACCCTGGTGTAATGATTGTCAGGTCATATACATAGGTCAAACTGGTAGTAGAACAGGGGCAGTCAGACTAGCTGAACATAAAAACTTAGCAAAATCTAGATTGGTTGACCCGAATAAGATAAGAAATCTAGAGAATAGTTCAGCTATAGCACTACATGCAGTCACACACAACCATACAATAGGCTGGATGGGATAGGATGACAGTTTTAAAATCTAAAACAACTAACATGGTGGAGGGAGAGAATGATAATAGAAGCTTTGTTCATCGAATCAACTGCAAATACATGTAATAGGAATGATTCATCACCTGTCCCAGATATATGGAAAATTCTACCACCCCTACGACAAATAGGAGAGAACAAAGAAAACTATAAAACTCAAGTGTCAAAGTCGTGTGATCACAATTGATATGATTATGAACAATAAATTTTGTTCGAAACCGTGTCATCCAGTAAATAATACTGTTTCACTGTGTGATATATCTAATAAACAAACTAATGTGGAATTACTTACTACCACAGTGCCCAAGTTTTACCCATATATTAACACCGAATATTGTTTTGTTGCTTTCTTTTTTTCTTCTATTTATTTGTTTGTTATAAAATTAGTCCGGCTTATCTGGTGCACCGGCTCGTGCTGTTTCAGCAATGCGTGATTTAAATCTTCATCAAAAGTTTAAAGAGATTCGTTTCCCTGATTTACAATCCCTACAAAGTAGACTGTCACGATAATTTTATTGTGTGTGTGTATGGGTACGTGCGTGTTCATTTCTATCTATCTCTTCTATTTGTCTTTCTAAATAAAATCACGCTTAACAGTTTTTATTTGAAGTACAGATTGTTATGTAATATGTAATATTCTCATGTTTTCTCTTCTGAAAATCCTATTTCATCTGTTTCTGTTTTATTATTTGCATCCTTTTTTGTTGACAGTATAATAATAATACAAAATGTTGTTTTTGTGAAATCATAGATGGCGGTTGGTTGTAACTGTCAGCTGTACTGCTTGCGCGTGTGTGTGTGTGTTTATGCATTTGTTAACAAGTCACACTTCCTAATGTTGTATAAAGGAAGGGAGTCTACCCTCCTCATCCTTCTCCTACCACCTAACCGCGTTCAAACACTGATCCTTTAAACAAATTTGAATCTTATATTCTGCTGGAGGTTAGTTGAGCTACCTTATCAATAGGCCACATTGATTTCTGTGAAATATATACCACTGGAAACTAAAGCTTAGAGGTAAAACGTGGAATATTATAGGCACCAAGAAATGAGTCACACAAAATCTTATAGTTTATGTAACGAACTGAGATACTGCCTGGACACCTTTTTTTTAATTATAGCTTGATTCCGCACCGTATTTTTGGTAGAAGTATGGAATTTTCAGCATTTGATATCGGTAGCCCAAATTTTACAGGCCGACCATTGATATCGGGTGTGCGTCGGCAGGGGATCGGACCCCGGACCAATGTGCATGGTCGGCGGGAGTCCTAACCGCTATGCCACCTACCTAGACCAAAGTAGGTAGTGGCTGCCTTAAGGAGCCACACTTAGTCGAAACTTTTAATAATAATAATAATAATTTGCTTTATTCCAAAACAGTACTTGTGATACAGAATGGAATTCTCAGCATTTTTACCACAGTACTGCATCCAGTTATTACATTAACAATAAGTAAAATTCCACATAGATTAAGGGTAATCTCAGTTCATTATGACAACGACATATTGACATGTCGGTAGCAAAACCAAAATTGAACAATGTTTGAAGATGTTAGAAAAGTAGATGCTAGCATATTTACTGGCATAAGCGGAAGAAAGAAACAAAGTAGCACATAACGGAAAAAGAGAGAGAGAGAAAAGGAAAAGAAAGAAAGAAAATGTTGTACCTATAAATGATATGAGTTGGAAAGACGAGGTCCAATTGTACTACTGACTATTTAATGAATTATAGGTGTCACGCCTAATGCTTTCTTTATCGCACAGAACACGAGCTAAGTAGGGTATGGTTGAGTTTTTGTACTTGCTAGTGCGAGCATATAGTTTTCTATGTAGGCTTCTGGTTTTGCCTGATGAGATGCAAGGGGAGAGTTGTGAGTGAAGAGGGTGGTGTGAGTTAGATAAAATGGATTTGGCCCATTTTTCACATGAGTCCATGTGCCTGTCAACCAGAATATTAACAAGCTGGTTAAGTGGCACGTTGCTTACCCTGCTGACAACCTTTAACATCCTGCGTAATATGTTATAGTTTTTCTTCAGTAGCCCGGGAAAAACTAAGGGGGAACAATAGAGAATAATAGGCAGAATGCGAGAGTTGTTAACGAATTGTAGGAGTAAGGGTTGGGTTATACCAGAATATTTGTCTTGAAGCCTAATCCACCAGTTCAAGTGTAAACACCAGACTTCCTCGTTCTCCCTTTCATCGTTGTGAGGAACACCCCCTATCCCCACGTGAAGTTAGTACATAAGACTTAGCTAGCTGGCAAAGTCGATGGATGCGCGGCCATATGAGAGCATTTTTTTAGAGGAAAACTGAAGTCTACCCATCCCCAACTGTACTAGGTCGTTTATGGAGGGCGTAGATTTTAGTAGCTTCAGTTTATATATATAACTGAAACGTAACGCGTCTCTTTTTGTACAACTATTACTAATCTTCGAATACTGCGTATAGCTCATAGCCTAAAACATTAGGCTGTACATAGCTTTTGAACTGCGCTATTATCTCTTTACATTATTATTGCTAGATGTAGTCTGACCAGCGTAGAACACTGGGCAAAAGTGCATTAGTACAACTTGCCATACCTTAAGGAAGCATACCTGAAGAGAGAGAAGAATAACTCGATGAAGATAAGTGAGAGTGAATCCCAGAATATTGATTGAATGCATCTGTGCTATTGAGATTGATTTTAAGCCATGCCATCAACAACACTCCCTAACCACTGACTTATGACATTGCGAGCATCCCTGTCAGGCACTCTACGCTTCCCTCAGTAAGCTCAAACCAAAAGTTAAAGACTTTAGTTTAGTGCCGTGTTCTTGTCTAACTCCCTAAGACAAGTTGGAATACTCCGAGTGAGTCTTTTGTATCCAAGCTGAGGTTTTGTCAGCAACTAGACCATTTGGGGGCTAATACAGCTACCTAAATTAGTCGAATGTTTAACATATTCAACCACCCCATACTCTGTATCGGTGTTGCACAGTCCTGTAGCATCCATTTGTGGTGAGAACTGTCTGCTAGACAAAATTGTAGACAACAATTTACGTCAATGCTTACTTCCCGAATCGGGGTCATGAGAAGAAAACACAATAACAAAGCTTAACCCTGAGGAACTCACCAACCAATCAAAACAGACTTAACGTGTGCAAATACGATTCGCGGATATATGGCTTAACTTTCTAAGATAACGGTCACAAGCAGTGCAGAATAACCTTGAGCAAGAAAACAAACAATCAGAAGTGGTTGCCTCTCTGCTAACAAAAACGTTAATAATAATGTACATAAAATCTATAAATATCTGTTGATTTTCTTAATAAACGATCTGTTGCCTGGCCCTTGTCTTCTGTCGTTTCACATTATCTAACATTTAACAAATGTAAATTACACACCAAACATCCTAAGATATTTACTCAGGGTGTTTATAATAATAATACTAACCTTATTCTGAAAAACGTGTATATAATGTACAGAATTTCCAGTGGAGTTTATTACACGATATCTTCTCTTCATCCGGGATCTTCAAATAAGTAAAAAATTAATTGACATTGGATCGCGTGACACGATTCTATCAAAAGTCAATCTGAACGAAGAATATTCTTTTCAATACATCCTTCTCCTCTTCAGGTTCTTACAATTATAAAATGTAATATTTATTGTTGTCGTTACAATAATGATAGCCAGTTAGTTATGCGGTGGATACATCATTTTTTCGCGTAGAATAACAGATTAGCAGTTATGGGGTGTCAAAATAAATAGTCGTATTTGTGTGACAAACGTGCCCTAGGCTGAATTCGATTACAAAATATTGTAAAGTGGGAGACAATGTTGGTGATTAGTCATAATAGATTTGTAGAGTGTGGGGTAGGAAAATTGACAAGTCATTTCAAGGTTATAAAAGGCGTCAGGTGAGTGAGTGGCTAGTACAAAGTGGTCTGTTTTTAAACTGGAGATAGTAAGACTGCAATGAGAGGGGTTCATAATGAAATAATGAATATGTGAAATGAAACAGGTGGAGGCATATATTGAGGAAAGAAATAATATCACTACTAAAAAGTCCGGATAGTATAAACGAAAATTCGATAGTATTGAGAGAATGTTTGCATGAAGGGTATAAATTATGACGAATAATAATAATTGTAATAATACTATTTGTAATAATGAGCAAAGAAAGGAAAGAAACCAGTAGGGTTAAGGGGAAGAAGCACTCTTGGTGAGAAGAAGAATCATCAATCCAAGTTTGGCCACGGTAGGAACAGCGACTGGACGTGTTCTTTTTGGATACAAAGTTCCGGTTTAGTCGATTCTATCAGATCTGAAGAGCAAACGAATCTATTATAATATATCTTCTTTTTCTCCTTCGAGAAATACACCACAGTTTATTGAATACCAATTAGAAAAAGTTCAGGAGCACGTTTTGTTAACCAAGGATACTATATTGAGGAACGGCAAAGTTCAACAATAGCGTCCCGAAGGGATGTGATCGCACGAGTGACCTTCAGTCGACTAATCATAAAAGTGAGTGATTTTGCACAAAAAAATGACGTATATTCACTGGAAAATGCATGAAAACACATTAAACAGGTTATCTTTCTTCTCTGACATGACTTAAAAATACGTCCCAGTTGTAATGAGGAGTATCAGTTGCGCCAAGTTAGACTAGTTTCTGTACATGTGTATTCACTGAGGTGACTAAAGATGAGCTGCTTTGTGAATCGTTCACCTCTTTTATCCTGTACAACGTTGTGCAGTCTTCCCCAAAAGTCCTCGCGGTTGAATTACCATGGTTTCCAGTAAGAGAATCGACGGCTACTTACCAGGAAAATGTGGATAATAGAACAAACTAAAATAAATGTCATCAATTACAAATCTATCCCTAATCGTAACCATAACCTTAATCATAAGCATTAGCCAAACCGTAATCCTAACCTTAACGAGCTATTAACACATTGTCGAAAAAGTACTTAAAAACGTGATATGAGTGAAATTTGCTCCTTAGCTGGTGAATAGTGTTGATATTTCAGCTATGATAGCGACAGGTGTCGTTAGCCAACGACTAGCATGCGTTCAAGGTCATTGGTCAGGCGTTCGCACTCCCTGTGACTCTATTGTTGAACTTCATCTCAGACGGGAACAGTCATCTCATTGTATTGGGATAAGCTGCTTTGAGGATAATGCTTTTTCACGTGTTTAGCAGAAACTTGTGAATCAACAGGCTGTAAGTGTTTTAAATACCCACCAGAGTAAACAATAATTACTATTAGAGATCATAATTTACTAGATTTAAACAAACTGAATCAAAGAAAACATATGCAAGCTATATTCATGGAGTTCATATGAACTGTGATCAAGATTTGACCGGATAGTTGCAAAATAATTGAGCGCTGAGTGAGAAGTAGACATTTATAAAATTATATTTGTAAAATCTCAGCGAAACATGAGTTGTTCCTTTTATATATAAACCTCTGTTATGTTAATTCGATTAATTTCCCTGAAGAAGTTCGGACCAGATTGCCGAACGAAACGTTGGAATTAATCATTTCAATTTCGCTGAGATTTTACAAATATGATTTTATATATTGATGGAGGTTTTTCGGTAGCCCAAGTTTTCAAGCAGACCGCAGTAGTTGTTTGTCAGAGTCAGCTGCCTATTTAACGTCAGAACTACAGTTATTGCTGAATAAAATAGTACCATCACTGTTTATTTCACTGCCTTCTCATCAGCTGCTTACAGGCCACAGTCATTATTAAGTATATCTACAGAAATAATTTTAATATACTTGCACAGAGTTCATTTTAAACAAAAATCACTCAATCAAGGTTTGCATACAGTAATAATATGTATATATATGTAATATTAAACACTATTCCGAATAATAGTGATCACACACAACAGAAACTTTTGGCATTACGTATTTAGATGAAAGAGAGGGTGAAAATATCCAGTTACCAGACAGGGCAAAGAAAGACTGATAACTGTTTCTTTCTGAACGCACAAATCAGGTTTCAGGCGCTTGATAGAAATGGCTTCATCAAACTTGAGAAGAACTGAGCTCTTCTACCTATTGATAATTTTGAACGACTTTTCGACGTCCACCTCATGCATGTCCCGTGTCAAGGAGATGCCTGGCGATGGCACTGTTTAAAGCATTTGTTCCATCTAAACATAAGCTTTTTGGTAAATGTTCAGAAAACCGTAGATACGCCCTTCTTCCTTCTGTTCTTCCAATGTAATTGCTCCCACAGATACGTGTAAATTTGTATACACACAGTTGAAGTTAACATGAAAAGGATATCTATCGATTTTTGATTGCATTGAACAGGAAGCTGTTCGATAGACAAGAACGAGCTTAGCTGCAGGATAGGCTCTGTCTGACTAGTGGCGTACTCAGTCTTCTGTTGACCATTGCTGTAATGTTTTCACCTTTATAATCAAGTTAAGTGTAGATTGGCTTTTTCTCCACTGTGATGTGTTTTACATTTGAGACTTGTTAGTGAATCTCTGAGGGTAACCATTGCTCTTCAACATCTTTTCAAGAAACTCAAATTCTTCCTCTAATTTCTCTACAGAGCATATTCTCCTCGCTCTATAGTACAGAGTCTTGACTAGTCCATGTTTAAAGCTATTTGAACAAAAACTATTTAAAATGTAAGTATTGTTCTTTCCAAGTAGGCTTTCGATAAATTGACTTCGGGATGTGAGCAGCTGACCAGAAGGCAACGAAATAAACAAAGGATGGTACCACTTTATTCTGCAAAATCCACACTGTTGTTGTTCTTGCTTTAATTCAAATTCATTAAGTAGGAATAAATGTATGAAATTTATTTAAAGTCAATAAGACTTTTGCCTGATAACAGGTCACTCTCTCAAGCATAAAAGTGTAAGCGAAACATCAACCAGTAATCGATTTGTAGTCTGGGTGTATATTACTCGTCTCTGTATGTAGGATACTATCTGTTTGTTTGCGTAATTCACTGTGGATAACACTGTTGGCTTGAAAATCTTCAACTTTTACATTACAAATATTAAAAAACACTAATTCTTCACACAACGCAATATCCTAACCACTAGACCAGCATCAAAAATAAGATCCGGATTTTCAACTCCAATGTGAAGTCAGTGCTACTCACTATACGGATCAGAGACTTGCACTGTGCATCATAAAGAGCATCTCAAACAAACTACAGACATTCATTAACAGTTGTCTTCGCTCAATACTCAAGATCAGATGGCCGGCCAGAAAAGATCAGCAACAGGGAGGAATGTCTGGCAATGAACGAACCAACCTAGCAGGAACCGATTGTGCAACAAAAAGGCAGGAAGAAATGGAGATGGATTGGCTGGTCATGCTCTGAGGAAACCATCAAGTGACATCACTAGACAAGCCATGACTCGAGTGGAATCCGAAAGGGAATCGGCGAGTTGGTCGTCAGTGCAAGGGTGACTTGGAGGAGGTCATGTGAAGAGGAGATGAAAACGTGCGGGCAGACATGGAGCCAGGTGAAGACTCTAGCAGAGAACCGAACGCAATGGAGACGCATGGCTGAAGCCCGATTTTCCTCTGGGAATTAAAGGATACAATAATAATAATAATAATTCCCCACACAACACAATGTATTCATCAAAGCTGAATGAAATGTCATCTTTCGTTGAATAGAATGATTACTTAGAAATATAAGCAAACTAAATCAAAATATTCAGTTTAAATAAATCGATAAATAAATCAATAAATAAAAAAAGAGTAGTAAGGAGACAAACATAGATGAATTGACCGCGTAAAGTTTCATCTGTTGGTTATTTTGCGTTTAATAGATCCTGTTGGTGTTGATGGTGGTTGTAGGTTGATTGAACTTCTAGTAGCCTTTATACCTCTACTGATAGAAGAGGTTCTTTGAGGTTTATTTTGAATTAACTTAACACGTGTTGCATAACTAAAATTTATAAAAAACAAAAACGAATGATAAGACAAATTGAAGTTGGTATAAATTTATTTCGGGAAAAGTAAATTTTAAAACTGGGTAAATACATTAGTTATTTAATTCATTTTGGATTTCCCTGTTGATTGATTGAACTGAAGTGTTCAGCCTCTGTTAACATACCGGCTCCTTCTACAGATGCCTTGATTATTATTTATTATTACTGTTCCCTTGGGTTCCTAGTGGAACATAGGGCTTCAACTGCACGCCTCCACTTGCTTCTGTCTTCTGCTGTATTTTTCACTTGCATCCATGCTAATCCATACTGTTTCAGTTCCTGTTCACACGATCTCCTCCATGTCACCCTTGGACGTCCCACTCGCTGCTTCCCTTTCGGGTCGCACTCGAGCGTTGGCCTGACGCGCGATGTCACCCAACGGCCTCCTCAGCGAGTGTCCAATCCATCTCCACTTTCTCCTGCATATTTGTTGGGCGATTGGTTCTTGTTTTGTTTGTTCCCATAGTTTCTGATCTTCAGTATAGAACGAAGACAGCTGTTGATAAAGGTCTGCAACAGGCTGTTGGAAATGTTCTGTGTGACCCGCCAAGTTTCTGATCCGTATAGGAGAACTGACTGACTTGACGTTTGTATTGAAAATCCGAATCATTTTGTTGTTGATGCTGAGTTAAGTGACGAAGATTTCCAAATTGGTTTCAGGTTGATGAATGTGTTTTTCACCTTCCCGATTCTTGATTTGACATCCTCGTCCGTTCCTCCAGTAGTTGAGACAATGCTCCCTAGATAAGTGAATGAAGTAACCTCTTTCAAATCCCTCCCGTTGATGGTGATTGGCGTTGGATGTTGCTGCTACTGTTGTTGTTGTTGTTGTTGGTTATTTTCATAACCTCGGTCTTGTCTATGTTTACCTGGAGTCCTGTCTTTGCTGCTTCTTCGACGAGTTTGTCGGTTTTCGCTTTTAAGTCTTCGATTTTGTGTGACATCAAACATAAATCATCCACGCGCGAAATCCAGGTCTTCTAGGTTCTTCACGTCGGTCCAGGATATCCCTGTCTTCTCGTTTCCCACTGTCTGAGAATTAAACCTAAAGTAATTTGGTGAATTGTCACCAGCAATGGTATCCAGGATGCACAATTCATCCGGTTTGGGATGGCGCCTTCTCGTAGCTCTAGTGGATAACGCTTTGACGTCTGAAACTCTGGGTACTGGGTTCGAGCCTCAGTGGGAACACTGTCACTCACTGGGGGATGCAGGTGCATCCAGATGACGAGTCCCAAATAAGACAAAATATGCCCTATTCATTCCACTGCTAGTCACCATCCACCAAACACGTTAGTTATTTAGTTACTTTAATAAAATAGATTTCATTGCTTGGATAAACAAAAATAGAGCGTTAGTTGAGGTAAGTTTCATCGATTGTGGTGGATAGGTCTCATGGTATGGAAGTCAAACCACTATCTTCTTTTTTTCATTTCCCAAACACTTCAAGCTACTTACCGAAATCACGCTGCAGGAAATATTGGAAAGTCTCCAATTATCAATGTCAGTAGTGGTGTACACCCATGACGCTAACACAGATTGAACCCAAGACCTTGAATTTACGAGGCGAGATAAGCTGTTTGACAATTCAGTCAATTAAATGGAATTAAAGGAACCATTCGGGTTCCAGTCGAGGGATGACCTGGCGTGTGATGTCACCTGATGGTTTGTTTTCTCAGAGTATGGCCAATCCAATCCACCTCCATTTCTTCCTGCCTATTTGTTTCACAATCGGTTCCTGCTGCGTTGGTTCGCTCCCAGAGATCCCTGTTGCTGATCTTTTCTGGCCGGCCATCTGATCTTGAGTAGTATTGAGCGAAGACAACTGTTAATGAAGGTCTGTAGTTTGTTTGAGATGCTCTTCATGACGCGCCAAGTATCTGATCCATAAAGTAGCACTGTCTTCACATTGGAGTTGAAAATCCGGATCTTGTTTTTCATGCTGAGTAGTGCTGTTGATCTCCACACAGACTTGAGAGTAGTGAGAGCTTGTCTTGCTTTTCCGATCCACGCTTTGATATCCTTGTCAGTTCCGCCCGCCTGTAGTTGAAACAATGCTTCCCAGGTAGGTAAAGGAGGTTGCTTCTTTCGGATTTCTCCCAGTTATGCTGATTGTTGGCTGTTGTTGTTGTTGCTGTTGGTAGTGTTGCCCAGGGATCTTCATCACCTCTGTCTTCTCTATGTTCACCTGAAGTCCTGTCTTTGATGCTTCTTCTGCCAACATGTTGCTTTTCGCTTGCATATCTTCCAGTTTGTGGGAAATCAGACATATATCATATCATATATTTAGATAAAGCAATAAGAAGATGTAGTTTGTCTGCATCATGTAATGTGTATTTGAGCAACATATTTCGAAAAATTTGATCACACTCCAAGGATTTGTCATAGGATTGCATATATATATGAAATTAATAAAGAGTTTAGAGGTGAGAAAATAGACTACTTAGGTCAAGTTAAAAGACCTTAGTAAGGTGCCTCTTCAGTAGAATCCAACGAATATGCACTGAAGACACACTTGATGAGGAAGAAAGAAGGTTGAAACAAACTCTGGTTGATAACAATTATCCAGACAGGTTCACCAGGAGATATAAAGTAGTCAGAACACCAAGACCCACTCTCTAACTTGCCGTTAAGAAAGACATGTACATCAAGCTACCCCAAATAGGGCATCATAGCAGCTTGACAACTAGACAAAGATTGAACGCTGCTGCTGTTAAAAAGACTTTTTATGCAGCTAATATCATAACAAATGAGAATGTGAAGCCAATATATCCATCTAAGCCCTTTGAAAATGCGAAAAATGATGTCACATCCCAGTGTATTTATCAATTTGAATGTGAGTGTGGACACACATACATAGGCATAGAGAGGATTCATCGTTCTCTGCAATTAAGAGCTGGCTTCATGGCATATTCGTAAATGGCTCCAGAAGCAAACAGAATCTTCGGAACCCATTAATGGCGAGAACAGGAGACTTAGCTCCTCTGTTGCGAAACATATTACAGAGGAGACAGGACATAAAATTGATGTTTACACCTATTTTAAACCTATCTATAAAATGTGTTTGGGGGAAGGCGTATCCTAAAGTTTGTGGAAGCCTAAGCTAGCAATTGGAAAGTTTAAAACACCTTAATGCATTCAAAGCAACAATTCGTCATCACACTAAACCTTCCTTCGTAAACTTTGTTTTGATACTAGCCAGGGTAGATGTACTATTACCTCTGTTATTTGGTTTAGTGATCTTCATTGTTATTTTGACCTTCAATATGTCCTTTTAACTTGACCTAAGAAGTCTATTTTCCCACCTCTTAACTCTTTATTAATTTCATATATATTTTATTATTTATTTTAATTTTATTATAGCTTGATTTCACACAGTATTTTGGTACAAGTGTGGAATTTTCAGCATGGATATCGGTAGCCCAAATTTTGCAGGCCGACCATAGATATCAGGTGTGCGTCGGAGGGGGATCGAACCTCGAACCATGTGGATCGTCATTGAGAGTCCTAACCACTGTGCCACCGACGCACAAGTCTGTGGAGTGTGATTAGATTGTTTGAAATGTGTTGCGCGCATACATACATTACACGATTCAGACAAATTACATCTGCTTATTGCTTTGTCTAAATTCATAAAGGGAACTAATTGTTTTAAAAGTTCACATAGGTCGAATTTTTCATCACAAACTATAAAATTGTCATCTACACATATGCTGTAGCTGTGAAGGTAACTGATCAGAGGATTAAGGATATTGTATTCCATGAAATAGTTAGCTAAGATTGAGTCAGCAGGAAACTCCACGTCCACACTATCGTTGTTTATGTACAGTTATTCATTGAAGTTTAATTGAAGATTCAAAATAAATCTGATAAGAAGTTCCTTCATTTAGTTGGTGGGAAGAGAAATTTTTAGGTTGTTAGATTTAATTCAGCCACTTATAAAGAATATCATTTCAGTTAAGGGGATGCTTGTGAAAAGGGAAATGACGTCTAGGAAATGCACTTTTTTCAAGTATTGGTTTTGTAGGGTTTCTGTTTTGATTGGTTGGGTGATTTCACCATGAGCTGACATCAGTTAGAGAATCATTGGGAAACCTGCTAGGGAGTACTGGAAAGTTAGCTGTTTCGTCAGCCTAGTTCGGGACTCTTTGTCAGTACGCACCCACCACAGGGGCTCTAACCCAGGCCCTTCTGGTTACAAGACGAGCTAGCTCGTGAACCATTAAGCTACTGCGACCCGATCCAACACTTAAAAATTGATCTGAATCTCACTAGCGACTGACCCTATTCGGGCAATTAACCTGGGGTTCTAATAGGAAGGCATGACCAGTAGGATACCGCAGGTTGAAGGTGAGGCAGCAACTGATCGAAGAAGACACTGTGAAGTAGGCACGCTATGCCATGAATTGGCAGAAGTTGGAATTCATGGGTTGGCCATTGGATTGGGTCCCAGAAGTTTAATGGTCTGAGAGCTAGCTCGTCTTGTAACCAGAAGGTTCTGGATTCGAACCCTGGCTGTGTATGTGTACTGATCAAGAGTCCCAAACTAGGCTGACGAAACAGTTAACTGTCCAGTACTCCCTGGCAGGTTTTCCACTGGTTCTCTAACTGATTTCAGCTCATGATGAAACCAGCCAACCAATCAGAAGCATTTATCTTTCATATACATTGACACCTTTCACTGACTCGATGAAATCAAATGTACGTTTAAGAATATATCTTGTCAAATATATCCCTCGTGATTCTAGGAATAAAAGTTAGCCATATGGCGATCCGATGATAAGGTGATTTTCTATTCTGTTGTGGTGAATGCTACAGACAATATTTATGAGTAGAAATGTCTATTCCTCGAATCTAGATCTAGTTTACGATGGGGACATGAAATAACCTTCTTGGACACCTTTTCGTCTCATTGATTAATCTTGAGCCAAACACCAACCAACCAATCAGAACAATTTACTGTCTGCTGACCTAACCGAGTTTTAATATGGCTAAAAGCGTATTTCTAAAATTAAACTTCTGTTACCAGTCCTCTTATCTTCTGTCGGTAAAATATCTGTTGCGTCTTTCTGGTTGAAGGATTTGAAGAATTCCCTCTTGTCTGATAGCAGGATTGGTTATTTGTCGTTAAAGTCTGATCTCTACAATTCCACTGCTTATGTCTAAACGAGCAAAAATTACGTTTTTTTGTTCTCTTGAAGTTGTCTGAGTTGTTTTCTGTGCTGCATCGTTAGTAAGTAACGGTGAGTAGGTCATGCGTGCATCCATTTGTAGCTGCTGTCTAGGACTGAAGCCTTAAGTTATTCCAAATCTTTTTCAGAATTCATTAACAAATCAAAGCATTACATACACTCATTTGCATTCCCCATACAGGTCTTATGTAATGACTTAGCTTTTGTTCATTTCTATTGATTTAATAATTTCTCATACTTACTGTGTAATTAATTCTAACTTCCGTTCTTAAATCTCCACCTAGTCCACGTCCCTTTTAGATTACATCTCACATTACATTATACACTTTCTAGTAGGTGATTGGTTTTTTTATTATTCAGCATCACATCTCCATTTCACCCAATTCTCTACAGTACTCTTTATCTGGCTGCACGATCACCCATAAGCTCTCATCTCCTCTTACACGATCTCCTCCACGTCATCCTCGGATGCCCAACTTTCTGTTTCACATTCGGGTTCCATTCATGGCGGCTGAGTGGGTGTTCGACCCGTTTCCATTTTATTTAGCACAATTGTTGGGCAGGATAGGTTGTTTGTTTGTTCTTTTCCAGAGTTCTCTGTCGCTTACCCTTTCTAGATGGCCATCTCATCTTCAGTATGGAGTGGAAGCAGCTCTTGATAAAAGTTCACAGTAGCCTGTTGGAAATGCTTTTCGGGATGCGTGTGTATATGTGTGTGTGCCAAGTCTGTGAAACATCTGTGAGCATTACTACTACCCCCAGTAATACTACTGATAATGATAATAATAGTAATAATGTTAATACTAATAAATTCTTACTTTAGTGAATTTATTGTCTCCGACATACTTGTTATGCTTGGATTAATTGTTATGATCATAGCAGATTTTGAATTACCTCCAAGTGAATCTTGCATAAGTTGTGTCAATTTACTATTCTGGTAGGGGAAATAGGTTTGTGATGTTAACAAGGCTGAAACTACATCACCCAAAGTTGAAAGTGTTGAAGAAATAAAGTTGACCTCCTTTTGGTAAAAAAAAATAAAATAAAATAGAAATACAAAAACAACTCTAATTTTTAAAATGTTTTTGTTTAAACTACTTAGAAGTAGTCAAAATACTTTAACTAGTATTTTACACAACAGCTCTTGTAGAACAAGGTAAATTGGCCGTAACCAGAGGACACTTTCCACACGGATACAAGAACATATTCAAGCAGCATGGTTTTACATGGAATAAAGCAAGTGTGTGCGAAGCTCTATTCTGGAACACCTGATCGACTTCTGTCACTCTGTCAATCCTGACCATGATTTTAAGAACATCTACCGAATCCATACTAACTTGCCTTGGAAATTCATCACTTTAAGCCAAACCTTTGTGTACAAAAGAAGTATGTACAATCCCTACTCCTGCCTTGGTCGCAGAGAGATAGACATTTATTTATATATAGAACAATTCATAAGATGTACAGTGCTTGGGTGTCCAATTATGTGATTTGTAGGCGAATAGAATAAAAATAAAAATGTTACCTAACATTGTATGAAATTTGATAACATAGAATTTAACGTTACAAAACAGAATTGATTTAGAATGACAAGTGGAACAAGTGAAATAATACCGGGGACAATTAAAAGTAAGAGTAGTAATAAGAAAGAGTATACAAATTGAATAGACAAAAATGAAAAATTGGCAGAGCTAAAATATGATTAGTGATTACCATACTTTAGCATTGAGGGATTAAGATCATGAAAGTTGGAGGGGTTGAACGAACTTTTTCTGTACACAGAGATCTGGCTTTTCTGTTTCGATAGCCAAAGATGGCTTCAGCAATACAGATGAGTCGGGTACGTAGGGATTTGGGTAAATTACTCTTCGCCTTGTAGATGACTTTAAAGACAGAGGCTATAGAGATAGGGTGATCATTATCGTCAAGATGTTCAATGATCGCGCTTCTTATTGCTCCACTTCCACCTCTTCGTAACAACCATGCAGGATAGTGTTCTTGCCAGCCTCTTGGACGAAACTCTAGTCGAACGCACACATAGAGTTGGTCAACAGCGGTATCTTGTCCTTCAGGTTATTGAACAGTAATGGTCGACTTGTAAAGGCTATACTCAACGATGCAGCAGGGAATGTTCTTCTCAGTGACTGTGAGATCCTTCCTTTAATGGTATCGGAAGCTAAGTCACCTTTGAATTTCAAGCTCATGTACATTATTTTGTGCGTACGGATAATAAGTCAAATTTTCATAGGATTTGACTGTATAATCCTGTCTATAAAACGTGGCGGAAATCCATTTTCTGTTAGGATTTTTCGTAAAAGATTTAACTCCCCCTCCACATTATCATGACTATTTATGCACCAAATGCAAGTGGCAAGTGACCCGACCAGGTTTCATTTTCGACCAATGGGTACCCAGCTGTAGAAATTTGTCAGTTGACCATTCCATGACAACTTTCTATAAATCGATCTCTTCATAGTTCCATCAGTTCTCCTTGATAAGTTCACATCGAGGAAATGAATACTAGACTCATTCTCCATCTTGAGTGTGAATTTTATCACTGGATGGCAACCATTGGATTGTTGACTTCAATTAATCATTTTCTAGACTGGTCATAAAACAGTCTCTTCGCTGAATCACTTCTTTTGATTGTCTAAATTTCATATGCGTCTGTATTTCAAGCATAGTATGCTCGCCAATCACACAGGAGGTCCAAGTTCCACTCCAAGCCGACCCACTCCTGGACCTCACTAGCCAGTAGTAAGCAATATCACCAATAGTGAAATATCAAAACTTGTGACCTAATGTTCTATTCAAAACTGAAGCCTGGCTAGCAGAGTGATAACGTGCATGTGTTTTAACAGCTCGGTAACAAAACATCTGGTGAACTCAAGACGCTTTGGTTCATTTGAAAAGCCCTTCAAAGTCTTGTATAGAATCCAATTATACCTCTCAAGGGAATGAGATCAAGACACGCGGACATAACTGAAGCACCAGGGATCTAATAATGATAATAATAACTTCATTCCAAGTACAGTATTTTGCAGCATGCAGTACAACAATACTGCATCTAATTGTCTCTTTAGACTACATAATGCTGGGGGAAGTAATTAAACAGGGCTTTTGTAACGACAGAAGACAAGGGTCAGGCAACAGATCCTTTATTGAGAAAAACAACAGATATTTATACATTTTTATGTACATTATTATTAGCGTTATTGTTAGCAGAGAAGCAGCGTCTTCTGATTGGTTGTTTTCTCGCTGAAAGTTATTCTGTCATCTCTTTGTGGCCATTTCTTTGAAGGTCAGACCATATATCTGTTAATTGTATCCGCCCACGCAAAGTATGCTGTGATTGGTTGTTGAGTTCTTCAAGGTTAGGCCTTGTTCTCGTTTCTTCTCATGACCTCGATTTGGGATGTAAACATTGACGTAAATTGCTGTCTACCAATTTCGGCTAGCAGACAGCTCTCACCACACTTTTACATATGTTAAAATTTGATTGGAAATATTAACGACAATATAATAATGAAAGGATTGTTTATTTAGAGTTCCGCAGTAAGTTAGTTGGTAATTTCCTGCCCTACAATTTTCTCATCATATAAAACGTGTGCTAAATAAGGTACCGCAGAGTTTTCATACTTGGTTTTCCGAGCACAAAGTTTGCTATAGTTGCTTCTAATCCTGCCTGATGAGATGGTAGTGGAGAGAGTTGTATCCAGACAGAATGCTCAGGGTGCGACAAAGTAATATTCAATAATTTATTTCATAACTCCATGTATCTACCTACAACAGTACTAGTGAGTTGACTAAGGGACATCCCACTCGCTATTAAAAAGAAGTACGTCTTTTATCATGGCTACGATAAACAGTCATCTTTCTCAGTAATTATTATGCAATTATGCCTTTTATCTGGACTTCCTGTGTATTTCTGTTATTATTAGATAGTTGGAGGCATTTGGGAGGAAGCTGTGGACCTAGGTTTTGTACTTGTCGACACTCGTCAGATAGGTGTATCTACAATGCTGAAGGAACTCATTTTCCTTTTGAGATTCGAACCCATGTCACCCAGTGCCTCCTACAGTTAGAGATGTTACAACGTAGCTATTCGGGCCCATAAGATTGACCTCCTGTAGGACTATAATGGATGCTTTGATTGGACACTAGATAATAAAGAAACTAGTATCATGCGTCTAGTGTCCTTCGTGTTTGCACGGTGCCCTCTGATTTGTTGTTATTTGATGGTCAGTTGGGGCAATCGGCTGACGAGTGCCAACAAACACGAGTCACCGTCTAACATGGTGGCCGTACCGCAAACTTGACTGGTAGAATTCTGTCTGCTGCAACACCAAGGACTACACGCATGACACTAGTAACTGCATAGTGTGTAATCACAGTGTTTTTGTTATTATTGGCAGTTACTCACACAAAAACTTGGAGGATCTGGACTTCGCCGATAAAATATGTTTGTCTGATTTTCCACAAACTGGAAGATATGCAAGCGAAAAGCAACAAGTTGGCAGAAGAAACATCCAGAGAAGATAGAACATCAGGTGAACATAGAGAAAACAGAGGTGATGAAGATTCCTGGACAAGAACAACTACAACAGAAAACCATCAGCATAAACGAGAGGAACCTGAAAGAAACAACCTCCTCTACCTACCTGGGAAGCATCGTTTCAACTACGGGCGGAACTGACTAGGATATCAGAGCAAGAATCAGAAAAGCGAGACAAGCTTTCACTACTCTCAAGTCTGTGTGGAGGTCAACAGCACTCAGCATCAAAAATAAGATCTGGATTTTCAACTCAAATGTGAAGTCAGTGCTACTGACTATACGGATTAGAGACTTGGCCAGCGCGTCATAAAGAGCATCTCAAACAAACTACAGACCTTCATTAACAGTTGTCTTCGCTCAATACTCAAGATCAGATGGCCAGAAAAGATCAGCAACAGAGATCTCTGGGAGCGAACCAACTCAGCAGGAACCGATTGTGAAACAAATAGGCAGGAAGAAATGGAGGTGGATTGGCTGGTCATACTCTGAGGAAACCATCAAGTGACATCACACGCCAGGCCATTGCTCGAGTGGAACCCGAAAGGGAAGCGGCGAGTTGTTCGTCAGTGCAAGGGTGACATGGAGGAGGTCATGTGAAGAGGAGATGTAGGCGTGTGGGCAAACTTGGAGCCAGGTGAAAAGTTTAGCAGAGAAGTGAATGCAATGGAGATGTGCAGCTGAAGCCCTATGTTCCTCTAGGAATTAAAGGATACAATAATAATAATAATAATCCCTATTTATAATCTTGTTATTCGTTATAATTTGACCATGTATGGGAAATAGTTCTGGGACCTTCTCATCGATTTACCATATGTTCAAAAAGCGTTGTTGATAATAATAATTTTTGCTTTATTCCAAAAAACAGTACTAATGATACAGCAAGGAATTTTCAACATTCAGTATAATATTGCATCTAATTTACTCAAAAACGACAAAAAAATAAAATAAAAAAATAAATATTACATAATGATAAGAACAAAACGTTGTTATGGCAGCTATGTAGCAAATTACAGTATGCAATACGGAGAAAAATATGCATAAAGTGTAAAATTATAGTAATAATAGTAATAACAACTAAAATAAAATAGCTAAGTTATATAATTAAACGATAGAAAGGGTGACACCATAAAATTACCGAAAGATGAACAATGAAAGGGTCGATTCACTTTGCTAATCACATAGTAACTTATATGTTTCACATCTAACAGTGTCTTCATCACATAAAATACGGGCTAAATACGGTATTGTAGAATTTTGTACTTAGTGGTTTGAGCATATAACTTCTTATATTGACTTCTCGTCCTACCTGATGAGATACAAGGGGATAGTTGTGAATAAAGGGAGTGCAGAGGGTCTGACAGTACGGCCTTTGCCCATTTTGTACAGGAATTTATGTGTCTCTCGACTATAGTATTGGCGAGCTCACGCAGTGGCAAACCACAAGCCCTACTCACAGCATTTAATACCCTTCCTAATATGATATAGTCTTTTTTGAGAAGCCCAGGAAAGATTAATGGAGAGCAATAGAGTACAATAGGTAAAATACAGGAGTTTAAAAATTGCAGAACTAAAGGTTGGTTTATACCTGATTGTCTCAACTTTTTTTAATGTAGAAGGTAAGACGAAACATTTTCTTAGAGATTGATAAGATGTGGGATGACCATGAAAGGTCAAAGAGGAAAAAAATAATCCAAGGTATTTAATACTTGATTTGGTTTCAATTTCAGAGCCAATCGCAGCGGAGTTAAAGTGTGAAAATACGATTCGCAGATAAGTGGCTTAACTTTCTAAGAAACGGCCACAAAGAGATGGCAGAATAACCTTCAGCAAGAAAACAACTAATCAGTAGACTTTACTTCTCTGCTAACAATAATGCTAATAATAATGTACATAAAAGTCCATAAATATCTGTTGATTTTCTCAAGAGATAAACGATCTGTTGCGTGACCCTACTCCTCTGTCGTTACAAATGAAAAAATATTAACCCTAAAGTGTCATCAAAGTGTCTTTGTAAGAAGCTGACCTGTCGAAAGTAATCGAGCATTTCATTCCTGAGAAAAACAAACAAACAATTGATTGAAAATCACTCGTAAGACTGCTTACTTTTAACTGTTCTGCAGTTAATCCTCTCCTCGCAGGCTGTTCACTTCCAGCTAAATCAATTATTGAAAATTTCCCATAGTATGATTCTTGATTGATTTTATTGGTAATATTCAGAAATATGCTAAGGATGAGATGAGATTTTGAGCTGTGGAGAATTTTTGATTCTATAGGAAAATAATTATAATAAAAGATATTCACAGTAAGAAAATGTGCAGTGAGGTAGATAAATTGTTGGAAATCTTAACAGAATTACCGAAAACAGTAGCTGTCGATATTGAAAACATTTATTTCCCGATACGAACTTAAAACAAGCAACAAAGCAGGTTAATAAAGCAGGATTTAATGAATTCATCAAGTTTCCGTAGAACTCGTCAGCTGCTCAGTACTCTACTTACACGGTTACATATGTAGATACTTTTGAAATTACATTGGGAGATATAAGACTGATAAGTAAATAAACTATATTGAATTAGTCATGCAGAAAGACAGGTGCGAATGTTTTCCCAGGTCATGTTCAATTAGATAAGGGGAGAGAGAGACAAAATGCATTGCGCCTCAGTTATACATCATTTAGATAAACAATTAGTCATTAGAGAATATGACAAGAATTACAGATAGAGTTTGTGGAAGCAAATACATAGGTCGTACAGAAAAGCGATTTTCTACTCGCATGATGGAGCATTTACCAAAGTGGTTGAAAACAGCTGAATGCAAAGTGCCAAAAACCTCAATAACAAAACATCTTGTGGACTATGGACATGATATGGACGCGGTCAAGTCATTCACTGTTGTCAGCAGACAAAGAAACAAGAAGATGCTTGCAATTGCAGAGGCTTGTGCAATTCGAGTTTATAAACCAGGTCTCAGTGTACAAAAGGAGATGGTTGTGACTCTGAATCTACCAGGGTAATACGTTTTACTTATTATTCTACCTATTATTATTATTGATTCATTTAAAACTATCCTTTATCAGTAGCATTATCTTAACTCACTTCAACATTATTATTATTGTTATTGTTTTCATAACTATTACTAATAATTTACCTCGGTTTGCAATTCTTGTTATATTCACTAATGACGTAATGCATTTTGTCTTAATTTTGATCTCCCATACTCTCTTTCCCCTTATCTAACTGAACATGACCTGGAAAAACATTCGCACCTGTCTTCATGCATGATTAATTCAATGTAGTTTATTTACTTATCAGTTCTATATCTCGCAATGTAATTTCAAAAGTATCTACATATGTAACCGTGTACGTAGAGTATTCAGCTGACGAGTTCTACGGAAATTTGATGAATTCATTAAATCCTGCTTTATTAACCTCTGTTACTTTTTTAAAAGTTGTCGATATGCATTGCTGGTTCAACGGCAGAATACCTGCCAGTCATACACGTCGTCTGTGTTCAATTCCTGACCGATGGACTCCTAGAAAACGTTTTGTTTACTAGCTGATATATCCAAAAGAGGGGTTAGATGAGAGACTACAAACGTCACCTCGTAAGCTGCTGCAACTACTAATGTAACTTCCGAGGTTCGAGTTAAACCTTCCACTCGGAATAAAAAGAATGGAGAAAAAATGAATAGTTATCAGAATGAGAAACATTATGGCTGTTTTAGAAGAACTGTTGACAAAAAGAAGAAGAAGAACCTAATGGTCATTTGTCTTGATTAAGGCACCATCGTCTCACTTACAGGCGACACAGACTAGGATGTCAAAGCCAGCTAGCTGTTTATTGCCTTGAAATTAGTGTGGAGGTCTACAATCTACAGAGAACTGTTAGTTAATTTAGTGGTTTTGTATACTTCAGAGAATTGATGTACACGTCAGGAGAAGCATTTCAATGCAGTCTGCTGTACATACTTTCATCAGCAGACGTTTCCTTACCTTAACAGAAAAGATCAGATATTCAAGTGAAATCATACGCTTGATAGTCCATCCAATAGAATCTGAGTGGCAGGCGATGAGTTAGATAGCCAAGGGTTACACAAAGAAGATTATGTAAAGAGGAAATTAAAAATTTCGGGTTAAAAATGACAGCAGAGAATACAGTACTATGAAAATGTGCCTCTGATGCCCTATGTTTCTTTGGGAATCCAAAGGGCTATAATAATATTAATACTTCCTGACTCAAGATTTTTCATCTTTCTAAACCAGAGGTCTATTATTATTATATTATTATTATCTGCTTTAGTTCCTAGAGGAACACAGGGATTCAGCCGCTCGTCTCCATTGCGTTCGGTTCTCCACCAACGTTTTCACCTGACTTCACGTATGCCCACATGCTTTCATTTCCTCTTCACATGACCTCCTCCATGTCACCCTCGTACTGACGACCAACTCGCCGCTTCCCATTGGGGTTCCACTCGAGAGATGGTCTGGCGTGTGATGTCACTCACTTTATGGTTTGTTTTCTCGGAGTATGGCCTCCAATCCACCTACCCCCGTTTCTTCCTGCATATTTGTTGCACAGTTGGTTCCTACTGGGTTGGTTCGTTCATCGCCAGAAGTTCCTCCATGTAGCTTATCTTTTCTCACCGGCCATCTAATCTTGAGTAGCAGTGAGAGAAGACAGGCGTTGATAAATATGTGTAGTTTGTTCGAAGTGGTCTTCGTGACGCGGCGTCAAGTCTGTGGTCCACATAGTGAGAAGCACTGACTTCACACTGGGGTTAAAAATCCTGATCTTATTTTCATTTTCATGCTGAGTAGTGCTGTTGATCTCCACACAGACTTGAGAGTGATGAAAGCTTGCCTTGCTTCCCAGATTCTCGCTTTGATGATATCCTCATCAGTTCCGTTCACCAATAGTTGAAACGATGCTTCCCAGGTCGGTAAGTGAAGGAGGTCGCTTCCTTCAGATTTGTCCTATTTATGCTGATTGTTGTCTGTTGTAGTTGTTGCTGTTGACGCTAGCCAGGAATCTTCATCATCACCTCTGTTTTCTCTATGTCCACCTGAAGTTCTATCTTCTCTGGATGCTTCTTCTGCCAACTTGTTGCTTTACACTTGCATATCTTCCAGTTTGTGTGAGATCAGATATATATCATCGGCGAAGTCCAGATCCTCTAAGTTTTGTGTGTGGGTCCTTTTTATGACTGTCTTCTAACCAGAGATCTACACACGCATAAGTTTCAAAAACTTATCAGATAGCAGGTTTAGCTCATTTCACTTTCTTCAGCGAACAGCGACTCACAGCTCATTTAATGAGTCCTTGAATTCTCCTCATAACTCAATTGTTAGTGAAAGGGCCGTCGAATTTAGGGTTAGACTGTATTCAGTTGTCCACTAGTTACTGACAGAAGAAGAACGAATGATTCAATTTAAACACAGAGCTTTGCACAGGTATGCAACAGTTGAAGTCGCAGAATTCCATGTAGCCCACAAAGGCAGAAAAGAAAGAGGGACAGAAAAGTAACTCAAGGGAAATATGACAGGGAGAGGAAAGCAAGGTGAAAAGACATGATGATTTAATAGATCAAAAAGAGTCAGTACATCTGCGCTGTCACTGACAACGAGTTTGATCCATATCAACAATTGTCTCCAGCCATCATTGGTTCTTAGAATCCTGAGGACCCCAACCAGGCAGTCCACATCCTTATACATAGCCGGCTCAAACCAACTGTTGAAGATTTCATGGAGTGATGCCGAGTTTCCGTTTGACCACCATTAGTTCTTTTTCAACCTGATCCTATTTCAGCTAACACTGCCCATGAAGGAAGGCCATTGCTCGGCATACGTAACACATTTTCCTAGGAGGACCCTTTTATCTCTCGGCTTCTTACAAAAAAGATTGTAAATTTCAACGGTTATTGTTGATTTCTCAAGGTTGTCTTGCCTATCTCATCATCTAATATCAGAGTTATGCATACAAACCGAATGTTATTAGTTAAGACATTCTTCATCACTATATTTTACTGATTGACAAAAATGACAAATAGTCGGAAACCTCCCATTTTAGACAGTAGTACTTCCTAACAAGATTGAAGTGATCTAAACATAGGCCAGTCGTATCACTGGTTTAAAGTTGAGCTCATCAGCGATATACCCACCCGCATTTTGTCTATCTACTTGACTGAACTGGTTAGCAAACACTTCTATTTGATGCAAATGTTTTCTACTACTCATATTAATAGTCAGTAGTATATATTTATATCACGTCAATTAATTTGATTGCTTCTTTGACTGACGTTTATCGTATCAAGTAGAGCACATATCGCACACTTATGGTCGCAGTAAAGACTTTCAGGTTACCACTCAGTCACTGATGGCCCATGAATACTAACTTCTGGTAATTCAAAATATATAACGTCACCGCTAGCCATGGAGCATGCAGTTGAAGAGTCTCAAAGTAGAATGAAACCACTAAATGGACATTATTACTATCATAAAATAAAATAATTATTAGTAGTAAGTTTTAATATCCATTAGGATCAATACTATTTGTATGGGGACAAAAATAAATCAATCTGTTTTAATATCCTATGAAACGTGACTTATCATATACAACCAAGAAAATACTGTACATGAGCTTCGGATTCAAAGGGGACTTAGCTTCCGATATATATCATGAAACAAAGGATATCACAGTCCCTGAAAAGAACATTCCCTGCTACATCTCTGAAAATAGCCTTTACTAGTCGACTATTACTGTTCAATAACCTGAAGGACAAGATCCCGCTGTTGACCAACTCCATGGGTGTTTATCAATTCACCTGCTCGTGTGGAGCTAGGTATATCGGTCGTTCGACTCGAGTTTTGTCCAAGAGCGTGCAAAAACACTATCCTGCATGGTTGTTACGAAGAGGTGGAAGTGGAGCAATAAGAAGCGCGACCACTGAACATCTGGTCGATAATGATCATACTATCTTTATAGTCTCCGCCTTTAAATTCATCCACAAGGCAAAAAGTAATTTGCCCAAATCACTACTCATTTGTATTGCTGAAGCTTTGGTCATTGAAACAGGAAAGCCAGATCTCTGTGTACAGAAAAAGTTCGTTCAACCCCTCCAACTTTCATGGCCCTAATACCTCTTTGCTAAAGTATGGTAATCCCTAATGACATTTTGGTCCCAAATATTTTTCGTTTTGTTTATTCAATTTGTATACTGTTCCCTTATTGCGTCAATTATTACTATTACTGTTCTGACTTCGAATTGTCTCCAGGATCATTTTATTTGTTCCACTTGTCATTCTAAATCAATTCTGTTTTGCAACATTGAATGCTATGTTATCAAATTTCACACAATGTTATGCCTACTAATCCTACATTGCGCAACCATTCCAAGTTCTATCCATCCTATAAATTATTCTATATATGACATTAATTGTTTTGCCATTTGACATTTAACTATGATTATAATCATAAACATTTTGATTTTAATTGCATTTCACACTACTACTACTATTAGTATTTTATGCATTCACACGTTTGGTTCAATTCCCTCAACAGATATAATTTCTTAATATGTATGATTGTACAGCTTGATAATAAATTCGTTGTTAGAGAGAGTGTCTTCGCTGAATCACTCGTTTTGATTTTCTATATGTTACAATGGGAATTTTCCATGAATATCTTATTTTGTTTTAATGAATCAAAAATTACTGCGTGGGAAATTTGAATGACTAAAGTATCCATCATAGATATCAAAAAACAAAAGAATACAATTAGTGACTTCTTTGATATATATATATTCATACAATGAAAAACTAGCAAACTAACTTGAAAATGTCTTATTGTTTGGTATAATTTGTTCCATGATTTGATGAAACCCACTGGCATCATTTACACTTAGTCTTGTAGCTTTAGGAACATCAACAATACCATTATCATTTATGGTGATTTCCAAATCTTCCTGCTGAAATATTGAAGATACATTGAAAATAAAACAGCACAAGGATTTTCAATATATCATTTCATAGTTTATTTACATTACACACACTACACATCAAAGAACACAAAAAGTTTCCTGATAAACCTTCAAAATTCGCATTTAACTACTCTTCAGCTGTTTTATCCAACTTGCAGTTAGAAGCTCTATCCATGGGTCCAAAATCTTGCGACGTCAACCCTAAATCCCAACAGGCACCATACTCATGTACAATTTGAAAACTTAATTACCCAAACAAATGATTGAACTCCAAGCTCTGAGCAAGAACTACAGCGGTTCAAATCAACAATAATTGATTGTTGTTATCAATATCTGAATAAAAAACCTAAATTCTACAATCACCTAACAAAGCAGCATAGAGAAGAATTAAATCAACAGAGACACAACAAAAAGCTTCTAATAACCCATCAAGATAAAGGAGCTGGCATAGTCCTTATGGACAGAAAGGACTACTCAGATAAAACGAAATTCTCGCTACTACCCAATGAAAGAAATAAAACAGAACAGATTGAAAAACAGCTCAGTGATGTCCTCAAGAAAATGAAAACCGAACAGTTAATCAGTCATGAAGTTTATGACCAGATTAGACCAACAGGAACAATAATACCAAAAGTATACGGCTTATCAAAGATACATAAAGCCAATCTCCCACTGCATCCAATTTTAGATATGTCAGGTTCCCGTACCATTCAATAGCGAAATGGTTAGCTGACATTTTAGAATCGGTACGAAAACACATGTGCCATTATTCGTTTCGTGACACCTTTCAATTCGTCGACTACACACAAGATATCTATGCAACGAACAAAAATATGCTCTCTCCAGACACAGAAACTGCCTGTCACATTTGTCAATATATAAACGACAAGATGAACATCGGATTATCGACAAATTGTTTAAAAGAACTACTACTGAGATGTACACTTAATGTACAATTCACATTCAACGATGCTATTTACAGACAAGAAGATGGGGTGACAATGGGATCTCCACTGGGTCCAGTGCTAGCAGACTGCTTCATGTCAAACCTCGAGAAAGGCTCACTCAAATCAACTATTGATAATTTCCATTTTTATGCTAGATATGTGGACGATATCTTTATTATCTGTGATGATGGTCAGGATCTTAACCAGTTACTACAGATATTCAACAAATGCCATTCAGCTACAAAGTTCACTCTTGAAATTGAAAACGAATCTAAAATTCCTTTTCATGATGTTGAACTTACAAGGAGAGCTGACGGAACTTTAAGAAGGCCCATTCAAGGTCAAAATAACAATGAAGACCACTAAACCAAATAGCAGAGGTAATAGTACATCTGCTATGGTATCAAAACAAAATTTACCAAGGAAGCTCTAGCAATTAGAAAGTTTAAGCCACCTTTATGCGTTCAAAAACAATTCGTCATCACATTAAACCTTCTTTGGTAAATTTTGTTTTGATACCATAGCAGATGTACTATTACCTCTGCTATTTGGTTTGGTGGACTTCATTGTTATTTTAACCTTCAATATGTCCTTTTAACTTGACGTAAGTCTATTTTCTCACCTCTAAACTCTTTATTAATTTCATATATATTCCTATGACAAGTCCGTGTGTGATCAGATTGTTCGAAATGTGTTGCGCAAATACATTACACGATTCAGACAAATTACGTCTTCTTATTGCTTTATCTAAATTCATAAAGGGAACTAATGGTTATATATATATATATAAAGCAGTCTCCGATTGGTCACTAGTAACTAGTGTGATGTGTCTCGTCCTTTCTCTGGTGCAGACTGAATTCTATTGTCAGTCAAGTTTGCAATGTGGCCACCATTCTAGGCAGTTCGCCATCACGGTGGACATCGACTTGATGATATTAGATAGTTGGAGACAATCTTCAGATACGCCTTACCGACTGGTGAGTGCCGACAAGCACGAAACCTAGGTTGATTGTCTCCAACCATCTAATATAATTATATCAGTCTCAGAACTACTGAAAACCAAACAGTTCATGGTTAGCTGTTGGTTCCTAATTTGAGATTTTTGCAGCAGTACGTACGCATGAATCCAAGACCATCAGGTTACGAGATGAACCGTTTTACTATTCAGCCATTGAGATGGAATCTGGCGACCAATGGATCCTGCAGAGGTAGACTGCATCAGTTGTTTAACGTCAGATATCCGGAGGAGTTTTTCCATGAGCCAGGCTATAGACCATACATTTTATAAGGGCTGATAATACTATCACCCAGTTGTCAGACTGAAGTAAGCGGAGCGGGATGTGGACCCTGACTATATGAGACCGAAATCCACCATCTCTTTTTACATGTCAGCTCTTAGTAAAGATGAAATAATGGGTGCTAGGTTCGAGTCCTAGATGACACACCGTCGCTCACTGAAGATGCAGATACATCAAGATGATGGGTTAAAAAACGAGACGAAACACCTACACAGCATTCCACTGCTAGTCACTTTCAACCAGAATAACATTTAATTTATATTCTTGTTGATAGAAATCATAGAAAGGTGAAAAAAGAAAAAAATTTTCGAACAATGAACAAATCAAGAAAAAGGAACTCTTATTTCTGCTTACAGTACTTTCCCCATTTTTATTGAATACATCTATTAATCGATCATTGTACAGTTGAAGAAGCATCAAAGAAATAGACGATTTATACTTTTCACTAGAGAGAGAGAAATAGAAAAGGGGAGCGACAAAAAAAGAGGGAGAAAAAACAAATAAGTTTGAATGAGTTGTGGAGTATCCTTTTTCTTAATAAAACGAATACTTAAGCAAATTTGACAAAGGAAATTCAAATGCTAGAAATGATTGACACAACCTAAATAAATCAATAAATCAATCAATAAATAAGGGTGACTGAAGGTTTTCCCTTTACGGTTAGGTCTATATATAATAAAGAAGCATCAAAGATAGGAATTCAGGTGAACATAGAGAAAACAGAGGTGAAGATTCCTGGATAAGAACAACAACAACAACAACAGACGACGATCAGCATAAATGGGAGGAACCTGAAAGAAACAACCTCCTCTACCTACCTAACTGGGAAGCATCGTTTCAAATACAGGTGGGTAAAACTGGCGAGGATATCAAAGCAAGAATCGGAAAAGCAAGACAAGCTTTCACTACTCTCAAGTCTGTGTGGAGGTCAACAGCACTACTCAGCATCAAAAATGAGATCCAGATTTTCAACTCCAATGTGAAGTCAGTTAGTGCTACTATACGGATCAGAGACTTGCACTGTGCGTCATAAAGAGCACCTCAAACAAACTACAGACCTTCATCAACAGCTAGCTGTCTTCTCTCAATACTCAAGATCAGATGACCGGCCAGAAAAGATCAGCAACAGAGATCTCTGGCAATGAGCGAAACAACCAGGAACCGATTGTGAAACAAATAGGTAGGAAGAAATGGAGATGGATCGGCTAGTCATACTCTCAGGAAACCATCAAGTGACATCACTAGACAAGCCATCGCTCGAGTGGAACCCAAAAGGGAAGCGGCGAGTTGGTCGTCAGTGCAAGGGTGACTTGGAGGAAGTCATGTGAAGAGGAAATGAAAACGTGTGGGCAGACATGGAGCCAGGTGAAGACTCTAGCAGAGAACCGAACGCAATGGAGACTCGCGGCTGAAGCCCTATGTTCCTGTAGGAATTAAAGGAAACAATAATAATAATATAATGAAAAAAATCAAATATTAAACTTTTTGGAAGGAAGTCAATTTGAAAGGGATGTGAACCAGTGTTGGTATTCACAAATGCAGATGCAGTTCTCCATATCTGTGCATATTCTGTAAAACAGCTGTGTGATTCAAAGTTCCAAATCGGCACAATCTTATTGGACAAAAACGTTGCAGTTTCATTATTGCATAATAATCCCTTGGGTTCCGAGTGGAACATAGGGCTTCAACAACACATCCCCACTTTGTTTTGTTTTCTGATGTCCTCTTCAGCCAGGTCCACGATTGACCATAATCTCTCATCTCAGCCTTCCTGATACGCGATCTCCTCCATGTCACCCTCAAAGTGACGACCCACTCGTCACTTCCCATTCGAATTCCCCTCGAGGGCCCCGACGGTTTTCTCAATGTATGCCCGATCCATCTCCATTTTCTCCAACATATGTGATAAGCGATCGGCTCTCACCCGTTGGTTTGTTCCCAGAGTTGCTTGTTACTAATTCTTTCTGGCTGGCCGTTTAATCTTCAGTATGGAGCGAAGGTCTTCATGGCAAACCTTATAATTTTTTTCAGGCATCCATGTTACCTTTAGCAGATATAAGTTTATGCGCCAGTTGTTCAAAATGAGTTATGCAAATCAGATTTGTTCACCTACTAGGCTGTGAGTCATATAGTTGCTCAGATGAAGCAGGTAGAGTGCATCTTGAACCTGGAAATCATCAACTGTAAGTCTAAGGCCTATGTCAATGAGTCACACCTCCACTACATTTCAAAAACTTATTTTATTTTCAACGATTGGTCAGGTGCATTTATTAATATTATTCCTCTGGGTTATAAGTGGGACATAGGACTTTAGCATCACGTCTGTATTTCGTCCTATTCTTTGAGTCTTGCTGCTCCCTCCCTAGCTGGCTCTATGACTGCGCATGCAGCCTTCAGATTCCTCCTCATACATTCTCTTCCACGTCATCTTCGGACGCTCAACCCATCCTATCATATTTGAGTTTCCCTTGAAGGCTTGCCTGTAGGATAGTATCACTTGATCGTTTCCTCAGCTTATTGCAGACTTGTCTGCATTTCCTTTTGCATATGTGCTGGACGAAAGATTGCTGGCTGGTTTCCTACCAGCCACAGATCCTTGTTGATTATTCTTTCCGGCCGGCTGTCTGATACTCAGTCTCGAGCGAAATGGTTAGTAGCTGTTGATCAAGTCTGAAGTTGTCTTCTAGAAGTACTTTTCATGATGCGTTAAGTCTCCGAGCCTTAATTGGTCCACTAGGTGGTGTTTATCCCGGAAAGATAGTGAATGTTGAGTGTGGGGCTAATGACTCTATCCCGAAAAATCAATCCGACCGATAGGGAAACTTTAAATTGGCCAAGTTAAACTTTCAGCACCAGTAACTACCAATCAGCGAACGACGTCGAATAATCGAATGAGATTCACGAACGTAGTTCAATGTTGTATAGCGCTTGATTCATTTCCAATGCGTGCCCTTACAAGGTTACGTTTGCAATTCGAGGAGGATAGTGTCTTTCGGTATTGTCTGGACTTAGGCTTGCTTCTAAAGGAGAGAAGTTGTTTGTGTGGTGATGTAATGACTCTAAAAAGCTATATCAGGTCAACTGATGGATTTGTCCATCGTTGTGGTATATGCTGGGAGCGAGTTAGCTTTAGAGAGGGTAAGCTGCTAATTTTAATATTTCGTAGGAACTATTTTGCTAGGTCGCATCTCTCCCTAATCCAGATTTGTATATCTGCAACTACTGGATATTGAAACAGCCGCTGAGAGCCGCAGCTGACGAGACGGAGAACAACCTCGTCTCAACAGTTCAATGGTACCAACACTGCAGAGATAGTGCTTCTAGGAAAATGGAGAAGATCACTTCGTTGTTGGGCGGAGAAGACGTAGTAGTGCATGTGGATGAGACTGTGTTGGTGAAGAAGAAATAAAACCGTGATCGTCAGAGAGCGAACAACATTTGGGTCATAGGTTTATACGACACGTCCCTCCGAAAAGGGTTTGTTGAAAGAATAGCAGACAGGAAGGCGACTACTCTGATACCTATTATAACGCGACTTGTCAAACGGGGATCGATTGTATATACTGACCAGTGGAAAGGTTATAATTCATTGTCATCCCTGGGATACATTCATCATCCAGAGTGAACCACTCCAGTGATTTCGTGGATCCAGTTACAGGGACTCACAGATGCACTTGCTGATTCATTTATTTGCATGGTTACAGAAGGCCAGTTAACTGAGCTGGTCACTGAAGACATGAAATCATTGACACCAAAGGTAATACGTATGCATAGACTGAGATATGATATACTTAGAACCTGGTTGTATGATAAAATGTTTGTCAACCAATCACTCGTATGGTCTGAATTCAACCCACAGTTGACACACTACCTAAATTCTCTTGGTTCAACAGCCAATAGGAAGCTGGCAAAAGAGGATAGGTTCAGAGTGATGCTGGGAACCCCACCCTGTTGAAAAAAATACCTCCGTCACTAATACTCCAAAACTTGAAGCCAATTGGAACACAAGGAATGAGAAATGGACATTCAGTTCCGATTATTACGTGTAAGACAAAGCAGTCCACTTATTATGCATGTATGTGTGTAGTACTCAGTCATTTGGACTGAGCTACCTACATTCAGTGATATTTGAGCCTGGAACTCGATAACTGAAAGTCATGTCCTAAAACCAATGATCTACATCTCCACAGATTACATATGAAGTTGAAATTATAGAAATTGTATGGTAAATCTTCTGGGAGGCTTTCGACTAGAGGATTTCCAGCTCAACAACACTAACTCATTATTTGTATACAAACATTTCTTTCGAAAAAGTGACTTTTCGTTACTTACAATGCATATCAGTAGTATAATTGCGTCATATGCAATTTGTGAGTTTACGCATTAAAATTTTATTTGCTTGAATTTAATAAGTTAAATAAACTATGTCATCAAGAGGCCATTAGGCGAAGAATGCATACATCGATACCGTCTTCTATTCTGATAGTCTCTGGCTACTTTTCAGTCTATTCTAAATGCTAATTATCGAGGATATTTCAGGTAGTCGTTCTTAGTCAAGCGAACAACCACAGGGGAATTAGAAACTCAAGTCTATAGAAAATCAACTCACACAAACCAAATCCTTAATTACAACAGCAATAATCCAATAGCACACAAGAGGAATTGCATATAAACACTATTCAAGAGAGCCAGGACTCATTGCAGCACTCCCACCTTAAAGAAAATCGAAGAAAGATATCTCATGGACGTCTTCCAAAAAAAATGGATATCCCCGGAATTTCATCAAAAGACATTTACCCCCAAGTCAACCTATCAAACCAAAAGCCCCCAAGGAAAGCACAAGGAAAATCGCCCTACCATATACATAGGATATCTCAGAAATCACTACAAGACTCGTCAAACCTTTAGGAATTGATGTCGTACACAAACCAACAAAGTCACTTCACTCAATTCTATGTCAACCAAAAGACTCAACAACGAAAGAAGATAAAACCGACATCATCTACAAAATAAATTGCAGTGACTGTGAAAAACACTACATTGGCCAAAGTCGACGTCCCCTTCGTCTACATATCTATGAACATAAGCTAGCCGTCAAAAGACACGACATCCACTCCCTCATATCACTACATACGGACAACCACAGACATCAATTCGATTGGGACAATGTTCAAATATTAGACAGGGGAAACATCAAGAATGCTAGCCAGAGAATTTTTAGAAACCTGGTATTCCAGTGAATCGTCAATCAATAGACAAATCGAGATACACAAAATTTATCAACCGATAAGAAAGAAACCTCACACACAAAGCGTCAAAGTTCAAGTCAAAGAAACAATGAGTTACAATACAAATAACCTAGAAGGTGTGAAAACACACAAAAACAACCAATCACGTCCAAGGCCGCCAGGAGAGATGAGTAACAAACTCGTGGAGAAATCTGAAAGCTCACTTCAAATTGAAGTATGCGCTGAAGATGTCGCCTAGTAGGGCGATGAAAGCTTCGCAAATTAACCATCCAGCTTGCTCAGAGAACACAACCACCATCTGAGCTACAAATCTTCTCTATCATATCCAGGTAGTCGTTCTGCTGATATGTGCAGATGAACTGCATGACTCCAGATACTGAATCGGCATTAATTTCACTTCACTCAGTGAATGTTTTAGCCAGGTAATACTTGGAAGATTGTCATCTATAACTGTTCAGCAATATGCATCCACTGAGGTTCGAATCCAGGACATACTGTGGTGGTGTGATACAGACAATGTGTGCTAACGGAATGTTATTCTAACATGTTCACACAGTTCGATTCAGCATTAGCGAGACAATAGGATATATCTGTTTGAACATTCGATTTGGTGTTAGAGTCGGAATGTTATTCCTAAAGTTCAATACTGCAGTTACGACACTCACCGACCATTCACATGATACGGGGTTCGATCCCCGGCCGACGTACACCTGATATCAATGGTCGGCCTGCTAAATATGGGCTGCCTATATCAAATTCCATACTTGTAACAAAATACTGCGTGGAATCAAACTCTAATATAATATTTTAAAAATATAAAATAATATGTATATTTGAACATTCTATTTCATGTCGTTTGATGTAAATCGAAAACACACGCTCAGTGATTGGTTAAAGAGAATAAACTGTAGATATATAAACAGCAGTTTGATTACTGAAATATATACTTTGGCTTCCATGTCTTGCCTTCTGTTGTTTCACTGGGACATTGGCTAGCGGTTACGCTGTATCTATATCGCTAATTGGCAGAAATCACCAAAAATACCCATTGAGTCATGAAGAAAATAAAAGAGAAATACAGCTGACGAAATTTTCTCTGTCAACGAAATCATCTTAAGAGGCTGCCGTACAGTCGTATTTATATTAACCAAAAACACGTATAGTAGTCTATTATTGAGTAGTAGGAAGGGGTCACAATTGATATAGTTACTCGGAAATGGCTTTAGAAGTGAAAAATAGAAGTTGTAAATTACATGGTACTCAATGGCACAGCTGAGCTATGAATCAATTCCTACAGCCGACAAATGATAAATGGATGTGTGAAGGATAAACTGTCGCTCTGGGCCACCTCAGTGTGTGTTTATAAATTCACGTGCTCGTGTGGAGCTAGTTATATTGGCCGCCCGCACAAAGCGCACACTTTCAAAACGCATCTCTGAACATTATCCGGCATGGTTAGCAAAAGGAAAATGCAAGACAATTACTAGCTCAATTCTCGAGCATTTGGTGAACTCAAGCCACACAGCTCCACCAGAGTCATCTTTCAAGATCATCTACAAGGCGAGGTTAAATGGTAAAAAGGGCGTCAGGTTTCGGCTTTTATGTATGGCGGAAGCGCTGGCAATTCGTCATTACAACCCCAAACTCTGTATACAGAAAAAGTTTGTCCAGTCTCTTATTCTACCTTGGTCTTAACCTCTTCACTAGTCGTTCCGTGAACAAATTTTAATTTTTTTTAATTTTAAATTTTACTTTAACAATTAATTTACTATTATCACTCTCATATGTTCCCTGTTGTACATTTTCACAACCTCTTCACACTTGTTAGATTGAAACTCAAATACCACCTTTATTCTTACCTTTTTAGCAATTTTGACCTTATCAAATGTCTAACTTTGTGCCATTGAGTACCACGTAATTTACAACTTTCGTTTTTACTTCTAGAGCCATTTCCGAATAACTATATCAATTGTGACCCCTTCCTATTATTCAATAATAGACTACTATACTTGTTTTTGGTAAATATAAATACGACTGTACAGTACAGCCTGTGAAGATGATTTCGTCGATAAAGAAAATTTTCTTCGCTGAATTTATCTTTTAATTGGCAGAAGTTGTCTGTCTCTCTGTTTTCGACATAGAACTTTGCATATATGTGCGGCAGTTCAAGCCGCCACACTCCCTCCATGTAGCACACAAAGCAAGAGAAGAAAGTAGAAGAAATGCATAATATAGACAGTAAACAGAGGTGTGAGACAAAAAGAACAGTAATATCGAAGAACAATATAATTTTATTGTGTATTATAAGTGATGCATCGGCGCTGTCATTGAGAACGATTTTGAGCCATGTCACCGATTGTCTCCAACCATTGGTTTTCACCGTCCCGAGGACCCCAACCAGGAAGTCTACACCTTCCTACGTGACTGGCTGGTTTAAACTGACTGATGTGGATTTCATCGTTTGACCGCCGCTAGCTCCTTTCCAGCCTGACACTATGTCAGCTAACATTGCCCGTCAGTCGAGGAAGGCGATGGATGGCTAGGCATACGTAACACATGTCCTAACCATCTCAGTCGATGTAATTTCACAGCCTCGTCGATTGATTTCCCCTCCCACCTACCTAGCACTCGACGCCTTACCTCAATATTGCTCACCTTATTATACCACTTCGCGCGGGAGATAGAACGCAGACACCTATGATCAAAGACAGCTAGTCTTTTCATGTCTTCCACTCTCAATGGCCACGTCTCGCTCACAGCCATAAATGAGGACGGAGCGGACTGCTGAGCAGTACACACGCCCTTTGGCCGATAGTTGGATATCACTTCTACGTCAGAGACGGCGTAAACTGGCCTTTGCGAAACTAGCCCTCTGTATCCGTGCTGAAATTTCGTCAGAGATCAACCCGTTGGGACTGATGGTACTTCCCAAGTAAGTGAAGTGGTCAACGTGCTCTACCACTTCACTTCCTATTTCTAATCTAGGGGTCGGTGAAGTCCAATCCTGTAGCATCATCTTAAATTTTACAGGGGCGAATTGCATGCCAAACATACGAAGATTGTTGCTCAAGGTGTTCAGTAGACTCTGCATTTTGTCAGCGTCCTCGCCTAGAAGGACTATATCGTCTTCATATTCTAAGTCAACGAGATTATTCCTTGGTGGCATCAAGTCAATCCCTGAGTCGCTGAAGTGAGTTAGGGTTAAGTCCATTAGTACGTCTATGATGAAGTTGAATAGAAATGGGGATAATGGGCATCCTTGACGGACGCCACTAGTCGTTACCACTTCAAATGACAACTCGCCGTAAGCCCTCACCTGGCTGCATGAGTACGAGTAGAGTGCCTTAATCAGTGCAATGTATTCTCTCGGCATTCCTTTTACAGCCAAGCATCGCCAGAGTACCTCTCGGTCGACAGAATCGAATGCCGCCTTTAGGTCAAGAAATATAATGATTGTCGGACGCCGGTAGGAATGCCTATGTTCTAGAATCTGTCGAAGGGTGAAGATACGATCAATACACCCTCTACTTACCCTAAAGCCTGCCTGGTTTTCTCTTGTTTGTGCTTCCTGAGCACCACTAAGTCTACGCAATATTATTGAGCCTAGGACTTTAGATACTATATTAGTCAAGCTAATCCCTCTGTGATTATCACAGGAAGACTTGTCTCCCTTCTTGTATATCGGGATGATCAATGACTCACATCAACCTGATAGGACTTCCTCTGATTCTCAGACGCTGCCTAGAACCTCCGTTAACGCAGACAGTAAACTGTCTCCACCGTACTTAAATACCTCTGGAGTCATTCCATCAGGTCCCGCTGCTTTGCCTTGTTTCAGATTAGTGACAGCTTTAGTAACCTCAGTTAAGGTAGGAGGACCTGTGTAGGAAAAAAAACAGGTGTACAGTACTTCCATCTGGTCCTCTAACTGATGTCAGAACCGTAACCAATTACTTAGTAATATATCTATATATATAACCATCTTCATGAATATTCAAATGACTCACGTAAATGTTGGTTTATTCACCAATTCAAACAAATAATCACCAATATGGGGTAATAATCCCGCGTTATCTTTACCTCCAAACAGTGTAGTCGTCTTACCACTGCCTGTCTCACCATAACCAATAATGCATACATTATACCCATCCACTGAAGACTGGACCAATGGTTTGATTTCTTCAAAAATCTCATCTTCTGTTGATGTTTGATCAAATACACGATTAAAGGTATAATTTCTATCAGTGTGATTGTATTTCGCCAATACCGTGTACTGATCTAAAGCGAATACTTTCGATTCATTCTTCACATGTTGAATTGTAGTCACACTGGCAGTATCCTTTTCAGCGGTGGGCAAATCCACTGGACGTATACGACAATAGATTCTGATATTTCCTTTTAAATTCTCTACAAGATTATGATATTTTTTCCGTAATAACATTTCATTATGATAATTTATTTTAAGTAATTCATTTTCGGCTGTTAATTTTTCTTTGTCAATGTACAATGTTTGATCAGCGTTCAATGTTTTTTTGTTTGACTTTAACATTTCTAATTCATGATTCATTTGTTTTAACAAGTATTTGTAGGCTTTTATTTCTTTTACTTTAGCTTGAATTTCTTGTTGATACTGTGGATTCAAAAAAAGAAACAGGTGTGTTGAAAAGAGGTATGTAGACAAAATAGCTGGCTAAAACAATGAATAAATCAGAAAATAAAGTCTGTTACCTTGTAGCAGGGAAATGATACAGTGGTCAATGTCTGACACCTGGTGATTATTATTATTGTTACTGTTATTTTTTTTATTCCTTTATGTTCCCAGTGGAACATAGGAGGCTCCAAGCTACAGGCCTCAAGTTCCGGTATAACTGATGTTTAGTTTTAAGAGATGGGATTGCCGCAGGCCTTATGCCCGCCAACCTTCCCTTTTTGCCAGTCTTATTATTGGCTTAACGAGGTAAAGGAGGAGGGCGTCCGTTGGCCGCCGGGGCTCGAACTCCGGACCACATGCGGTGTGGTTGGCAAGCATTCTACCGCTGTGCCACTGACGCATTTTCTTTGTAATTCTTCCTTATTCCACTCAGCTGTCTGCCAAAAAGCTTTCAACTTATCTTGACACGGTCTTCTTCATGTCACCCTGAAAACCTATGCTAAACTCGCAGATTCCACTTTTGGTTCCACTAGGAGGTTCGGAATGTGAAAAAGCATTCCCTGCTGCTCAGTTACGCTGTATCTTTAAAACCACCCCTCTTCTGCTTTCGGGAATAAAAGGCAAACTGCCTAATTTCGCCTCTTCCATGTGTATTTACCAATTTAACTGCTCCTGTGGAGCCAGTTACATAGACCGTACAATTAAGCGTGTTTCTCGTCGAATTTCCGAACATCACCCTGTCTGGTTAAGCAAAGGTCAAACAAAATCTATTCGCAGCGCTATTCTGGCGCATCTTGTGGAGACAGAACATAAGACTGACGTTAATCATGCTTTCAGGGTCATTTACCGCATACCTAGGAATCTCAATTTCGCTTTAAGAGTTCGACTTCTAAATATTGCTGAGGCTGTGGGGATTCATTTTAATAAGCCTAATTTATGTACCCAAAAGAAGTTAGTCCAGTCATTATCATTACCTTGGCCATCCAGGTTTGAATAATCCAGAATTTTTGTGAAAATTCCCTAATTTTAGTTGATATTCTATTCGCTATTATATCATTATTATAATTATAATTTAAGCATCTTTAATGAACTGTAATTCCATTGTGATCTTACTTTACAAATCGATATTATTTAAAAAAACGCTAATATTGTTATTGACAACTAATTTAAAATATTCTGTGTATATAAACATACATATAATTGTAGAGCCTGGAAGAGGAATTTATCGAAAAGAATATTCTTTGCTCGATTATTTTGTGTTTTATAGATGTCTGAATGAATATTTTTGCAATATCATTTATATGTCTAGTCAGTTTATACATCCAATTCATCCTCATTTATTGCTGTATATTTGAACATAAACAGAACAAGTATTGGTACAGGATATATATAACATGGATCCATCTTATTTTATTGGTTCTCGTCAGCTACTTACAGTCTATAACGTTTAATAAAAGAAGTTATAATATAATTTCAGCATACATTGTGTTTGTCTTCATAAAATCAGTCTTCCAATATGGATTGTTGTACTAAGAAATTCATAGTGAAGCAGACCATTAGGATGATAAAATTATCGCAAACTAATAATATACATAAACCTTGAAATAATAGAGAAGATTTGTAGCTCAGGTGGATAATTTGCAGTTAATAGTGTTCTCTGAGCTGGTTGGTTTAGTTGCGGAGCTTTCGTCGTCCAACTTCTGGACAACATCTCCCTTCAGTGCAATATTTAGCATAAAGTGAAATGATTTAAATTTCTTCATGAGTGATATAATTGCGTCTCCTGGTAATCATCTTTACATATGTACTAACCATTTTCTACTGACTTGGATTTTAAACTTTCTGGTCACCTGATTTACTTTTTATTAGTCGGTATATTTCGTCTATATTAACGTGTTTGTTAATTGCATTTTCGTTTGAGTACCATGCTTCTAGGAATTCCCTGACTGCACTTTTGGTGTTTCCTTTGTCTAAGATTTCGACATTATCCCAATCAAATTGATGACCATAATTGTCTATATGCATTGATACCAAAAAATACATATCGTGTCTTTTCACGGCTGATTTGTGTTCTTGGATTCTAATTCGAAGGGGACGCCCACTTTGGCCAACGATGTAATGTCTGTTACAGTTCATACATGCAATTTATTTTGTAAATGGTATTAATTTTATCCCCTTTTTCTGTTGGATCTTTTGGTTTGCATAACATCGAATTAAGCGATTTTACTGGCTTGTGTGCTATATTTATTTCAAACGGTTTCAGTATTCAATAGAAAATGGTCAATACATATGGAAAGATGGTTACCGGGAGACGCAATTATATCACTCATGAAGAAATTTAAATCATTTCACTTTATGCTAAATATTGCACTGAAGGGAGATGTTGTCCAGAAGTTGGACGACGAAAGCTCCGCAACTAAACCAACCAGCTCAGAGAACACTAATAATTGCAATACATACACCTTATAAGAGCCAATTTGCGTGTGTATCTAGAGATAATAAAACAGAGTGATAATAAAACTTATAGTTTCAGATATCAGACTCTCGTCATGAAGTTACATCAGTTAGAGAGATTATCGAAAACCAGGAAACACTGGACAACTGTTTCGTAGTATTTTGGGACTCTTCATTGAATTCCAGACTTAGTGACTGAACAGTCAACAAGTTTGATCTCGCTACCTGTAGGTCCTGGGTTCAACTCCTGGCGGAGTCGCGGGTACAATCCCAAAATAGGACTGAAAAGCAGTCTGGTGCTGCCTGGTTTTCGATGATCTTTCTAAATGATGTTGGTTTGTGATGGAAATCTAGTAGTTTAAATCAATTCGAAATCAACACATGTTCTATTGCGATAGCTTCAGTAAACGGAAGAAAACTTGGGATGTTTCGTCTGCTAATTATTTTTGTCAGACTGTTGGAAGCAATCGGCCACAGGAAGCCTCGCTTGACTAAGGTTTCGCGCTAGTTGGCACTCACCAGTCCACGAGGCGTATCTACAACCTTAAAGGAACTCATGTTCTTTCTGAGATTCAAATCCTCTCGGGTGGAACCCAAACAGGAAGTGGCGAGTTAGTCGTCCGAGGGTCACATGGAGGAGGTCATGTGAAGAGGAGATGGAAGCACTTGGGCACACGTGGATCCATGTGAAAACGTTGACAGAGAACCGAACTCAGTGGATGGAGACGCGCAGCTGAAGCCCTATGTTCCTCTAGGAACTAAAGGAAACAATAATAATACAATAATCACCCAGTGCTACAGACTGAGATGTTACCACTGAACTCTTTGGGCTCGCCACTAACCTCGTTCCTGTAGGACTGTAGTAAATACTTTGATTGGACACTAGTAACTAGTGTGATGTGTCTGGTTAGTCCTTTGTTTGGTGCAGACTGAATTCTATTGTCAGTCAAGTTTGCAATGTCGCCATCATGGCAGGTGATGGCTTGCCATCAAGGTACACTCAGGATTGTTGTTATTAGATGGTTGAAGGCAATCAGTAGGAAGCCCCAGTTGACCAAGGTTTCGTGCTTGCCGGATGGCACTCAACAGTCAGTAAGGTAGACATATCTGCTATCTTGGGGGAACTCATACCTCTCTTGCCAATTGCCTCCAACCATCTAATTACAACATACCTAAGTGTAATGTGATGGGCGGTCGTCTAGCACAAAGGCCACATTGCAAACTTGACTGATAGAATTCAGTCTGCACCAGACAAATGACTAGACACATTACACTGGTTGGTGTCCAGTCAGAAGTAAGTAATTATTTTAATTAGCATATATAAATGAATATTCATGATTTGGGATAACCTTATCATCCTGATGGACTCTTTCACCATGTATTATTATTATTATTGGGTTCCTTTGGGTTCCTAGTGGAACATAGGACTTCAACTACACGTCTCCACTTGCTTCTGTCTTCTGCTGTACATTTCACTTGCATCCATCTCGATGTGTCTATTGATCGACGATTCATTGGAATATCAAGCTCCCAAAAATTCTCTAGCTAGCATTCTTTGTGTTTCCTCTGTCTAATATTTGAAGGACGGTTGTCCCAGTCGAATTGATGTCCGCGGTTGTCTAAATGCAGTGATTTGAGGGAATGGATGTTATGTCTTTTGATGGTTAGTTTATGATCATGGATACGAAAGGGCCAGTGTAGTGTTTTCCGCAGTCGTTGCAATTTATTTTGTAGATGATGCTGGTTTGATCTTCTTTCGTTGTTGAGTCTTTTGGTTGACACAGGGCTGGCTGGCTGAGTGAATTGAGTTTGTTGGTTTGTTTGCGACGTCAATTCCTAAAGGTTTGAAGAGTCTTGCAGGGATTTCTGAAATATCCTTTATATATGATAAGGCGATCTTCTTTGTACTTTCCTTGAGGGTCTGTGTGAAAACACACAAAGACAACCAAAGAGTCACGTTCTAGGTGGTCACCAGGAGAGATGATTAATAAACTCGTGGAGAACTCTAAAAGCTCACTCCGACAAATCGAAGTATGCGCTTAAAATGTTGCCTAGTTGGGCAATGTAAGCTTCGCAAATAAACCATCTAGCCAGCTAGCTCAGAGAACACAACTACATCAAAATTTGGAAACTGGAGATTTAATTCAGCTCCAGTCACTCAACGTTCACCGCCTTAGCGACACAAAATGAGCTCAAACTAACCTAAACTTGATTTCAAAAGAGCAATTTCTTGCTCACTATTTATCAAGAAGCAAGCGACTGAAATGATCAAAACTTTTATATCTTTCAACTGCAAAGTTTTTGAGAATATGCTCAGGTATGCGATCAGATATTGGAGATCTCAAAAGAAAGTCATGCAACTAGACCAAAACTAAATCGAAAACAGACACTGATGATTTAAAACTTTAACGTCTCACTTGTTCACTTACCTTATAATGTATTTCTTCCAATGTTGAATGGTTTTTATTTTCGCTAACATCATGTATAGCATCGTCCTCATGAACATCTTTACTGTTTTTATTGATAAAAATACTCTCCATAAGGGATTTGCCTTCCTCATCTTCTCCAATGTCTTCTTCTTCTTTTTCTTTAGTTTCATCTTCGTCTACTTGGAACAGACGATATGGCTAAAACAAAATTTCAAGTATTGATTTGTAGGGATTTGATTTGATTGGTTACAGGACTTCATCATGAGCTGAGATCGGTTAGAGAGTCATTGGAAAACCCACAAAGGAGTACTGGACAGCTAGCTGTTTCGTCAGCCTAGTTTGAGACTCTTCAGCTGCACGCACCCGCCCTGCTGGGGTTAGAATCCAGGACCTTCTAGTTACAAGGCGAGCTCGTACAACACTAAGCCAATGGCTAGTTCATGAATTCCAACTTCTCGCAATTCACTACAAAGTGTGACCATTAGCCAATGTCTTCGGCGAGTATTTGTTGCCCCACCCTACCTGTGGCACCCTACTGGTCACGACTTCCCAAAAAGTTTGTTTGTGTAGGACTTGAAAAAGTTATTCAGTGAAAGCCTAAATCATACTTTAATTCTTATAAAATGTGCAGCTTATTTCTATGCATGCCTCTTACACCACAGTACACAACTAGGAAATTCTAATCAGAATTTATGTTATTGTTTTTATTCTATCACTCCTCCTTTGCGTTCTTAGTGGAACATAGGCCTTCAAGCCTTTAGCTTTGAAGTTGGAGTAGCAGTTGTGTTAATAGTTTTTTCTTACAGTGTAGGGTTGGTAGTCTCACATCCAACCTTTTTCTCTTTACCTGCCTTATTCCTGACTAAGCAAGGTTTAGGAGTCGGTTGGTCGGAGGGCGAACTCTGCACGTCGTGAGTGTTTGGTGGGAATTTTACCTCTGAGCCACTAATGCAAGCTGAACCACATTTGAAATTCTTTTACTGTTGGCCCAGATTGCTACCTGATAGCCTAGAAACCCTATGGACCAATAGCTAAAGGGTAATGATAACACGACGTGAAATCATTGTCAGTAGCGCAGATGTACTCAGTCTTTGTTAATCGCCTTCACATCCAATAAATTCTCATTATTATTATTCTCAAATGAATTATTCTTTCTCCCGTGGATTTCCGCTGATTAGACTTTTTTCTTTTCTGGATTCAGAAGGAACAAATCATGTATCGATCAAATCGCCACACTACGGATCCTCATTGAATAGAGCAAGGAATGGCAATCAGTCAGCTCTCTATCTCGACTTCACTGCCTTTGAAAAGGCCTTCGAGAGGTGATTTGGAAACTACCTCACCACTACAGGGTGCCTCCAACAATTATGGGTAAATTTTATTTTGATAGAGTCTCACAGTGTTATACAGTAATATTTACTGATGACGTTTCGAGCACAATTTATTGCTCATAATCATATCAAGTTAATCACACGACTTCCTAAATTCATTTATATAGTTCCATTGTTTTTTTCCACTTGATTTTCACTTGATTTGATTGGTAGTATTATTTTCCATATCTCGGGTATGAGTGATGATTCATTCCTATTGCATGTGTTGGGTGTAGATTCGATGAACAAAGATTCAGTAATCAACCTCTCTCTCCACCTACCTAGATTACTTTTTAGAATTTTAACCCTATCCCACCCTATTGTGTGGTTGTGTGTTAATGCATGCATTGCAATTGCCGAGCTTTTTTCTAAATTACTTATCTTCTCTGGGTCAACCATTCTTACCTTAACTAAATTCTTATGTTCTGACAATCTGACTACCCCTGACCTACTAGTATACAAGTATACATCTCATCCAACAGTTGTACTACAATGCTGCATGCCAAGTAATCCACAGTGGGAAACTCACGGAATCCTTCGAAGTGAAGACGGGAGTAAGACGAGGTTGGTTGGCTGGCTGCCTACTATCTCCAATGATTTCCCTGATTGTGGTAGTAGAGTGGATAATGTGACAGACAGACAGCGGTGGGTACGAGGAAACAGGCATAAAATGGACATACACAAAAAAGTTGGAGGATTTGGACTTCGCCGATGATGTATATGTCTGATTTCCTACAAACTGGAAGATATGCAAGTGAAAAGTAACAAGTTGACAGAAGAAGAATCCAGAGACGATGGAACTTCAGGTGAACATAGAGAAAACAGAGGTAGGCAATGAAGATTCCTGGCCAATAGCAAAAGCCAAAACAACAACAGACAACGATCAGCTTAAATGGGAGAAATCTGAAAGAAGCAACCTCCTTTGCCTACCTGGGAAGCATCATTACAACTACAGGCGGAAGGAACTTATGAGGATATCATCAAAAAGCGAGGATCCGGACAGCAAGACAAGCTTTCATTACTCTCAAGTCTATGTGCAGATCAGCACTCGGCATAAAAAATAAGATCCGGATTTTCAACTCCAATGTGAAGTCACTGCTACTAACTATACGGATCAGAGACTTGGCGCATCATAAAGAGCATCTCAAACAAACTACAGACCTTCATCAACAGCTGTCTCCGCTCAGTATTCAAGATCAAGTGGCCAGAAAAGATCAGCAACAGGGATCACTGGGAGAAAACCAGAACCGATTGTGCAACAAATATCCAGGAAGAAATGGAGGTAGGTGGATTGGAGGCCATATTTCGAGAAAACGAACCATCTAGTAAGTGACGTTACACGCCAGGCCATCGCTCGAGTGGCACCCAAACGGGAAGCGGCAAGTTGGCCGTCCAAGGGTGACATGGAGGAATTCATGTAAAAGGGAGATAAAATTATGTGGGTAGACGTTTAGCCAGGTGAAAACGTAGGCAGAGAACCAAACACAATGGATGCAGACGTGCGGCTGAGGCCCTTGTGTTCCTCTAGAAACTAAAGGAAACAACAATAGCGATAAATGAAGTACAGCAAGTTGTACGGATGAGCATTTCCACCTCATGATCTTGTTTTCATTCTCGCCTTATACTGCACGTGGAACTTCAAGGCTTCAAGGTCTAAGTACCTACTTTTCAGAACGTAATGAATGAAAAAAATTATAATAAAATATATACAGCTACCAAGCATTATATACGCAACAGTTACTAAATGGTAACATACATTATCTTTAAAATTGTATATCTTCTTTGAATGCTTTGAAGAAATTTCCGAGGATATATTCCACTTTTGTGAATTATTCATTAGAAGTGAAGTGATAATCATGTGATCTGTTGAAGATTTTGTCAATGCTCCCACAGCTGTTTCAATATGTTGAGGTGATGAGGATTTATTGAATTCTTCGGTTTCGGCTTTGATTGACGGTTCCTGCAATTCCGCTTCCTTGCTATTATTCACCGGGCATTCAGATTCCTTAATGGGATATGGATTATGTGGTTATTTTTTATTTTGAGTTGATTACTAAGATTTTAATGTAAGATGATTCTTTTTTATTGTTTTAAAGAAAATGGTAAACTAAAATACAATTGAATAAAAATGAGTACTACCAAACGACAAGTATTACCACTACTACTATTCTGGTGATGTACTACTTATAAATAGATATAAGTAATGTGTCGAAACACATCTTGGGATAAGCAATGATGAAGACTTTTTTATTCCTTTACGTTCTCAGTGGTGGAACATAGGAGGCTTCAAGCTACAGGCTTAAAGTTTCTGTAGCAGGTTTGTTTAGTTTTACGGGATGGGATTGCTGCGGGCCCCATGTCCAAGCTTCCCGCTTTACCAGTCTTATTACTGGCTTAGTGAGGTGAAGGAGTGCGTTGGTGGCCGGGAATCGAACCTCGGACCACCTGCATGGTTGACGAGCATCCTACCGCTGTGCCGCCAATGCTGACGATGAGGATTAGTGTGATTTTAAGTTTGACCACCGATTGATGCCACTTAGGGAATCATAGACAACCAGAAGATATTGGACATCGGTCTCGTCCTGGTTGGGGACTTTTCAACAGTGTGTAACCATAACCATATAGGGGATTGCAACCTATGCCCTTCAAGTTATGAGTGAGGTGAGTTCGTTGATTTTTCAGCTACTGGGATCTAATCTAATAGCTCATGAATTCTAACTATTGTCAGTTCTCGATTTTTAGTGCTACCGCCAGTCAGTTATTGTCGTCACACTCAAACCAATCAAATGCCTACAAACTAACCCGTGAAGTTATTCAAATAATTTATGTGTGGGTGGAAAGGCCAGTGAAGGAGAAACGTGGGAATAACCCAGTAAGAAGTAGGCAAGAAAGATACGATTGTTATTATTATTATTCTATGAAAATTGTGATATCAATGTAAGATTTTTTGATTTCTTTAATGTGGGTCCATTGTATTTTGTCCTAACAAGTACATCTTCTTCCATAACTGGTCTAATCCACTTCGCCGCAACATTTAAAATTTGTCATCAATATTGAATTGATTAGAAGTGTCTGCAGCCATTTTGTAATGATGTAAAGAGAAGAAATCGAGTAAAACCAATGCTCTCATTAGCGGACCGAAAAGTACTGTGACAATAAAAGTATAAAACTTGGGCACTATGATCAAAGACAGTGAGATGGCCCTTTCATGTCTTCTAATTTCAGTGGCCATGTCTCACTCACAGTCATAAAGGAGGACGGAGCAAACTGCTGAGCAGTACACACGCCCTTTGGTCGGTAGATGGATATCACGTCTACGCCACAAATGGCGTAAGTTGGACTATACGAAACGAGCCTTCTCTATCCATGATGGGATTTCACCAGCCGTCAAACCGCTGACGTTGGCTGATACAACTTCCGCCTGAATAACTGAAGCGGTCAACACGCTTCACCAACCACGTCACTCCCTATCTTTAAACGCGGAGTTGATGTAGTCGAACCGTGTAGTGTCATCTTACATTTCACAGGAGCGAATCGTATGCCAAGCATTTGCAGATTTCTGTTCGAGGTGTTCAGAAGACTGTGCTGGATTTTTTCAGCGTCTTCACTCAGGTGGCAGGACTATATCATCTACATACACTAAGTCAACGAGATTATGAACAATAATTTGTGCTCGAAACATCGTCAGTTAATATTACAGTACAACACTATGATTTATCTAAATAAAATCTTATCCATAATGGAGTTATACTGTGGCAATGTTTGGCTGTGGAAGGAATGCCGATGAAATACACTGCACTGATCAAGGCACTCTACTCGAACTCATGCAACCAGCCATTTGAGAGTTTACGGGGAGTTGTCATCTGACAACTGTGGTGGCAACCACTGGTTTCAGTCAGGGATGCCCACTATCCCCATTTCTATTCGATTTCATCATAGATGTACTAATGGACTAAACCCTAACTGCTGACTTCAGCGACTCAGGGATTAAATTTTTACAAGGCGTCGTAAAAACCATCAACAGCTTGATATTAGACCATCTGGTCCAAACCGGCCACGAAGCCAGCCAGCATTGAAGAATCCTTCACTATCATTTACCGGGTGTCTAATAAATTACTAAAAACATCAAGGTACTGCACGCTTCAAACAGCAGAGGCTATCGCGATTTGTCTGAAACAACGGATACTCTGTGTGCACAAGAAACAAGTCCAGGCACCACTAACACTGCCCTGACAGGCCTTCAGTAGAGACTATGAATTCATGAATTGATTGTATTATTATCTTTCCTATTTTCTCTGACATTCATTATGTATTGTTATGTTGATGCTATTGAACTGTAATCCACTGATATCATTATTATTATTGATTCGATGTTATTTAAACAACGTGTGGGCAGACATGGAGCCAGGTGAAGACTCTAGCAGAGAACCGAACGCTATGGAGACGTGAGCGGCTGAAGCCATTTGTTCCTCTAAGAATTAAAGGTTGCAATAATAATAATAATAATAAACAACATTAGTGGTGTTAATAATACAAATTCATTTATTCACTATTATGTATATAAAACTGTAGAAGCTGATGAAGATCAGGTTATCGCAGGAAGAATATTCTTTTTTCAGTAACCATTCTTTTGAAGCCAATTTTAATGGGCATTTTTAATCCTTTTAGATTCCCAATCGATTAATGCTTGGTCTCACTCAATATTTCAATCCTTAACTTTCAGATAAACATGATAAACGTGATTTGGATTTTACATTTACAGTCGCAGTGGGAAAGCTCTCAGTGGACGTGGATGCAAGCATATCCAGCTGACAAGTCACAAACAAGACGAAACGCGCCGTTTATATACCACTGGTGGCCATCAATAGTTATATATCATGAAAACACAGATAATACCGACGCCCAGTTTATTCATTCGAAGGCAGTTTGTCTGTCTGTCTGTTTTTGACATAGAACTTTGCACATATGTGCGGCAGTTCAAGTCGCCACACTCCCTCCTTGTAGCACACAAAACAAGAGAAGAAAGTAGGAGAAATGCATAATATAGACAGTAAACAGAGGTGTGAGACAAAGGAATAGTAATAACGAAGAACAAAACAGTTTCATTGGAAATCATAAGTCACAAGGAGTGGATGCATCTGCGCTGTCATTGAGAACGATTTTGAGCCATGTCACCATTTGTTTCCAACCATTGGCTTTTACCGTCCCGAGGACCCCAACCAGTCAGGAAGTCTACACCTTCCTACGTGACTTAGACTAACTGTTGTAGATTTCATTGACTGGTGCCATGTTTTGGTTTGACCGTCGCTAGCTCTTTTCCAGCCTGACCCTATGTCAGCTAACATTGCCCGTCGGTCGAGGAAGGCGATGACTAGGCATACATAACACATGGAAGGCAGACAGTATGATATCTTCTGGTAACATGTGATGAACAAATTTTATTTCCGGATTCATCACTACTCACCACTATAGCTGAAGTTACATAGCTAAAGGTAATTACCGGGACAACATGGACATAGAATTTATGCATACTCGAAAAAAAAAGAAATTTGATGCTATCACATTGTTTTTATCATCACTGAGTCGATCTTATCTACAAAATGTTTGTTATTTTTATATTATACACTGAGTTTCAACTTACTACCACAAGGAATTTGCTACAATTTTGGAGACTTGGATAATGAAAGGCTAAATTTGACTGGAAAATCTAAAAAACAAAAAAAAAACAACAACAAAAAACAAACGCATAGTAACAAATAAAATTATTTATCACATAAGCAAAATATTGTTATGAGTAACTTATGACAAACATTCATCTACCTGAAAAATCAATGAATAAAAGTTTTTGTTAAATTCCTTTACATTCCAAATGGGTTGTAGAGCTTCAAGCCTCAGGATTGATGTTTCGGTAACAGTGGCTTTATTTGTGCAGGATGGGGTTGCTAGCCCCATGCCCAACCATCCCTCTTTACCAATCGACTGGGGATCGAACCCTGGACCATATGAGTGATTAGCAAGCATTCTACTGTTGCGCCATCGACGCATGAAGAAAAGTGACTGTTTATGAATATTGAGGACAATTCGAAACAGTTTGAAGACCCTTAGGTGTGGATAGATGACCTAGTGGAATTACTCTCCGATTTCAGAGAAATTATAGTCACCATCATTGTGGTGCTGATTTTTACTAGTTTGAGAATTCTTATAGTACAGTATGCAATACAATACAGTCAAGCGTACAGTGTTAGGCAAAGAAAGTAAGTCAACACAGAATGTTACATACGAAACATCACAATTTTCCTTGATAAGCGATGTCAACTAAAGTAGACTTACGTTATGAAAATTTCAGACAGTTTTGATTGGACACTAGTGACTAGTGCGACGTGTCTAGTCCTTTCTTTCCTTTTGTGCATACTGAATTCTATCAGTCAGGTTTGCAATGTGGCAAACATCCTAGGCAGCTCGCCATCACGGTGCACATTCAATTGATTATATTACACAGTTGGAGGCAATCGGCAGGAATCCTCCCTTAACCTAGGTTTCGTGCTAGTTGCCACTCGTCGGCTATCCATTGTGGAGAAATGCCTACGCGACAACGGTTACCCACAAAAGTTCATTGACAAGTATGGAAGACGTCATGTGGAAAAAGTGAAAAGCAGCATAGTAGAGAAAAAGCCTATCTTTCTGCAGCTTGCATTCAAAGGTGATGATACTGCCAGTAGAATACGATGCAGACTGAACGCTTCCCTGAAAAGAACATATTCAGCTTGTATGTGTTTATCAAACAACTAGTTGTTTGAGACAATCAAAAGTGGACAAATACCCACCTCATGTTACCTCCAACTGTGTCTACCAATTTACATGTACGTGCCAAAGCACATACATTGGAAGAACAGAGAGAAGGGTTATTGTCCGTATTTCTGAACACATACCAAAGAACCTGAGACTGAAAGGTCCACAAGTATTAAACAGTGCAATTGCGCGTCATCTACTAGACACTGGTCATAATGTAGACAACTTGAAGTCATTCAAAATAATCAACAAGCAAAAGAAACCTAACTTGCTACGCTTTGCTGAAGCAGTTGCTATCAAACGACTTAAACCAAATCTATGTACGTAGAAAGAGACAGTGGTGAATCTTGCACTGCCCTGGTGACAACAAAAAATATACAACAGCTTGTTTTTTGTTTCCAAGCCTAAATTGCCTAATTATTCTATAAATATTTATAAACTGTCAAATATTGATCACAGTTCATTTGAATTATTGTATAAATAGTCAGTGTTTGTAACTCTTAATTAGTTAAATCATTCCGGACTAATGTTACTTTTACTTCCTACCAATTACTCCTTGTGATCGTGGAAAAGTATGTTCAAATCTTTAATGTAATGTAATTCATATTTTTCATCGTTCAGGTTGTAACCAGTTGAGAAGAATACTCGAAATAATAAAAGATGAGCTCATATTATCCTGGTACAATTGTTGTTCTTGCTTTGTTCAAGTTTATTAATGAGTAGAATTGCATGAAGTTTTTGACAGAATCCAGTCTGCACCAAAGAACGGACTAGACACATCAAACTAGTTACTGGTTTACAATCAAAGTATCCACTACAGTCCTACAGGAGGTCAATCGCGTGGCCGAATAGCTCAGTGCTAACTTCGTCTCTGAGTGACGCAGGTTCGAATCTCAGGATGGAAATGAGTTCCTTCAAGGTTGCAGATACGACTTGTGGAATGACCAGTGCCAACTAGCACGAAACCTAGGCCAGTTAAGGCTTCCTGTGGCCGATCGCCTCCAACTATCGAATGTCAGACATTGTCAAATGAATAAGAAGAAGCAACCATCCATGAAGTCATAAACTGGAAGATCAACAAGTTGGAAGAAGTGGTAATGACTATTGGGCTGCAAGAGAACATAGGGGAGACAATGGTGACGCAGATATCTAGCCGATAAATGAGAAACACCAATTAGTGTCAACTTGAGAAATATAAAAATAGAATAATCACTTATTTTACTTATGTTTTGGTCAGCGTCAATTCAAATACAGGTGGCACAAATGACGATGTCAAAGTTATCATAAGAAATTCAAGAGAAACAGTCATTAATCTGAAATTAGTTTTGAAATCTATAACCCTGAACATGAAGAACAAAATTTGGATACTCAACACTAATGTCAAGTCAGCCAGTGCTTGTATATGATTCAAAGACTTGGTGAGCGTGTCATCGGAAGCATTTCGAGCATTCTACTGCTGATTTTTATCAGCAGTTGCACACTTCACTCGATACTGAAGCTGAAATGACCAGAAACGACGAGCAGTAAGGAATTATGTCAAAGAACTAGACAAAAGTCTGTTGCCCAAAAAATATACAGAATGAGATGGAGATAAATTGGATAAGCAGTGAGAAGAGCTAGATATGATAAAAAAGATTTGTAACCCAGGTGAATGATTTTGATGTGGTTGTGTTCCCTGAGCTAGATGGATGGTTTAAATGCGAAGCTTTCATTATTGCCCTACTTACTAGGCAACATCTTCAATGCATGCTTCAATTTGAAGGCAGTGAGCTTTTAGATTTCTCCACAAGTTTATCAGTCATCTCTGCTGGTGACCACCTTGAACTTAATTAGTTGCTTTCGTGTGTTTTCACACCCTCTAAACTACTTCTGCCGATACTGGTGTTGATTGTTTCCTTGACCTGAAGTTCGACCCTTTGTGTGTGAGATTTCCTTCTTATCCATCGGTGAATATTGTCTATGTCGGTGTATGTATTGATTGACGATTCACTGGAATGCCAAGCTTCTAAAAATTCTCTAGTATTCTTGGTGTTTCCTCTGTCTAATATTTGAACGTTGTCCCAGTCGAACTGATGTCCGTGGTTGTTTGTGTATAGTAAGGTGATTTAAGGGAGTGGATGTCATGTCTTTTGACGGCTAGCTTATGATCATGGATACGAAGACGAAGGGGACGTCCATTTTGTCCAATGTAGTGTTTTTCACAGTTGTTGCAATTTATTTTGTATATGATTTTGGTTTTATCTTCTTTCGTTGTTGAGTCTTTTAGTTGACACAGGATTGGCTGGCTGAGTGAAGTGATTTTGTTGATTTGTGTGCAGCGCCAGTTCCTAAAGGTTTGACGAGTCTTGCAGGGATTTCTGAGATATCCTTTATATATGGTAGGGCTATTTTTCTTTGTGTTTTCCTTGGAGGACAATGGTCAAACAGAAGAAACGACATACACAACTCAGCTCTCAAGAACTAAAGGCCCTGTAAAAGCTGGAAAATAGGAAGGATATCGTCATTCTACCAGATGGCAAAGGACGAACAATAGTAGTCATGGACAGAGAAGAATACACCAAGAAAGCTGAATAACTACTCAAACATGAAGATGTATATCAACAACTCACAATAAATCCCATATAAACAATTGACAACCGCATCCAAAGAACCTTAAACAAGCTCACCAAAACAGGTCAGATCACAAAACAAGACCAATGACGAATGAAATCCAGTGGACCAGTCCTACCCCGATCCTACGACAGACTCAAAATACACAAGTCAGATATCCCGTCACAACCAATTATATCACTCCAAGGAACTCCAACACACAATTTATCTAAAGAATTATAACGAACATTGAAACATCTAACAGAATCTTGTGATCACTCCATCAATGCTGCTATCCAATTTCTAGAGAAAATCAAAGGCATCCAAATAGATGACCAAGATATAATGATATCCTTCGACGTCACAGCATTATATACCTCAACTGGACAAAAACTAACAAAAGAGACCATGGAGTAATTACTCAGCAACGATGGATACCTCCCACAATAGTCAAAAATGTAACACAAAAGCTGGATGGAATGTATAAACCTATGCCTAACAACGTGCTGCTAATTCAATGGCCAAATATATGAACAAGTTAAATGGAACACCCATGGGATTGATTGCGCAGATACTCAATCAAGTACAACTGACATCTTTCACTATCAACAGAAGATATCTAAAAGAAGCAGTCACTTTTATTAAACTCGTTGGTGTCCTAATGCAAAATGAGAATGTGAAAGACATCTAGTGTTCATTACTCTGAGATCAGCATGAAGATCCAATTGCAGCATATAGCTTCAGGAATCAGATTTAAAGTGAAGTACATGTCAATAGGCATACTTCTAATAGACCAGCGCAGACCTTCACCAAAATGTGCGTCAGCTAGATGACAAAGATCTGATAGCCGATAGAAAGGATCAATACAGCTGGTAAATTACCATAACATGAATTTGGAAGCCATTTGTTTGAACTCTGTAGGTCTCTGGTTTTCATTTTGATCACTAATCATGATCACATTTGTTTGAGATAACTTAGACTTGAAGTTATCATGTCTGGAGGTCGATTACTTAATGGACTAGTCGAAAATTATCTCTCTCTCTCTCATTACTTAATATTCAGATCAGTGATCTGCTTTCAACTGTCACCAAGATCATAGTAATCTGATAGTAAGTTCTTATTTACTAAATATAGCAAATTATTTCGTTTTATATAAACTCAAACAATAAATAGTTTCGATAGAGAAAGAAAAACCAGATTTGCAGTATGAAGTGTGATATCATTCTATTTCACAGGTTCTCGTCAGCTAACTGCAAACCACTAAGTGAAATTACAATGGTTATAAATAGTAATATTTCATACTTCAATGTTTGAAAGGTAATAGAGAAAACATTATTAGATGAACGCATCCAGAATATAAGGAATTAAATTTTTATAGTCTAAGTTACCATCAATTTATATACTATCAAACTAAGAAAAAAGAAGAAAAAGGGGGGGTGAGAGAAGACAGAAAACAGAAAAATCTAATAAACAGTGTCAACATGGCAACTCAACAGGGTCAAAGTTCATCAATTTGAAAACTTGCTTAGTGAGTTGAGCCCACTAGTGTGTATGAGTAATCAGTGTAATGAAAGTGAAATGGTTACCGAGGGAGTGAGAGATTGACTACACTCTCTTTCTGTGTGCATAAGTTTGGTCTGAGACGTTTGACTGCAACTGCTTCAGCATTAAATCGTAGTAGAATCGCTGTCCTTTGTATGTTTAATATTTTGAAGGATTTGAAAATCTCAACAAAATGGCCCATATCCACAAGGTGTCTAGTAATTCCACTTTGTAAACATTTGTTTCCTTTTAAGCATAAGTTCCTCGGAATATGCTCTGAAAACCGGATAGAAGCCCTTCTTTCTGTCCTTCCGATGTACTTGCTGCCGCAAGTGTACGTAAATTTATAAATGCAGTTGGAGGTAACATCAGCAGGGTACTTATCCAGTTTCGACTTGCTTATAGAGCATGCTGTGCTGTACAGTGTCACCAGCTTGGCTGTAGGGAAGCATCTCTTTATTGTTCCTTTCATCCTTTTGTCAATCTTCTGTGACACTACTTCTCCTTTGTAAGTGAGGCAAATGAACACTTTCTTCTTTCCAACTGTTGGATACTTCTCTTTCTCATCTCTTTCACACCTCTTTCTTCTCTCACCCCCTCTTTTTCTTCTTTTTTCATAGTTTGATAGTATATAAATTGATGGTAACTTAGACTATAAAAATTTAATTCCTTACATTCCGGATGCGTTCATCTTATAATGCTTTCTCTATTACCTTTCAAACAATGAAGTATGAAATATTACTATTTATAACCATTGTAATTTCAGGTAGTTTGCAGCTGATGAGAACCTGCGAAACAGTATGATGATATCATTTTATACTGCAAATCTGGTCTTTCTTTCTCTATCGAAATTTATCAAGGGAACCAAATGTATGGAAATAAATAGTGTTGACTACATTTCTTGTCTCCTTACAATCACTTACAATCTTCTCAAGTAATTCATCTGTTGGCTTCTTGAACCATGATCTCACTTCATTTAACTGTTTTTCTATATGCAATTGTCTACGTTTTGCACGTAAGTACAGGCGTATAGATGTCTGCTCCCATGCATTTCTCATTTCAATAATTCGATTACTATGAACTGTTTTCATGTCAGCTATCTGCTTCTACAATAGGGAAAGGAAGAGGGAGAGGGAGAGAGAAAGACGATTGCGTAATAAGTTGGTTATCAGGAGTTTATTAATCATTGACTGTATTTTTTAAATAATAATGCTATTGGAAATCGGATATCAAGAAGGTCTGTTCTCTCGTTCAGTTGATTTTGACAGATTTCCTTAAATATCGTGCCTCTTTAGATAGTTATATGACAATGGATACTATATATATAAAAGTAAAAGGGGATATATCTTCAGGATACAAATAGCTAAAGGCCAAATAGAACCTCATCGGAAGCATTGGTGAGGGTGGCTTTTGAGGACGTTGAATACATGCTCAAGTGAGTGAATGGTCAATGAGTTTGATCTTCCAACCTGAAGTTCCCCAGCTTTGATATCTTCTAGAGTTGTGAGCGTGCAGTGCTGACGAGTTCCGAAATGGGACGAAATAGCTAGCTGTTCAATGCTCCCTAGCTTACAATGATGGCTCTGTAAATGATGTGTTGGTTCATGACGAAATCTAATAGCTCCTCTTCGATTTCACAGCTTGCCTTCAGCTTCGAAAGGCCTAAAAATGACAAGTTATTACAAATGTTTATGTTCAGCATACTTCAACTGTTATTCTAACTTAATAGCATAGTAATGGAACAATGGGTAAGATAGTTATCAACTGAGTAAACGAAGTTTATCTGTACACATAGTGCTACCGAAAGCTGGAAAGGAGAGGGTTCAACTGATGAAAAGAAACGGTCATAGTTCACATTTCGTCAGTTTAAAATAAAAATAAAATAAAAATTAGTTAGGGTTACTGTTTACGTCATCAAAAATGTGACGAATAATAAAAATTGTAACTCCGAGAGGGGTGGCGAAGGTTGGTAAGTATTGACATGGGTTGCGTAATATGAAATAGGACGTCAATAGAGACGTGTCCAAAAAATAAATTATGTAATAGGTAGACCTTCATTAACAGTTGTCTTCGCTCAATACTCAAGACCAGATAGCCGGCCAGAAAAGATCAGCAACAGAGATCTCTGGCAATGAGTGAACCAACCAGGGACCGATTGTGAAACATATAGGCAGGAAGAAATGGAGATGGATTGGAGGCCATACTCTGAGAAAGCAAACCATCAAGTGACATCACTAGACAAGCCATTACTCGAGTGGAACCCGCAAGGGAAGTGACGAGTTGGTCGTCAGTGCAAGAGTGACTTGGAGGAGGAGGTCATGTGAAGAGGAGATTAAAACGTGTGGGCAGACTTGGAGCCAGGTGAAGACTCTAGCAGAGAACCGAATGCAATGGAGACGTGTGGCTGAAGCCCTATGTTCCTCTAGGAACTAAAGGAAACAATAATAATAATAGGTAGAAAGAGTAAATAAAGGGTTGGTTAATAAGAAGATGTTACTAAGCTGCCATACTCAAATTCAAAAAACACGAAAAGAAAACAAAACATTATTAACAAACTAGTAAAACTTGGAATTATACCCAAGGTAGAAGGAAGGAGAGGGTGGAGAAGTTTCTTCTGTGTGTATAAATCAGGGCTTTCCTATCCAGATCACTAAGGCCTGGGCAATCCAAAGTATACGGAAGCTTACCGTTTTCAAGAGGCTTCCTTTGCTGACTTTGAATGAATTCTCCTTACGAACTGAGTGACCAGTGTTGACTATACGTTCGATTATAGCACTCTTTATTCATCCAATGTTACCATTTTGTAGCCAAGTGGGATAATGTTCTTTGACTCTTTTAGATAAAACACTCATAGAACGACCCATATATCTCTCTCGCTTCACATGAGCAAGTAAATTGGTAGGTAGATGCACATAGAAGTGGTCAAACAAGATAGTTTTTCTTTAGAGTTGTAGAAGAACAATGGGCGACATAAGAACACCAGTTGTAATGTAGCTGCAGTGAATGTTGTTTCCAGGGCGTTAGATATTCGTCTTTATAGGATATCGGCCTATAGGTTGCCACTGAACGCCACATTCATGTACAACATCTTCTTCAGCAAAGAGATGGATTGTTCTTTGTTGATATTCGGCTTTATGTGTGCTTATCTATATAAAACGCGGTGGATAGCCATTCTCAAGTAGTGTCTTCCTCAAAAGCTTGATCTACTGGTTCGGGGCTGCATATTCTGCGGATTCTAGTCACAAGAGATTACTATTAGCTTCCGCTTGCAATTGATGGGTAATTAACTGTGAAATTTTGTCAGCTGGCCGTTCCATGTAGGCTTCCGATATATTGATCTCTCTAGGGTGCCATAAGTCTTCTTTGTTAGTCGGACGTCCATAACTGAGATTGTCTCTCCGGTTTCTGTTTCTGATGAAAATTTGATGGTTGGGGGGCGACTATTTGTTATCACAGATGATAAAAGTATCATTTTCGACGTACCTTTTGTACGGACAGAAGTTGTCGATTGTCGGTTTCAATGGACCGCTATCCAAACATATGCAAGTAATGGAACTAAACGTAAACCCATAGCCACACCATCTTTCTGTCTATAAATAGTACCAATGAATGAAAATTGAACATTCATAGTGCATGTAAGTAGAAGTTCTTTTAACTTTCAACGCAACCCTAGTCGATACTTGCCAATCTCTACCTCATCGCATTCCCCCAACGCCTAGTTACATTTTTGATTATTCATCACATTTTAGAAACATTTTGATGACCTAAACAGTAACCCTAAATAATTTTTATTTTCGTTTGACAATCCTAATAAAAGTTGTGCACTGCGGTAGAGTATAATTCCATTATGAGTAAAATTTGTTTTGATAGAGTTTCACAGTGTTATACAGTAAGTAATATTTACTGATGACCATGTTTCGAGTATACATTTTAATGCTGCTCATAATCATATCAAGGTACATACTTACACAAATTTCTAACTTCGTTTATATTATTCCATTATTTCTCATCGCTTGACTTGATGATTGGTAGTACTATTTTCCATTATTCCGGTATGAGTGGTGAGTCATTCCTATTGCACGCATTGAGTGTAGACTCGATGCATCAGGATTCACTAATCAATGTCTCTCGCTCTCCACCTACCTATATTACTTGTTAGAATTTTGTCTCTGTCCCACCCGCCCTATTATGTGGTTGTGTGTTAATGCATGAAGAGCAATCGCTGAGCTATTTTTCTAAATTACTGATCGTCGTGTGGTTAGCCATTCTAACCTTAGCTAAATTCTTATGTTCCGACAATCTGACTACTCCCGACCAACTGGATTGACCTATGTAGTTGACATAACTCACAGTCATTGCAAGGTATTTGTAAATTATATTATTTTGTCTCATTGGGTCAACTGGGTCCTTGAACCTACAGAGCTTGTCCTATCTGAGTGAGTTTGTAGATTTGGGTTCCACCCTAATCTCTGCTTTATTGAGAATCCTATGTAGGGTCTCAGATTTCCCCTCATTATATAGCATTACTGTAGATGCCTTATATTCTCTCCTATTTATGTTATCATTATTAGTTTCCCCATTGTTTTTCCTTTACTTTTCACCTTTTGTGATCTTTCTAATGAATTTTAAAGGATAGTTATTTAACACCAACCAGCTATTCTTCTATCTGTTTGATTTCATCATTTAGGTCTTTTCTTGTACTACTTAGTGCTACTGCTCGGTTTGTCCGGCACTAAACTAAGCCTTGACAGTATATTATTGAGTGGTCATTTGAGAACACCCAATATCTTGTGTCTTTTCCTTGGTAATATTAGTACTGGCTGAATTCAATTAGTCAAGTTCTCAATATGTTCAACGAGATAGGTGACTCACCATAGTGGTGCACTTCGAGTTGAATTTAGACAGGAGAAGGCGATCATCAGAAAGTTCTGTCTGCCTTAGGTTTCGTATATAATGACACTCATCAGTATATCGTACCTCCAGGGTTAGAATCCTCATTACCTAGTTCTACAGTCAGAGAACTTGTCACTAAACTGTTTATATACTATTTCGGAGAAATGCATAATATAGACAGTAAACTGAGGTGTGAGACAAAGGAATAGTAATAACGAAGAACAAAACAGTTTCATTGGAAATCATAAGTCACAAGGAGTGGATGCATCTGCGCTGTCATTGAGAACGATTTTGAACCATGTCACCAATTGTTTCCAACCATTGGTTTTTACCGCCCCCAGGACCCCAACCAGTCAGGAAGTCTACACCTTCCTACGTGGCTGGCTTAAACTAACTGTTGTGGATTTTATGGACTGATGACATGTTTTGATTTGACCGCCGCTAGCTCTTTTCCAGCCTGACCCTATATCAGCGAACATTGCTGGTCAGTCGAGGAAGGCGATGACTACTCATGCATACGTAACACATGTCCTAACCATCTCAGTCGATGTAATTTCATAGTCTCGTCGATTGATTTCCCCTCCCTCCCTACCTAGCACTCGATTGATGCCTAACCTCAATATTGCTCACCTTATTATACCAGTTCACACGGGAGATAGAACGCAGACACATATGATCAAAGACAGCTAATCTTTTCATCTCTTGCACTCTCAATGGCCGGGTCTCACAGCCATAAAGGAGAAAGGAGTGGATAGCTGAGCAGTACACACGCCCTTTGGTCGATAGTCGCATATCACGTCTACGCCAGAGACGGCGCAAACTGGTATATGCGAAACTAGCCCTCTGTATTCGTACTGAGATTTCGTCAGAGATCAACCAGTTGGGGCTGATGGTACTTCCCAAATAAGTGAAGTGGTCAACGTGATCTACCACTTCACTTTCTATTTCTAATCTAGGGGTCGGTGTAGTCCAATCCTGCAACATTATCTTACATTTTACAGGGGCGAATCGCATGCCAAACATACGAAGATTGCAACTCAAGGTGTTCAGAAGACTCTGCATTTTATCAGCGTCCTCGCCTAGAAGGACTATATCGTCCGCATATTCTAAGTCGACGAGATTATTCCCTGGTAGCAAATCAATCCCTGAGTCTCTTAAGTGAGTTAGGGTTAAGTCCATTAGTACGTCTATGATGAAATTGAATAGAAATGGAGATAATTTGCATCCTTGACGGACGCCACTAGTCGTCACCACTTCAGATGACAACTCGCCGTAAGCCATCACCTGGCTGCATGAGTACGAGTAGAGCGCCTTAATCAGTGCAATGTATTTTCTCGTCATTCCCTTTACAGCCAAGCATCGCCAGAGATTCTCTCGGTCGACAGAATCGAATTCCGCCTTTAGGTCAAGAAATATAGCGATTGTTGGACGCTGGTAGGAATGCCTATGTTCTAGAATGTGTCAAAGGGTGAAGATATGACCAATAAACCCTCTTCCTGGCCTAAAACTTGCCTCGTTTTCTCGTGTTTGTGCCTCCCGAGCACCACTTAGTCAACGCATACATAGTATAGTTTATATACTATGTGACCGAGTGGCAGAAAGACATCTGAATATTTGATAGTTCTGATATGCAGGTATCGTCCAGTGAGTGGATATCAGACACTTGCTCCGAAGAATTTACCCTCTTCTACATCGATTTTTCCCAAAGGTCTATTCTTCCTTCTGCTACCGTGTTATCAATCATTAACTGATTGCTTTTATTATCTTGATTTGTTAATTGCATCGTCTTTCTTCCTATTTCTTCAGCCACATATATATGCTTGTTTGTACTCAACAAAATACCAATAACACCAAATAACTACCTATCTCGGTGAGTTGTATTCATACTACTTCTATTACTCCATATTCTCACCATGTTAATCAATAATAATTAGATATTTATGTGTCTGGAATAAACTGAAATAATATAGTAGTGATAAATTTTTAGGGAAAGATAAAATCAAAAAATATTTATTACGTATACAAATATATATATGTATATAAACATACATTTAAGTCATCAATGGTTAATGTCTGTCCCGCGATTATCCCTTCTAACAAGGAGACTTTCTTGAGTGTTTCTGAAGCTATTGACTTAGCCAAAGCCTCTGAGTGTATAGCTTGATTTAACTGATTTCGCATTGTCTCCTGCAACAACAAAAAAACAAAACAAAACAAACAAAGTTATCAGTAAACAGCGAATAAGTCGATTAAAGAATATAGTAATTAGAATATTATAACTATTATTGTTTGTTTACAGGATTTTATCATAAGCTGACACTGGAAAGCTGTTTCTGAAGAGTCCCAAACTAGGACGAAACAGCTGTCTGGAAGTACTTCCTGGCAGGTTTTCCAATGGTTCTCTAACCAATATTAGCTGATGATGAAATCCTGTAACCAATCAACCAAATCCCTACAAACCATCACTTGAATATTATTTGTTTCTTGTTTTCGAAATAGAAAATAGGATTTAAGTGAGACGTCTCCATCTCACTTGCTTCTTTCCCATTTCTTTCAGCTGGTACTATGGCTGCCTTTAAACTCTTATTTCCTCCTCATGTGAATTCATGTCTCACTCGGACTAACTCGTTGCTTCTTATTATGGTTCCCCTTGAGTGCCTGTTTATTATGTAATATTTGTTGAGTGATCTGGATTTTCAACTCCAATGTGAAGTCAGTGATACTTACTATGCGGATCAGACACTTGGCAATGCGTCACGAAGGGCACTTCGAACAAACTACAAACCTTCACCAACAGCCGTCTTTGCTCAAGATCAGATAGCCGGTCAGAAAAGATCAGCAACAGGAAGGGGTTTGTATCAATGAACGAACCAGCCCAGTAGGAAACAGTTGTGCAACAAATATGCAGGAAGAAATTGAAGTGAATTGGCCATACTCTGAGGAAACAAGCCATCAAGTGACATCACTAGACAAGCCATCGCTCGAGTGGAACCCGAACGGGAAGCGGAGATTTGGTCGCCAGTGCAAGGGTGACTTGGAGGAGGCCATGTGAAGAGGAGATGAAAGCATGTTGGCAGACCTGGAGTCAGGTGAAAAAGTTGGCAGAGAACCGAACACAATGGAGATGTGCGTTGCTGAAGCCCTATGTTCTTCTAGGAACTAAAGGGAAATATAATAATATTAATACTAATTTGTTGAGTTATAGGTTGTAGGCTGATTGCTTGATCATCCTTTCTCATCACCTCAGCAGATTTTCAATACTGAGAAAAATGGTCTCGTGTTGATCAAAGCTGTTAGATGTACGCGTCATTAGTGTTAAAAATGTGGACGTTTGTAGTTTGTACTGAGTGCCTTGGATTTCTAGACGGATCTCTAAGTAGTGGGAGCCTGTTTTGATTTCCCGACCTGATTCTGACTTTGGAATCCTTATCTGCCGCACCTACTATTTAAACAATACACCACAAGTAAGTGAGAAAGAGGATATCCGTTATATTTCTTCCACTGATGGTAATATTTGTTTCTTGTTATTGATTGGGTATTTCCATCCCCTCTGTATTCTTTATGTTCACTTGAAGTCCTATCTTAGTTGCTTCTTCTGTCTTTTTGTTGGCTTTCATTTGTAAATCTTCAAATTTGTCATATATGAGACGTAAGTCATCGGCGAAATCCAAATATGCTGAAGTTTTTTTTAATTCATGAAAAATCCCCATTCGAACATTAATATAGAGAAGATCAGTAGTTCAGCAAAGAGTCTCTTTTCGACAGCGAATTCATTTTCATAGCTAAACAATCGCAAATATATATAGTTGTTTTGTATGTGTGTGTATATTAAATTAGCCAAACGAAAGTACAATTATTAAGTTCAGATGAATTGGATGTTGATATAAGAGGATAGTAACAAAAGTGATGAGTTGTCACAAACGATAGTTAAAGAAGATTTGCGTAATAACATGAATGGTTTAATGAAAGAGTTGTATTCAGGGTGTACATGGAAACAAAATAACATACGGAATTACGCAAGAGTTTTAAGTAGAAAAATAAGCATACAAACAAAAGTTAAGTCAAATCAACAGAGTTGTTACCATGGGAGTAGAAGTGGTTGAATAATTTTCTTTTGTATGCACAGTTCTGGTTCCTCTGGCTTAATGGCTAGGGCTTCTGTGATGCACAGGAGACGGAATCGTACTGTCTTTGGAAGGTTGTTTTTCCCTTTGTAGATTACTTTGAAGGAGGCGTTTGTTGAGATGGAATGACCAGTGTTGACGAGGTGTTCTATTATTGCACTCCTTATGCAGCCATTACTTCCCATCTGCAGCCACGCTGGATAGTGTTCTTTGACCCTTTTTGACAGGATGCTTGTTGAGCGACCAATGTACCTGGCTGGCTTTACAGCAACAGGTTAACTGATATATATACACATAGAAATGGCCAGATGCGGGATTTTGTCCTTTGGGCTTTTGCAGATCAGCAAGCGACTGTAGAACACTACTTTCAATGTTGCCGCAAATTTTTTTTTCTTTTATCCAACCTATATCTGTCGCCTTCTCACACTTGACGGTCTACTGGATGACCCATTCTAACACAATCAGGAGTATCATTTTCACTGATGCCAGACAGCCTTGCCTTATTCTTGTCTTCACTACAAGTACTTTATAAGGTTTTCGGGTGTGAATTACCTGGCATATGCTATTATCATATAGTCGGCGTGTAAAGTTAATGAATGTTTGCTACATTTACTCAAATACCCAAATACTCAAATGCCTTGAATATTTATGAAACAAACGTTATCATTCCAATGTGAATAAATCTACCGATAACTTCCCAATTAAGGCATTAACCAAAATGGAGCTTTGCGTAAAAGTTCACTAGTTTATACTGATATAATTCAGAGCATATTTTGCTTAAGTAAATCTTCGTTTTTGCCATTAAGTAACTGAACCAAAGTGTTCCGATCCTGTTGACATATCAACTCCTAGTATGAACTCTTCAGCGATGTCTGGGGATTAAGATTGAAATTATTTAATGAGTGGTGACTGCCAGCCTGAATGGGAAGCAGCAGGTTGGGCACGGCAAGAGGCTTTATTATTATTATTATTGCTCCCTTGGGTTCCTAGTGGAATATAGGGCTTCAACTGCACGTCTCCACTTGCTTCTGTCTTCTGCTGCACTTCTCACCTGCATCCATGTCAGTCCACACTGTTTTAACTCCTCTTCACACGATCTCCTCCATATCACTCTTGAACGTCCTACTCGCCACCTCCCTTTCGATTTTCCCTCGAGGGCCTGATGCGCGATGTCACTCGGCGGCCTCCTCAGCCAGTGTCCAATCCATCTCCACTTTCTCCTACATATTTGTTGAGCGATTGGTTCTTGTTTTGTTTGTTTGTTCCCATAGTTTTTTGTTGGTGATTCTTTCCGGCCATCTAATCTTCAGTATAGAACGAAGACAGTTGTTGATAAATGTCTGCAACAGGCTGTTGGAAATATTCTTTGTGACACACTGGCCAAGTTTCTGATCCATCCGTATAGAAGAAGTGACTGACTTGAGGTTTGTATTGAAAATCCGAATTTTGTTATTGAGTGTTGCTGAGTGACGAAGATTTCTAGATTGGTTTCAGGTTGATGAATGTGTTTCTCGCCTTCCCGATTCTCGATTTGACATCCTCGCCCGTTCCTCCTGTAGTTGAGACAATGCTCCCTAAATAAGTGAATGAAGTAACCTCTTTCAAATCCCTCCCGTTGATGGTGATTGGCGCTGTATGTTGTTGTTGGTTGGTTATTTTCATAACCTCCGTCTTGTCTATGTTCACCTGGAGTCCTGTCTTCTCTGGCTGCTTCTTCGACCAGTTTGTCGGTTTTCGCTTGTAGGTCTTCGACTTTGTGTGAAATCAAACATAAATCATCCGCGAAATTCAGGTCTTCTAGGTTCTTCATGTCGGTCCATTCCACTCGACTCACGTCGTCGGCCTCCCATTCCACTCGAGTAATGGCCTGCAATGAGCGCAATATCATTTGACGTCCTCCTCAGTGGAGTATGCACAATCCATCTCAATTTCCTCCAGCAAATTTTTTGAACAATCGGCTCTTGCCTTTTGGTTTTTTGCCAGCCAGAGTTTCTTTTAGCTAATTCTTGCTGAACCACCATTTCATCTTCAGTATGGAGCCAGCGAATCAGAAAGCTGTTGATAAAAGTTTCTACTTTGTTGGAAATACCTTCCGTGAAATGCAGTGAAAGTTTATGATACATTTTAAAGCAGTGAATGACTTAATATCAGTGTTGAAAACCCGAATTTTTTCTTTATGCTGCGGAGTTCAGAAGATTTCCAAACTGGTTTCAGATTGAAGAAGGTGTATCTTGCCTTCCCAATTCTGACTGGCTTCGACATCTTCACCTGTTCCGCCTTAAGTCAAAACCATGCCTCCTCGCCAGATAAGTGGTAGAGGTTATCTCTCTGTTGATGGTGACTGGTGCTGGTTGTTGTTGCTGTTGGTTGTTCGGTTATCTTCATCAATTCCATCTACTCCATGTTCACTCGGACTCCTGTCTTCGCTGCTTGCCAACCTCTTCTGCCAGTTTGTTGATATTAGCCTACAAGTCTTCGAATCTGTGGGATATTAAACATAAATCATCCGCGAAATCCAGATCTCCTGGAGTCTTCTTATAGGTCAGTTCAACGTATTCCTATCTTCTCACTCCCTGTGCATATTCTGACTCATAATCCAGTTCACCACAATTAAGAATATCGTCGGTGGTAGTAGGCAGTCATCCTTGTCTTACTCCTGTATGTACTTCGAACGCCTCACTGAGTTTCCCGTTGTAGATTAGTTGACACGTGGCATTGTCATCTTGTCAGCTGTTGAATGAGGTTGATAAAGATTTGGGCACTGCAAGTCGCAGTGTTGAAGCAGTTTTCAGATTATGTCTCGGTCAACGCTATCTGTCGAAAGTCTTTTCGAAGTCTATGAAGTTGAGGTAGAGAGAGGTTTGACAGCCATTAGATGTTTCGTTCTGTGATGACAATGTGTAGAGTAGAAATAAAAGAGGGTTATATTGAAAATATTCGTGTGAAGATACATGAAGGCTGATGGTCAGTATTCAATTCGAATGAGTATGATGGAAAAGAATTTAGTGTAATGAAGATGTGTGGCTCAGGAAGCAAAGAATGAATCATAATACTTCATAGTTAGTTCATAAGTATTTTGCAGACGAAACAGACTTAAGCGTTTCGAAGTAAGATAAAAGGTACCTGCTAAGGCATATCGAAAATTACACGACTTATACACACAGAAAGTGCTGACCCATAATGATAAAAATCTTTGAAATTAAACTATTTCATATGATTCCAAATTAGTTTGTTTATTAGATGTATCACACAGTGAAACGGCATTATACGTACTGGATTACACAGTTTCGAACAAAATTTATTGCTGTTCATAATCATTTCATCAATTATAATCACACAACTTCGAAACTTACGTTTCATAGTTTTCTTTATTCTTTCCTATTCATTGTCGTTGGAGTAGTAGAATTTTCCAGATATCTAACTGGAAAGGTGTTCAATCATTCCTATTACACGTGTTCGCAGTTGATTCGATAAACAAAGCTTCTGTTATCAATCTCTCCCTCCACCGTGTTACATTAGATTTTAAAACTGTCATCTTATCCCATCCAGCCTATTGTAAAGTTGTGTGTAATTAATGACGACATGCGTGTCAAACATGCGCAAGACAACACCAACAATAAAGAATCTAAATCATCAGTGGTAATTCCCTACAACGAAGGAGAATCGGAAACCTTAAGGAGAATTCTTAACAATGCGGGAATAAAAGTGGCTGCCATCCAGGCCACCTACAAACTCAATTAGAATTAAGCATGGTCGGTTAAAAGATCCTGCCAGTGGATCCAATTAAAAAACAATTCAGTTTATCTAATACCCTGCTGGAACGATTATCAGGTCAAATACATAGGTCAAAGTATTAGGATGAGGTCAGTCAGACTAGCCGAGCATAAAAACCTAGCAGCAAAATCTAGATTAGTTGACTCGAATAAGATAAGAAATCTAGAGAATAGTTCAGCTATAGCACACACTACATGCAATTGCACACAACCACACAATACCGGATGGATGGAATAAGATGACAGTAGTTTCAAAACCTAATGTCACAGAGTAGGGGGAGAGATTGATAACAGAAGCTTTGTTTATCGAATCAACTGAGACTGGATACGTGTAATAGGAATGATTTAGCAACTGTCCATCCGAATATCTAGAAAATTCTACTGCCTCAACGACGACAAATAGGAGAGAACAAAGAAAACTATAAGACTCAAGTTTCGAAGTCGTGTGATTATAATTGATGAACTGATTATGAACAGCAATAAATTTTGTTCGAAACTGTGTAATCCAGTACGTATAATGCCGTTTCACTGTGTGATACATCTAATAAACAAACTAATATGGAATTACTTACTATCACAGTGCCCAAATTTCACACGTATACTTCATATAAACATATAGAAGAAAAGGAAGGCAGCATCGCATTTTATCCTCTAAACTTACAATACTTTCCATACCGCTTTTATATTCTTCTTTTAATTTTTGGGGTAAATACTCCCAACCGATTTGTCGAAGTTCATTCACCAGTCTACGGGATTCTTGTAGTTCCTACAGTCAATATACAAAACAGTTAGGCATTTGGTTTATCATTTGAGTAAGTCACTGAAAAAAGAAAACTAACATAAATTGATAAATAATAGAACCGTTATGATGGGAGGTATATTTAAGTACTTAAATTATTATAGTCTTATCAACAAGGTTATTTTTAAGGGACAACAAGTGACAGTGTAATCAAATACATGGAGGCATCCACCGTCAAACGACAGTGTGTTGATACCTACCAAGGGTTGTTTTATGATATTCTAATTCCTTTATAAAAGGTATCAGTGTTTGATTAGGAGAATGCTCACCATCGTTGCAAGAGCTGATCGCTCAACAAATATGCAGGAGAAAAAAAAGGAGATGGATCGGGCATACACACCTGAGGAGGCTGTTGAATGACATTGCGCTCAGTGCAGGCCATCACTCGAGTGGAATCTCAGTGGGAAGCGATGAGTGGTTCGTCGATGAGGGGTTGACATGGAGGACATCTCGTGTAGGGGAAGGAGGAGATGACAGATTATGGTCAATCATTGGTTCAGCCAGCTGAAGGTGGCAGCAGGGAACGGTAGAAAATGGGCACGTGTTGTTGAATCCCTATGTTCCACTTGGAACCCAAAAGAATAATAGTAATACCCAATAAACATATTTAATTTTATTTTAGTTTCTACGCGATTAAAGCTTTCTATATTAGGTAACTAGTTATGTAAAAAATCTACAATTCTAATGACAAATCTCTTGAAACATTCCTTTTGTTGCTAAGATAATTTACTATACATATATACGATTGTACAGCTTGAGAATGATATCACCGAAAGGAGTAACTCTTCGATGAAGGATTGTTTCGTCCTGCTTGAAAACTCTTCATCGTTAGGTGACCATGACACTAGAAAGGATCAAACCAGGTACCTTCAGATTGTGCGACGATTGACATTAACATTCAGTCACAGAGTTTAAATCCAATCGTTCATAATTTCTAACTTCTGATAATTCACTATATACATGTGCCACGACTATCAACTCATATTCTTTTTCATTCCTTTTTTTATTCTTTCAGGTTCCCAGTGGAACATAAGGTGGCTTCAAGCTAGAAACAGCTTGAAGTTTCTGTAGCAGTGATGATTATTTTTACAGGATGGGGTTGCTAGCCGGACTCATGCCCAACCTTTCCTCTTTACTAGATTGGCGAGGTTCAGGATTGCGTCGGTGGCCGGGGATTGAACTTTGGACCATGTGCATGGTCAGCGAGCGTCCTAACCGCTCTGCCACCGATGCACCCTTTGTATTCAAAGCGAGATAATGAGCTCCAAGCTTTTATGTTTCTATGAAGTGAGGTTGTTAGCCTCACGCTCAACCTTTCCTTACGGGTATAAACTAGCTGAAACTCACGAGTGCATCGACAGTTCTGAAGAAACTGCTATTTATGAGCGTTGAATTGAAAAGTTATACTGCAGCTAAGATCCTGAAGAATCGCTTATGCAGATCACTGAGGATAGCCTTCTCTATGGTTGGGCTACTTATCAATTTCTACAGTCGACAAATGATCAAGCGATATGTGAAGGATAAACTGTCACTATGGGCTGCTTCAATGTGTGTTTATAAATTCACGTGCTCGTGTCGGGCTAGTTATACTGGCCGCCCACATAAAGCGCACACTTTCGAAAAGCATCTCTAAACATTATCCAGCATGGTTAGAAAAACGACAATGTAAGACAATTACTAGCTCAATTCTAGAGCATTTGGTGAACTCAAGCCACATAGCTCCACCAGAGTTGTCTTTCAAGTTCATCTACAAAGTGAGGCCAAATGGTACAAAGGGCGTCAGATTTTGGCTTTTGTGTATGGTGGAGGCGCTGGCAATTCATCAATACAACCCCGAACTCTGTATACAGAAAAAGTTTGTCCAGTCTCTTATTCTACCTTGGTCTTAACCTCTTCACTAGTCGTTCCCTGTAAAAAATTTTTTTATATATTTTAAATTTTACTTTTAGTTTGCTTTTACTTTAACAATTAATTCACTATTATCACTCTCATATTTTCCTTTCGTACATTTCTACACTCTCTTCACACTTGTTAAATTGACACTCAACTACCACCTTTATTCTCACTCAATAACAATTTTGACCTTATCAAATTTCTAACTTTGTGCCATTGAGAACCAAGTAATTAAGAAATTTTATTTTTTTATTTCTAAAGCCACTTCTGAGTAATTATATCAACTGTGACCCCTTCCTACTGTTCAATAATAGACTACTATACGTGATTTTGGTAAATATATATACGACTGTATACAGCCCCTGAAGATGATTTCGTCGATGCAGGAAATTCTCTTCTTACGAGTTGACCACGGATTGATATCAGTTAGAGAACCATTGAAAACCAGGGAGTACTGGATAGCTGTTTCATACTAGTACTTTGGGAATCATCGATAGTACGCAACCACTGCCAGGGTTCGGACCCAGGACTAGGATGAAACAGCTGTCCAGTACTCCCTGGTTTTCAATGGTTCTCTAACTGATATCAATCCATGATCAACTCGTAAAAACAAAACTGACCCTTACAAACCAAACTATAGAAAATTCACTTCGCTTAATGTGTCTTTCATTTTCTTCAAATATACATACATTGAAACTCTTTATATCAATCATACTGTATTACCTTTTTAGCATTTTCATATTTCATTGTTAAACTCTCGATTACAACTTGATCACGTAGAGAAAGATTTGCGTCAATGATAACTTGTTGCATATTATCATATTGTTTCTTCAATATCTCATAATTTTCTTTCAGATTGGCATGTGATAAAGTTAAATTGAATAACTGCTTGTGTAAATAACTTATTTCTTCTTGTAATGGGAAAAAATTTAATTCCTATTAAAAAAGTTAAACGTAAAATAACAGTGAAAATAAGTATTACTGAACTCGGCAAAGTTAAACTATGGTAAGCAAAAACTGCAGTGACCTTGAACGACCAATCAGAATTCAGGCATATGAAAAGTCGAATAATCGTTTAAAAAATGCACTAAAAACATTGCGAACATGATATTATACTGTGTAGTTGTCGCTTATGTATGTTGTAAGAATGTTTCCCAGTCACTATAATGATTATAAGTACATAGGTGATCCATTGAGAAGTCATGAGCGTTAGATGCATTCATCCAGGCAACTGTAGGTCATGGTAACTTGAGGTTTATTGATATTTTTGAGACTGTTATTTGACTTACTCCTAACCTTAACTCTAGACTCTAAACCTAAATCAAAAAGGCGATAACTCTACCTAACAGTGCAGATTTAGAGAAACAGTACCTTCATTATTATTATTGTATCCCTTAATTCCTAGAGGAACATAGGGTTTCAGCTGCACGTCTCCAATGCGTTCGGTTCTCCGCTAGAGTCCTCACCTGACTCCAAGTCTGCCCACATTCCCTCATCTTCTCTTCACATGACATCTTCCAAGTCACGCTTGCACTGATGACAAACTCGCCGCTTCCCTTTCGGGTTCCACTCGAGCAATGGCTTTTCTAGTGATGCCACTTGTTGGTTTGCTTCCTCACAGTATGGCCAATCCATCTCCATTTCTTCCTGCCTATTGGTGGTACAATCGGCTCCTGGTTGATTTGTTCCCAGAGATCTCTGTTGCTGATCCTCTCTGGCCGGCCGTCTGATCTTGAGTATTGAGCGAAGACAACTGTTAATGAATGTGTGTAGTTTGTTTGAGGTGCTCTTTATGACGCGCTGGTCAAGTCTCTGATCCGTATAGTAAGTGGCACTGACTTGAGAGTAATGAAAGCTTGTCTTGCTTTTCCGATTCTTGCTTTAATATCCTCGTCAGTTCCGTTCTGCTGTAGTTGAAACGATGCTTCCCAGGTAGGTAGGTAAAAGAGGTTGTTTCTTTCAGGTTCCTTCCATTTATGCTGATTGTTGCCTGTTGTTGTTGTTGCTTGTGGTGGTGTTGCCCAGGAATTTTCATCATCACCTCTGTTTTCTCTGTGTTCACCTAAAGTTCTATCTTCTCTGGATGCTTCTTGTGTCAACTTGTTGCTTTTCGCTTGCATATCTTTCAGTTTGTGGGAAATCAGACGAATATCATCGGCGAAGTCCAGATCCTCCAAAGGCTTTTGTGTGAGTCCATTTTTATGCCTGTTTCCTCATTGTCCGCTGTTTGTCGCATTATCCAATCTACTGCAAACAGGAAAATCGTTGGCGATAGTAGACAGCCAGCTTTGTCTTACTCCCGTCCTTACTTCGAAGGATTCCGTAAATTTCCCGTTGTGGATTATTTGGCATGCAGCATTGTCGTATAGCTGTTGGATGAGATGTATGATTTTCGGTTGCACCCGTCGGTAGTAATGAAGTAGTTGCCAAAGCACCTCTCGATCGACGCTGTCGAAGGCCTTTTCAAAGTCGATGAAGTTGAGCGAGGTAGAGAGGTGATTGCCATTCCAGGCTTTGTTCAATGATGATCCGCAATGTGGCGATCTGATCAATACATGACTTGTTTCTCCTGAATCCAGCCTGTTCCGGTCGAAGTTTTTCGTCCAGGTTGGCATGTTTGATTCTCTCCAGGATGATGCGGCTTAGTATTTTGCTTGGGATGGACAGGAGCATAATTCTGCGCCAGTTGTTGCATTGACTTAAGCACCTGGAGAATGGATGGAATACTGTATCTGCCTTCTCCAAGTCCAGAAAGGCAGGCATGATTTTATTTGGAATGACCTTTAATATCATCCCCTTGATTTGATTGGTTCTTCAAGGTCAACTTTTGAAAGACCTTGGCTTTGGCTAAGGTACTTTAACTTCGCCATGAACTCAGTTATATTATGGTAGTTAACTGAATTAGTTTGTGTAAACAGACTTGATTGATGGAATTCAGTCTGGGCACATGACATTATCTACTACTGTGGTGAGAACTGTCTACTAGCCAAAATTGGTGGACAGCTATTTACGCCAATGTTTTTATGTCTCAAATCTTGGTGATGAGATAAACAAGAACAAAAACTTTGCGTGGGCGGATACGATTCGCAGAAATATGGTCTGACCTTCAAAGAAACAGCGAGAAAACAACCAAACAGAAGACGCTGTTTCTCTGCTAATAATAACGCTAATTATGAATGTACATAAAAACCTATAAATATCTGTTGATCTTCTCATTAAACGATATACGGCCTGACCCTTGTTTTCTTTCGTTACACTGCTACCTATCAAAATATCAAATACAGTTCAACAGGAGATCAGTCGTGAGCTCAAATCATACATTGGTAACGTTATCTCTGACTATGGCACTCAGCATCAACAACAAAATTCGGATTTTCAATACAAACGTCAAGTCATTTCTTCTATACGGATCAGAAACTTGGCCAGTGTGTCACAAACAATATTTCCAACAGCCTGTTGCACACCTTTATCAACAACTGTCTTCGCTCTATACTGAAGATCAGATGGCCGGAAAGAATCACTAGAAAGAAACTATGGGAAGAAACAAAACAAGAACCAATCGCCCAACAAATATGCAGGAGAAAGTGTAGATGGATTGGACACTCGCTGAGGAGGCCACTCGCTGGGTGACATCGCACGTCAGGCCAATGCTCGAGTGGAACCCGAAAGGGAAGAAGCGAGTTAGTCGTCAGTGCTAGGGTGACATGGAGGAGATTGTGTGAAGAGGAGCTGAAACAGCATGGGCTAACATGGATGCAGGTGACAAGTACAGCAGAAGACAGAAGCAAGTGGAGGAGTGTAGTTGAAGCCCTATGTTCCACTAGGAACCCAAGGGAACAATAAATAATAATGGCACTGTGTGAAGTGGGTACGAATCTCATAAAGGAAATGATTTCCTTTAAGACTGCAGTCACGCTTTACTAGTAAGAGACTAAAGTTCAAGGATTCTTGACGATTGTTTCCAATCATCTAATAATAATAATAATTCAGAGTGCACCGTGATGGTGAGCCATCTAGCATGGTGATCATATAGCAGATTTGACAGATAGAATTCATTCTACACTAATCTTAGAGCTTAGATGCATGACAGTGGTTACTTTCTAATGACCAATCAAGGTATATATACGTAAGCTTTTTCTGATACACTTTAGTTGCCCCTAGGAGACAAGCCCTAGCCAGAGTGCCAAATATTTAAGTTCATGTTTAGTCTATATTTACAAGCGGTGATATTAGTATATGTGTTGTAGTGATTAATTCCATATTGGTTTGCTTATTTGATAAATATCACAATCAGTTAAACAGTATTATTATTTACTGGATGACAAAGTTTCGAACACAATTTATTGCTGTTCATAATCATTTCATCAATTATAATCACACATAACTTCGAAACTTGAGTTTTATAGTTTTCTTTGTTCTCTTCTATTTGTTGTCGTTGTGGCTGTAAAATTTTCCAGATATCTGGATGGACAGGTGTTGATTCATTCCTATGACAATTTATTCTTTTCAGGTGGTTACTTAGTTTTGATGTTGTCAGTCTACATACACTTATATCGGTTAATATGGCTTTAGAGGAAGTCACAAACGAATTCATTTCCGACCAAGAACTTGAACTTTGAACGAAAGTGCCACTTTAGGACATAATACTGGGATTGCAGCTATGCCTGACTTCCACAGTATTGAAATTCCAAGGAAAAATATACAAACAAACTGAAGGTGTTCACATGGGGTTACTAATATCCCCGATTTTGACTGATATATTCATGCATAGTTGGGCAAACATAGCGATTTACACGTTCAACCCCACCCCAAAAGTATGATGGAGGTATGTAGATGACACACTCACTGTACTTAGAACACAAAATATATAAACAGAATTTTCGAACACATTAACTCAAAGGTGGGGCAATTCAGTTGACTTATGAAATGGAATGTCAGGAAGAAGAGCTTCCAATGTTAGATTGTAGCGTAAAAGGGAAGGAAGATGGGAAGTTAAACACAAACTAGTATGTCTACAGAAAACTCATACATTCAAACAGGAATTTGGACTTCCGATCATCCCATCCTATTATGGATAAGATTTTATTTTGATAAATCACACAGTGTTACACAGTAATATTAACTGATGACGTTTCGAGCACAAATTATTGCTCATAATCATATCAAGTTACTCACACAACTTTTTCCTTCATTTATATATGCGTATGGAATTGACTAGATATTTGAATAAAAATCACTATGAGATAATGCACATTCAGTGATAATAATATGAGTGTTATTGATCAAATACAATTAGATGGGAAATAAGACGAATGTTCTTATAGTCATAATAAGTAACTTGTTAGATTGTTATGATGTACGTGAATTGAATTGAAATAGAATTTTGAGATTATTTATTATCCTCCTCTGATTTGACTGACTGGTGGTAATAATATCTTCCATATCTCTGGTATTTGCATTGAGTCACTTCTATTGCGCATGTGTTGGGTGTAGATTCAATTAACCAGGATTCAGTAATCAACCTCTCTCTCTCGACCTCAAAGATTACTTCTTAGAATCGTAACCCTCTCCCACTCTATTGTGTGGTTGTGTGTTATTGCATGTAGTGCAGTTGTTGAGCTCTTTTGTAAATTACTTATCTTCTCGGGGTCAACCATTCTTACCTTAGCTAAATTCTTGTGTTCCCACAATCTGACTACCCCCGATCTACTAGTTTGACCTATGTAGTTGACCACAACTCACAGTCATTGCGAGGTATTTTGTAAATTATATTATTTTGTTTAATTGGGTCCATTGGATCCTTTAGCCTACAGAGCTTGTCCTGCTTGAGTGAGTACGAGGTTTGAATGCCACCACTCTAATTCCTGCTTTATTCAGAATCCTAAGTGGGGAGGGTCTCAGATGTGCTTTCCTTATATTATATAACAGTAGATGTTTTATATTCTCTCTTACTAATGTTGTCAGTACTAGTTCCACAATTATTTTTATTTTGCTTTTCACTTTTTCTGATTTTCCTAATGAATTTTAATATGACGGTTATTTGATGCCAACGTTTCTTCTGTCTGTTTCATTTCATCGTTAAAATCTTTTTTGTACTACTTTGTGTTACTGCACGGTTAGTTAGACACTTAACTACGCCTGCCTTCACAGATAGACAACGGATGAGATGAATTGAAGTCTAAATATCTATTAGAATCCATTAGTCTTTAATAAACGCTAGTGTGCAGTTTACCTTCTTCTGTTCGTTTTATTTTACAATATAACATGGCTAATTCTCCTTGCTCATTTTCGGCTTCAAATGTGAATTTTATTCCCTCCACTAGTGAGTTTATGTGTGTCAAGAAGCTAGAGATATGTTCTGTTTTTAACACTGTGATAGTGTCATCCACATATCTCCACCATATTTTTGGAGTAGTACTAAATGTATTAAGAGGAATATTTTCCCAGCTATCGATAAAGATATCTGTTACGATAGGGGATATTGGTGATCCATCCCATTGCTACACCTTCTGTTTGTTCAAATATTTCGCCTTTGAATTTAAAGAAAGCAGATGTCGTCTTATTTCCCATCTGATTGTATTTGATTGATAGCACGTATATTATTCTTTCTGAATGCACATTATCATATATTGATTTTATTCAATCAAATGTCTAATCATCAATTTTTACTCATGTATATAAATGAAGTGTGAAAGTTGTGTGAATGAGTGCCTTGATATGATTGAGTGGTAATAATTTGTGCTCGAAAAGTGGTCATTAGTTAATATTATTGGATTCCTCCTGTTCTAAACTAAAAATACCACCATTATTCATCACATGACCCCCGCATTCTAAAGAAAGACTGGGAGCGCAGTTTTTTTATTCAGGGAAAGGTGTTATGACGGGGAATCACAGCTATCTATATATTTCACACAATTTCAACACTAATTTTATGTCATTCACTGCTTCTTGGTACGAGATTCACGCAAAGCATTTCCAAAATGTTACTGCAAACTTTTACCGACAGCTGCGTTCGCTCCATACTGAATATCAAATGTTCAAAAGGAATTAGCAACAAGAAAATGTGAGAACAAACCAACTGAGAAGATGGATAGGACGTGGAGTCGGGTGTAGGTCCAAGGGTAACATGTAAGAGATCATGTGAAAAGGCGATGAGAGTTTATGGGCAGTCGTGGAGCCAGCTAAAGAAGGCTTTAGAGGACCAAATGAAACGGAAATGAGCTGTTAAAGCTCCATAATTCCACTTGAAACTGAAAGGAATAATAATGACAATATTCATAAGACGAATAAATTACTAGTTTAAGATTATTTGAGAAACACTGACACACACCTTTTCTAGATGTCTGATTTAGGGTAAAGTTAAACTTTAAGCACCACCAACTACTGATCAGCGAATAACTTCGAACGCACCGATCACGTGAAGGAGGCATTTTTGTGTATGGACTACATATATTTATGAAATAATGCATAAAGACTGTATAAAAGTGTTACAGAGGACACCTTCCTCTCACATATGATAAAAATAGCTCTCAGTTTTAGGTTGGAGTATATCAACAAAGTGTAATTCCATTGTGAGTAAAATTTATTTTGATAAAGTCTCACAGTGTTATGCAGTAATACTAACTGGGCGATAAACTGTGCTCGAAACGTGGTCATCAGTAAATATTACTTACTGTATAACACTGAGACCTCATCAAAATAAAATTTTATCCAAAATGGAATTATACTCTATCACCACAGTGCACAAGCTGTATTCTTATATAAACAGAGTAATTTAACCACATTCTATGCATGTAATTATCAAGGTTTTCTTAACCTGAAAAAAACCCTTATCTTTCCTGAAACTTGCCCTTACGTGAAAATATGCCTAAACTAACCCTACTGTTACTTTTATTAGATTAACCTAACTCTAACTCGTCCTTGGCTTAAAGCGTAACTTAATCTTTCCCAAACACAAGCTGATACCTCCCACATGTCCCATTTAATAGCATAACACTTTGATGAGCATATTTTATTGATGATGACAACATTATTTGCCAGGTTTCACTAGCGTGCTCAGTGAGCGTTTCAAGGTCATTGGAACGGTCTCACTCCGTTGGTAGCTAGTGGTGCTTAATGTTTAACTTGGCCCTAATATGATATAAGAACCAGTAATCGACTAAAAATTCTCTGTAATTCTTTAGTACTTAATTAAATGTGATATAGAATCAGTAATTACCAAATAAATTTCAAATGTAAAACTCACATTTGCATCACAGAAACCAGCGACCGTGTATTTATTCCCAATTGTGCATTTACAAACTGTTGGCTATATAAATAAGCGATAATTTGTTTAGACAACCATTCACTGTACGGAATCAAAACAAACATTCTAGAAATGATATTATTACTAACGAGTAGGACGTCCAGTTGCCAGCGTTGATAAACTAGAAGAAATATTTCCTAGATAATACAGCCTTGACAAGACTGGCCTGGGTTTCCTGCAGACTGAATTCTATCAGTCAGGTTTGTAATGTGGCCACCATGCCACTAGGTAGCTCACCATCACGGTACACACTGATTTGATGATATTAGATGGTTGGAGGCCATCGGCAGAAAGTCTTGCACCTTGGAATATCTATTATCAGCAAATCAATGTGCAACGTGATGGCAAGTAACCTAGAATGGTGGCCACATTGCAAACCTGACTGATAGAATTCAGTCTGCGCCAAAGAAAGGACTAGACACATTACACTAGTTACTAGTGTCCAATCAAAGTATCCACTACTGTTCTACAGGAGGTCAGTTGCGAGCCTGAATAGCGCAGTGGTAACGTCTCTGACTGCAAGCGACAATGGGTGATGCGGATTCGAATCTCACAAATTATATGAGTTCTTTCAAGTTTGCAAATGAGAAACACATTCATCAACGTGAAACCAATCTGGAAATCTTCTTCACTCAGCATCATCAACAAAATTCGGATTTTCAATACAAACGACGTCAAGTCAGTTTCGCTATACGGATCAGAAACGTAGCGGGTCACAAAGAATATTTCCAACAGGTTGCAGAACTTTATCAACGGCTGTCTTCACTCTATACTGAAGATAAGATGGCCGGAAAAAAATCACCAACACGAAACTGTGGGAACAAACAAAACAAGAACCAATCGCCGAACAAATATGCAGGAGAAAGTGTAGATGGATTGGACACTCGCTGAGGAGGCCGATGGGTGACATCGGGCATCAGGCCAACGCTCGAGTGAAACCCGAAAGGGAGGTGGCGAGTGGGACGTCCAAGGGTAAAATGGAGGCGATCGTGCGAAGAGGAATTGAAACAGTATGGACTAACATGAATGCAGGTGAAAAGTACGGCAGAAGACAGAAGCAAGTGAAGAATTGTAGTTGAAGCCCTATGTTCCACTAGCAACCCAAGGGAACGATAATAATAATAGTAATGCAAATGCACCTTGCAGACTAATGAGTGCCAAATAGCACGAAATCTAGGCCACTTAAGGCTTCCTGTGGCCGATTGCCTCCAACCACCTAATATCATCAAATGACTGCTTTTTTAAGCATGATATAATCTTGAAAAGTGGTCAGATTTGAGACATTTTTTAACTCTAACTTTTTAATGCTACGTTGTGTTGTCGTAATACAGGCAGGTAAAATGTAAGATGAAATTGGAAATAGAAATTAACAACTAAGAACTCATATAAAGGATTTTAAACCTTTGACAATCCTTGATATAAACTTATGTTTCCACGGTTATTGATACAGCGTATCCGCTAAAATGTTCATGTCTTAATTGTTTGCTATGAAGTCTGTAAATCATGATTGATTATTGCTCGAATTATCTGAAAGACAATGAACATTGGCCAGACGTGACTATAGAGTCCAGAAGACAGCCGATTCATACCAGTCAATCACGTCTTGTCTCGGGGGTTTTTGGAGTTTTATATGAATAACAACCATACCATCCCACCTACGAACCGCCAGGCAGAAAGTGATATTGTGTAATTTTCGAGGTCGACCTTTTCTCAACTCCCATCCTCAGAGGAGAAAGGTAACACACCCGGCTTACTAGCTATCCTATTAGGATGCCTTACACTGGTGGCTTGCTTAAGACTTGGGCTACCAAAAACTTTCATCTCTCTATTCCATATATTTCCTCTCGTTTGCTTCCTTTTAATCGATTAAGATGTGACCTCTATAAAAATTGTCTACTCTTGTGTGTACTTAAAATGTTTACAAGCTTCTGATTCTCAAGTTCCTACTAAACTTGAGAAAATGCCCGATTGTGGGGGTTGGCAACGTGTTCCAGTAAATGAGGCAACTGTTCTTCATTTATGTTCTTAGTTCTCAAAATGTCCTTCTGAACATCATAAAATTGGCTTTCACAGCTAGATATCTTGGATTTCTTGAAAGAGGAGACAAAGCAGATGTATCGCATAATGGAATGGTTTGTGCTTTATCTCAGAGAGAATTGTGTCACAGGAAGGATATACTGCCAATCAATATTCTACTTGAAGGTATTGTACGAAGGGAAAGTATCATGGAATAAAGTCTTCTGATGAAAATTCTGTACATTTTATAGCTACTGTCCAGAATAAAGATGTTATTATTATCGCAGTTACTACCTGCCTAAATATCAGCAGTTCCATCAAGCCTTCAGGACCCCAACATAATGAGACCCATTTACAACTGTAATGGTAACTGCTTTTAGTCAAATCGTTATCCAAACGATCTATCTGGTTCGGTATAGCCTGCAGAAACATTCTTTCTAGTCAGCCAGTGTAACTTGTTGGGTTATTAAGATTTACAAGAAGTCACGAATACCACACCAAGGGTAAAAGATCTAGCCTACCAACCATACTTCAGTGAAAAAAACCAAGCGACTTACAGTTTGTAGTTGTATACTTTCACCACTTTGCGGTTGTTCTGTAGTTGGTAGATGATTTTCACAAAATATCTAAGTGTCAAGATAAAAAGAGGGGGAATAGTGGTAATTTTTTTTACAGAAGTCCCAAAGATTCACTAACTCAACAATATTGTTATGTAAGTCAATAAGAAATAGTGTTTTTCAGCACAATCACTATTGCCATCATTTTAATCTCCCGCGCTAAAATATTTTAAAAATAATATAAGATTTATTCATATTTTCTGCTACAATCTCAATAGTTAGAATTATCGGGACCGAGGCTTTGGGAAGGCTTTATGGATTTGAGATATTTGAGAACATCAAGAGTATTAGAACCATGAAATTCCCTAACCTTATAATTTGTAACATTGGGAATGACAAAATCAACTGGAGAGTGTATGAAGGACTTATTGAGAGTGTCTAAATCTGTGGTGACAGCTGGCTGCGAACAAGCCAAAACCGTGGACAACAATTCACGTCAGTTTTGCAGATAATAGTGTTCTCTGAGCTGGTTGGTTTGGTTGCGGAGCTTTCGTCGTCATTCTGGACAACAACCCCTTTCAGCGCAATATTTAGCATAAAGTGAAATGATTTAAATTTCTTCATGAGTGATATAATTGCGTCTCCTGGTAACCATCTTTACATATGTATTGACCATTTTCTATTGACTTGGATTTTAAACTTTCTGGTCACCTGATTTAGTTTTTATTAGTTGGTATATTTCGTCTATATCAATGTGTTTGTTAATTGCATTTTCGTTTGAGTAGCAGGCTTCTAGGAATTCCCTGACTGCACTTTTGGTGTTTCCTCTGTCTAAGATTTTGACATTATCCCAATCAAATTGATGACCATAATTGTCTATATGCATTGATACTGAAGAATACATATCGTGTCTTTTCACGGCTGATTTGTGTTTTTGGATTCTAATTCGAAGGGGACGCCCAATTCGGCCGATGTAGTGCTTGTTGCAGTTCATACAATTTATTTTGTAAATGGTATTAATTTATCCCCTTTTTCTGTTGGATCTTTTGGTTTGCATAATATCGAATTAAGCGATTTGACTGGCTTGTGTGCTATATCTATATCAAACGGTTTCAGTATTCTAGCTGTTATTTCAGAGATATTTCTCATGGTCTTTGATGATGGATAGCAATGGAACCAAGCACTTACTCCCCAGTAAGTGATGGTGTTCCCATTGAAACTAGAACTTAGAACGCATCATTTCAAAATGCCAGAGCGTTATCCAGTGGGAACACACCACTCACTGGAGAGGTAATAATAATAATTTGCTTTATTCCAGAAACAGTACTAGTGGTACAGTGTGGAATTTTCAGCACACATCTACAATATTTGCATCTAATTTTATCAAACATTTAAAAGGAGTATTAAACAAACAAAAAAAAATAAATCTAAAGACACCAACAGCAAAAAAAAATACAAAAACAGGATAGACACAAGATAATTATAAATACGAAAAAGTACCAAGAAGTAGAAAGGAAAATAAACAGCATTTAATAATAACTGAGTTTTGGGTAGTGGAAGCTATGATATGATTATGCATGGTGACAGTAAAGCTATAGTCATACAAGAAGTTATGAAATGATATTTAAGAATGTTTATCGCCAAGATGGTCAGTTAATTTGGTTGAAACAACTCTAAACAATCATAAAATAACAATTCAGGGTTGTTGTTTTTTTTGTCAGGTATAATGCAGTGTTTGTAGTGGTAGTGTGAGTAATCCTGCATAATACAAAATTTTAAGATGGTCATAATGGCGTTCACAACCAATGTTTGTCAGTTAATATTGCCGAACAAAAAAACAACCACAAAAACTAATAATTACATTATGGTTAATGACAGGACAACTTTGTAATACTCATAGTGCTAATAGAGTCAGGAACCAGTAGATACACAATAGAAGGAATAGAGTAAAGTACAAAAAAGGAAGCCAATGTTAATAATTTAGATAGTTAAGTATGTTTAAGAAGGAGTTCACTATAGAATACAAAATAAGAGAGAAATAAAAGAACCCAAAATTATGTTATTAACAACAAAGCAAGTCATAGGTTTCGCGCTTAACATTGTCTCTGTCACTTAGAACACGGACCAAAATATGGTATCGTCGAGTTCCTGTACTTGGCTGTACGAGCATAAATTATTTTATACTGATTTCTGGTTCTACTTGGTGAGATACAAGGCGATAGTTGGGAATAAAAAGGGGTGTTGGGGGTCGGAGAGTATGGTTTTAGACCATTTTTCGCATGTATTCAGATGCCTTTCTACTAATGTAGTGACGAGCTGACTGAGTTTTTGTTATGTATGTGATATTAGGACCTTGTAGACTACGAGCGAATCTAACTAATGCGCTGGTTAATCTGTCCTAATCGCACGTCAACAACAACAACAATACCGCCGGGCACGCAAGACAAAGAAAAAAGACTGGACGTTGATACGAGAGCTTTTACTGTCTCTAACAACAGTCAAAATGTTAAACAACAACTCCGTATTTATACAGTTAGGAAAATCAATGTCACATTTTAAAAATATTAACAAACCATGGGAATTCAGTAATTAAAAATCAATAATCACGCAGATGCGTGAATCAATGATTATGCTAGTGTGTGAAATAAATAATGAATATTAATGATTCACCTGTGTATATATTAGTTTTACACCACTAGTCCTACTAACTACCTTCAACATCCTTCTCAGGATGGTGTAGTCCTTTTTCAGTAGCTCAGGAAAGACTAGCAGGGAGCAGTAAAGTAGAATAGGTAAGATACAAGAGTTGACAAATTGTGAAAGCAGAGGTTGGGTGATTCCAGATTGTCTAAGTTTCTTAATGTAGTAGGTTAGACTACATCCAGACTACACATCCAGTTGACGAATCCTAAATAGAGCGAAGTACGCATCCTGGATTCCACTGCCAGCCACCGTCAACCAGTATGTTAATCCTCAAACGACATCAACAGCCGAAAGGTCAATAGAGACCGAATATTTTGACACAATAAAAATTATTTGTCAGGATAAATAACTTAGGCAAACATCATACTTTCGAAGTCGTATTTTGAGAAATTAACTTCAAAGGGAGAAAACTTACCATTATTTGAAATGTAGAGCTTGTAGAATCGTCACAGGAAACTGTTGAATTTATTTGGGATAATTCAAAAACTGCCTTAGTTTATCCAAATAAAATTTAACTAATTTTTGGAGGATATTTTTTGTTAATAATCTTATATCAATGTATCATAGTCATAAAATGAAGGTTTTTAATCTCAAAAGATCGATAATAATTCATCGATCCGCAAGACAGTTTTGTACACGTGACCGTTATGTATATAAACTCGAAAGGTTGCAGGCAGGCGAAGCAACGAGCTGGCTAAGGAAGCAGCCAGAGAAGACAGGACTCCAGGTGAACAAAGGGAAGACGGAGATGATGAAGATATCCCAGAACAAACAACAACCACAACCAGCACCAATCAGCATCAACGCGAGAAATTTGAAAGAGGTCACCTCCTTCACATTTCTAGGCAGAATCGTTTTAACTACTGGTGACAGAACGGATGAAGATATTAAAGCCAGCCAGAATCGGGAAGGCAGGAAACATCTTCGTTACTGTAAAATCAGTGTGGAGATCTCCTGCAATCAGAATCACTAGCCATAGCCTATTCTGCAGCTAAGCTCGTTCCCGTCTTTCGAAAAACTTGCTCTCTGGTGCAATCAAAAATTGATAGATATCCTTCTCATGTTAACTTCAACTGTATATACAAATTTACATGTATCTGCGGGAGCAGTTACATTGGAAGAACAGAATGAAGAAGAGCATATCTACGATTTTCTGAACATGTACCAAAAAGCTTACGTCTAAAGGGAACAAATGCTTTAAGCAGTGCCATCGCCAGGCATCTTCTTGACACAGGTCATGAGGTGGACGTGGAAAAGTCATTCAAAATTATCAACAAGCAAAAGAGTTCAATGCTCCTTAAGTTTGCTGAAGCCTTTTACATCAAGCGCCTAAGACCTGATTTGTGCGTTCAGAAAGAAGCAGTTATCAGTCTTTCTTTGCCCTGTCTGGTAACTGGATATTTTTCATCCTAATGCGAGATACTGAAAAGTTTTCATTTTGTATGATTATTAATGCTCGGAATTGTGTTCAAGATTGCATATATATAAATATACGTATATATTATTAGTGTATGTGTATACTGATCGATTGATTTCTGTTTAAAATGAACTCTGTGTAAGTATGTTAAAATTGTTTTTGTAGATACATTTAATAATGTCTTTGGCCTATAAGCAGTTGACGAGAAGGCGACGAAATAAAAGATTGTACCACTTTATTCTGATAAAACAGTAGTTGCTGCTTTGTTGAAAATCAGAATAAAGAATGAAAGTCGGATGTTCAAGACCGATATTAAGTCACTTCTTCAATACGGGTGAGAAACTTAGCGAAAGCATCACGGATAGCATTTCCAACAGGTTGCAGACTTCTATTAATAGCTACTCAGTTTGCTGCATACTGGAGATCAAATGGCCAGAAAGAATTGGCAGCAAAATCTCTGGGAATGAGTCATTCCAAAACCTATCGCACAACAAATGTGCAGTGTGAAATTGAGATGAATTGGGCACAAGCTGAGGAAAGCTTCAGATGACATATTGCGCGAGGCTAGCCCTCAATTGGAACTTGAATGGGAAAGAGCGAAGTGAACCTCGGTTAAACGGCTACATGGAAGAGGTTGTGCGAGTAGGAGATGAGAGACTATGCGCGATCGTATGAACAGCTGAAGAGGACTACAGTGAACAGGAAAAATGGAAATATGCCGCTGAGGCGCTATTTTTCACTCGGAACTCAAAGGATTTATATATATATATCACCTGCAAGCAACAAGTTGGCAGAAGAAGCATCAAAGATAGGACTTCAGGTGAACATAGAGAAAACAGAGGTGATGAAGATTCCTGGACAAGAACCACAAAAACAGACAACGATCAGCATAAATAGGAGGAACCTGAAGAAAACAACCTCCTCTACCTACTTGGGAAGCATCGTTTCAATTACAGGCGGACGGAACTGACGAAGATATCAAAGCAAGAATCGGAAAAGCAAGACAAGCTTTCACTACTCTCAAGTCTGTGTGGAGTTCAATAGAACTCAGCATGAAAGATTAGATCCGGATTTTCAACTCCAATGTGAAGTCAGTCAGTGCTACTCACTATACCGATCAGAGACTTGCACTGCGCATCATAAAGAGCATCTCAAACAAACTACAGACCTTCATCAACAGCTGTCTTCGCTCAATACTCACAACCAGATGGCCGGCTAGAAAAGATCAGCAACAGGGATCTCTGGCAATGTGCGAACCAACCCAGCAAGAACCGATTGTGAAACAAATAGGCAGGAAGAAATGGAGATGGATTGGCTGGTCATACTCTGAGGAAACAAACCATCAAGTGACAACACTAGACAAGTCATTGCTTGAGTGGAACCCGAAAGGGAAGCGGCGAGTTGGTCGTCAGTGCAAGGGTGACTTGGAGTTGGGTATGTGAAGAGGAGATGAAAACGTGTGAACAGACTTGGAGCCAGATGAAGACTCTGGCAGAGAACCGAATGCAATGGAGACGTGAGTGGCTGAAGCCCTATGTTCCTCTAGGAATTAAAGGAAACAATAATATTAACACCTGCGAACTAAAGGGACACTAGTTTATTAACGATTTCAAGTTCTTCATGGATGAATGCTTCTGATCGTCCAAGAACTACAATGCATTCACTGAATTCCACTTCAATGAATGGCATTCTGGATTGTGACTACATACAGACAGGCAGTTGGCGGAATTTTATCGAGCAAAACTGGTGATGAATAAAGGTAGAACGGAGATATGGTTTTTCGGCGGGTATTCAATCAGCCTTCTTCAGATTACTACTACTAGGACAATCTAACAGCTGAGCTATGAGATCAAAGTGCTAACCAGTGCTAACCATACTACTACTGCAGTCAGTAGGACCAATGACCAGTGACCATGATCACTCTTCAATAACCAGTCTCAGCCAAAATGATTTAAATCCATCTTTAGAACAAATTTTTTTCAAGACGGTAGAATTATGTCTTTGCTAGACTTCCATTGTAGCCTACTGGACAAAAACTATTGAAACTCGGATACAATTTGTTTCAGAATCTTACCAGATGGTTACAGCTAGTTAGTGAATAGCTGGCATTTATTATTATTATATTATTGTTTCCTTTAATTCCTAGAGGAAGATAGGGCTTCAGCCGTGCGTCTCCATTGCCTTCGGTTCTCTGCTAGAGTCTTCACCTGGCTCTAAGTCTGCCCACACGCCTCCATCTCCTCTTCACATGACCTCCTCCTTCATGTGACCCTTGCACTGACGACCAACTCGCCGCTTCCCTCTCCGGTTCCACTCGAGAGATGGCCTGGCGTGTGATGTCTTTTGATGGTTTCCTTAGAGTGTGGCCAATCCACCTCCATTTCTTCCTGCCTATTTGTTCCACAATCGGTTCCTGGTTGGTTTGCTCACACAGGTCCCTATCGCTGATCTTTTCTAGCCGGCCATCTGATCTTGAGTATTGAGCGAAGACAACTGTTGATGAATGTCTGTAGTTTGTTTGAGATACTCTTAATGACGTGCAGTGCAAGTCTCTGATCCGTATAGTGAGTAGCACTGACTTCACATTGGAGTTGAAAATCCGGATCTTATTTTGATGCTGAGTGCTGTTGACCTCCTCACAGACTTGAGAGTAATGAAAGCTTGTCTTGCTTTTCCGATTCTTCCTTTGATATCCTCGTTAGTTCCGTCCACCTGTAGTTGAAACGATGCTTCCCAGGTATGGAGAGGAGGTTGTTTCTTTCATGTTCCTCCCATTTATGCTGGTCGTTGTCTGTTGTTGTTGTTCTTGTCCAGGAATCTTCATCACCTCTGTTTTCTCTGTGTTCACCTGAAGTCCTATCTTTGATGCTTCTTCTGTCAACTTGTCGCTTTTCATCAGTTGCATATCTTCCAGTTTTTAGGAAATCAGACATATATAATCGGCGATACATTGGCAATACACTGCCTGAAAAACAGTTTTGAATTTTCTATGTTAGAGAATTTAGAAATTATAAGCAAAACCAGAGTGCTTTTGTTTTAGCGAAGAAACACCTTTTCTCAACGACTTCGTTTTCAAGCCAACCGTACAGTCGTATTTGTATTACGAGAAAAGGCACTACGTGGTGCTAGAAATTGCTCAGTGGTCAATATTGCACATATGATAAGAATAAATATAATTAAAATGATGCATTCAAAAATTGCTCATGGTGAAGTTTCTGTAGCAGGTTTGTTTACAGGGTGGGGTTGCTGGCCTCACGCCTGAGTTTCGTCTTCGGGTACCTGAAATGGAAGAAAGGTTAGTGTTGCGTGACCGCAGAGTCCAGGGGACATCTGCTTGAGGCCGGTCACACGCGGCCTGGTGCGTCTCAGTAGTGTACTTATCACTTCTGCCCTGTGACACGGCAGCAGAAAGCGCGGTCGTTGTTAATCCGGGCCACGGCCGATCCGGCATGATATTTCTTACATTTGTTGGGGTTCATGGGTTTGGATTGATGAATGATGGCGACTAAGTCCAGCCCCCACTGATACCGTCGCCAAAGATTAGAGTTGAAGTGGATGAATTACAAAACTTTTAAAGATTATTAAATAAGTGAATTGATATTAGGATTTTAAAAATAGTACGTCAGGTGTTGTCTAAAACATTCAAAAAAAAAATAAAAGAACATTACTATGACCAAGGCAAAGGAAGGTGTTTAACAAAACGTTTTTGAACACATAATTTAGGTTTCTGTGCATGTATGACTAGAGCTTCGGCTATTCATGAGTGGATAAAGCGTTAGCTTTTTGAGTGGTTGGATTTGGTCCTGTAAATAACTTTGATGGATAAATCATGTATGGGGGGTTGAATGACCTGACTCCAGAATGCGTTCACAAATTGAAGACTTCATCGTCCTAGGCTCACTTTTTTCATTAAACAGACCGAGTGGTTGTGTTCAGCTACACGTTCACGGAGAACACGCTTACAATGTCCAATGTTATCAGCTCGACACGAGTATGGGAAT